CGGTTAAATATTTTCTAGAAATATGGGAGAAGCCGAAAAACCCCGAAAACCGGTAAGCCTAAAGCCTAAAAGAAAGCCTGAAAACTCGATAAACTGTCAGGAGTAACCGGAAATCTATCACTATAGGAGAAGCTGTAGATTTCTAAAAACCTTGAGAAAAAGCCCGCAACCTCGAAAATTGTAGAAGAGCGCAACCTGTAAGAACCATAGAAAAAGCCCGAAACCTCAAAAAAAATGTGGGAAGCCAGAAACCTCAAAAAAGCCGTGAAGCCCGAAACTATAAAAGAAGGCGGAAACCTCGAAAACCTCTCAGGATAAACCCGCTACGCAAAGACTTCAGAAATTAAAAATAATCTAGAAAACCCGAAAACACATACTTCTAAAGCCAAAAGCCGCAAACAACTCTAAAACCACGAAAATAGTGTAGCAAGTGAGTAAAAAGTGCGCGTGTAGCCGGTACGACCCCCGATCGAGGCGAAAACGGACACGTGTGGCCAGTACTGGCGTTAGGAAATACTCGGGCCCGAATCGGCAAAACGGTATACGGTAGCGTTTTCACGTTTTAGCCAGCAACCTTTTGGACTGTATAAAAAAAGCTTGACTATTCTTCAGCAAGTTACAGTTTTTCAAAATAAAAGTGCATCTTATTGAAGAAAAAAGAGTTAGTTCTATGCTGGCAGCACAGAAAGGTACGCGTCCACGCTGGTTTTGGAATTTTTCTACATACCTTACCCAATTTACTGTAGACAAAGCTTTAAACTATGTTAAGAAAGTTAAGAATGTTAAGAAATAAAAATCCGGAAGCAAACACAAAAACTAGCATAAACTAAAACTAAAACCAAACTAAACTCCAAAATAGAAAAGCCTTGATAGAAAAATAGGAAAGCCTCCGGAATGCGTGCCTGTCTGTGCTGCCGGCGTCCAAATCAGTTTTTTTCAATAAAATTCTTTTTCTTCTTTTTTTTTACCCTTTCTTTATTCACTTTTATTGTGAAAGCTGTAAAATATTGAAGACGAGGAGAAGGCGAATAAAATTTTGATACGGTCGGTTGCTTGCTAAAACGTGGATCCGCTACCGTATACCGTTTTGCCGATTCGGGCCCGAGTATTTCCTAACGCCAGTGTGGCCAGTGAGCAAATGTGGCCTCGGGGCCACACGTTCTTACACACTACACCCCCCGGCCACATCACAGACTGAAGCTCGTTTGTAAAAGTACGAGCGGGGAGGGCAACGGGGGGCTGTGGTCAGCTAAAGAACAACTCGCCGAGGTCATTAGGGAAATTGGGGAAAGCCGGCTAGCAGAGATTCCTAGGGAACGGGGTTAGTCTGCTCTCAATTAGCACACAAAAACTGGGAAATTATCAGAAGGCTAGGGCCAAAAACCAGTCGACAATGGCGGGTCGCTGCATGACACGGAATCGGCTTAAAAATCGCTGAATTCATAAGTGATTGTGGGAAGAGAGTGGAGGGGAAGGGGGAGCGAGCAGAGATTGCGAAGGAATTTCGGGGGCAAACAAATATGAAAACGGGCAGGGGATCATATCAATGAGTCAACATGATGAAAGCAGGCAGAAGGAGAAGAAGAAGGAGAAGAATACGGGTTATTAGCTCTTGCAAGACTAGAATCCTCAAGGGTCGGAATTCATAAAGAAAGCAAATTTAGAGGTTTCATGCATGGGTTAAAAGTGAGAAACTGAAATAAAGATTAGTGAATTAGTATTTTAAAAGCGACTTAACACCAATTTACGTCTCATTATGTTACGCTTGATTTTTTTACGTTCTTAACTCTTCGAAGGCTAGCATCGCGAAAGGGGCATATTAATAAAAAAAAGAAGAACGACATGCTTAGAAGTGAGCAAAAAGTAAAAATTAATAAAATTACGATTAAAACCTTCTCACCTCGATTTTTTACCCAAAAAATCGGAATCGCCGCGTCGGTTGTGAGGTTGCTCAATAATCCTTGAGCTCGAAGGGCATAGGGGTGGAAGACACGTCGTTGTCCAGACAAAACGGAGCGGTTTCGCCTGAAAAAAGTCCAGGATTTTCTTGAAAACCTCGATGCAAGAAATGGAAATAGAGAGCAAAACGATCAATACACACAAAGAAAGGCGGAATTCAGGCTGTGATCGGGATGCCATCTGAAATCCACCAGCAATATCTGTTTGCCAGGCGGTTTTCGAAGGATGGAATACTCGAAGGGGGAGGGTGAGAAACGTTCCGGATAAAATGATCGAGTAAGTGAGAGCAGAGAGTGAATTAAGCGGTTCTTTTTAATTTCCAGAGCAGAAAAAAACTTTTACAACTATTCCATTGTCAAAAAGGACGTGTTAACACTACAGGGTGTCCCAAACCCCCCCCCCCCCCCTCTAGCGGCGCCCAGACGTGTCCGATTCTCGCCGTTTAGGTAGCTATCGAAAGCTCTCGAAAAGGCGAGAAAACATGGAGGGTTCATTTTCTTTATTATGTATTTTTATTGGCGAATTTTACCTCCAAAATCCATGAAAACGGCTGATTTACGCGAGATCCGCATGCTAATTGCGAAATTTCTATTGAAAAGATACCTGTTTTTTTAGAAAAACACTGAATATCGGACGAATCAGAATAAATCTTAGAAAATGAAGCCCGCTTGTTTTCTCGCCTTTTCGCGGGCGTTCGAATGGTATAAAAATCATCCTGATCCGAGCTTCCCACGGACCGCTAGAGGGGGGGGGGGTTTGGGACACCCTGTATATGACTCTCTCTCTTTCTCTAGAGGTAAAATTGTTCAAATTTCGATTGCAAAGCACTGAAAATGCCGTTTTGACATTCTTGAGAAATTTCAAGTTTCGAGAGGCAATTGAGACACTATTTCCATTACAAACCAGCTATTTTTTTACTAAACATACTATTTAAATTGTAGAAAAATGTAGAAGGAAAATTAAATTTGTAGAAAACGTTCGCCCCCCCCCCTCCCCTACCCCCCCGGGAATTACTGACGATCCGATTAAGTAGATGGTTATAGATGTAAAATGTAACCTGAAAATCTCAAAATATCTAAAGCCAAACCGTTCAATCGATAAAGAATCCGGCGACAGTGTCGTTCGGATCTTCTGGAGGGCGTGGTTCTTCTTCTTGTCTGTCTGTCTGTCTCTCTCTAGTCTGCCAGTCTCCACCATCATCGACATCATGATGTTAGGCACCTCTAACCGGGGGCAGGTGCTGTCATCTGGCGGCAAGCATCAAGGCAAACAGTCAAAAGCACCACCCTCTTAACCCTCCGCCACACACCTCCCAACACTTCTCTCAACATAACCACACAGTTACTGGATCGCCAATTCAAGACGGTCACACTTAGCAACCCCGGTGAGAGGGCAGGCTGGCAGAGGGCGTTTGGGAATTGTCATTCTCTACCAATCCTTCGAAGATCTGTTAGCTAGCTTCCTTCAAAGGTCCTTTAAAACGTAAAACCGGTCCCGAACCATACTGGCGAAAACGCAAACAAATATTCTAAAATTTGGTAAAAAGCGGTTTCCGGACTCACGAACATATTTCGACTTTCGGAGGTCACCCATAGAATTCGGCCATATCGATAGGCTTAGGCTTAGGCTTAGGCTTAGGCTTAGGCTTAGGCTTAGGCTTAGGCTTAGGCTTAGGCTAGGTAGGCTTAGGCTTAGGCTTAGGCTTAGGCTTAGGCTTAGGCTTAGGCTTAGGCTTAGGCTTAGGCTTAGGCTTAGGCTTAGGCTTAGGCTTAGGCTTAGGCTTAGGCTTAGGCTTAGGCTTAGGCTTAGGCTTAGGCTTAGGCTTAGGCTTAGGCTTAGGCTTAGGCTTAGGCTTAGGCTTAGGCTTAGGCTTAGGCTTGTAAATCGGGGGTATTTTCGAGTTCCTATCCGCCCTGACAGTGGGCCAGGTGGGGGCGAGTGGGTGGGAACCAAAAGTTCGCTCGCTTGCCGGTCGAATTCTTGTAACCCGGTTTTGAAGAAGCTAGCTTCCCCCTAGTTTATTTTAGGGTTTGGCTTGATGAGTTTGCGGGCGGTGGCTTGAAAGAAGAGAGAGAAAGAGAGGTCTCTTTTGAGAGGCCGTGTCCGGATGTGTGATTACAGATCTCATGTTTCTCCGGCAGCCTTTGGGCGGCTTGAGAGTTGCGCGCGCCGGTTTTTCACAAAAACCGGAAGGGGATCCAGAAATTTTGCGGGACACCGTGGTAATTTAGAGGAAACTGTTTTTGTCTATCTTTTAACGCAGTGTCATTTGAGAACGTTGCTTGTGAGTTTCTTTTGCATTATCGGGGGGACCAACTTTTTTTTCTAGGATCTAATTTCTCAAAATTGTGGAGATGTTTCTAAATGGTTTTTTACAAGCCCTAGAAGTCAAAAATTTACAAATTTCTATTACAAAAATGTTAAAAAGATAGACTTGTCGACCAAAAAGGCCGATTTAGACCAAAATTTCGGTTTTTCCAATATTCTTTAAAATTTTTAGATAGTTTTTCTAGTTTAAAGATAGTTAGAAATTCCTATGAACAGAAATAAAACACTTGCCATTACCTTACAAGGAATTTCTAGACTTCTAGAAAAAAAACTTCGCCCCCCCCGATAATGCGAAAGAACCCATTAAAAAGATTGAGGCGCTGCTTATTCTAGTCTGCTTTTTTGGAGCGGGCATCATATTGTAATTCTAGCCGTGTTTTTTGGAGTGGGTATCAGCTGGTGATTGAGTATCTACAGCTTCTCCCAGGTCATGCGCTTCTGAAATTACAGCCATTTCGTGTTCAATCGCACGTGATTCGTCATAGACCCTTTTGTCTGTCTGCCATTCTCTGTCATTTGACGTCTGTCTGTCTATCTGTCTAGCTCTTCCTCTCCCCTTTTTCCTCAAGGGCTTATCTAAAGCTAGTGAAGCCCAAGTCTGGTCTATCCCCCGTTGTTTGTTCTCACTTATCTATCCACCCCTAAAATCCCAAAATGGAAGCACCGAGTGCTATAAAAGAAAGTAGATCGCTTCTAGACCATGATTGGCCCTCATGAAATTCTTCCTATTTTTCGCGGCACTTTGTTGGGGTTTCCGGTTGGGTGGGGCCGATTATGTGCGGGCTTGCTATTTTACAAACTGGGCAAAGTATAGGTAATACCTTAGAGCAATGTATCTAGTGGTTTAAATGGAAATCTAATGAAAAAGCGAATGTTTTAGACAAGGGTGCGCGACGTACAATGTGACGCGAGACTACATTCCCGGGCTATGTACGCATATTTTGTTCGCATTCGGGTGGATGGACAGCACTTTTCATGCGAAGTGAGTGGAACAGCTGGAAAAACTACGACATTACGCTAATTACGAGATTCTGGGTACCGGGCTATTAGCGGGGGGATCAAGCTTAGGTGCCGGCCAATAAGAAACAACCTCAAAAAATCACAACATTTTTGGAAAATTTAAAAATTGTGAAGTTTTTAAAAGAAGACTGCCCCCCACGGTTAACAGCATAGTACCGAAATCCCCTTCAGAAACTACGACGACACAGATATTGCAACCTCCTGGGCAGGTGCCGGCCAATATTCAATGGTCAACGGCCTAAAAACAACCGATAAAAGCCTCAAAACCCTTCTTTCCTTCGGCGGCGCCAGCTTTCCACAATCACTAATGCAGGTTCCGACCCTGAATCTACCCTGAACTACAAAATACAGCAAATGACGGCCACATCCTCAACCCGTTCAACATTCATCCAATCGGCCATTGCCTGGGTGCGACAATATGGGTTTGATGGGATTGATATCGATTGGGAATACCCGACAACATCAGATAAAGCCAATTACGCGGCGTTCGTCACGGTAAGCGCAAGGGAGCACAATAGCAGTTTTCCCAGTATTGGACTTTTTGGGGGAGGGTTCGAAATCGTTTTTTAGCTTTTTAGCATTCAAAATTTCCAAAAAACCCGAATATACACACCACAGAAGCGTAACAAATTTGTTTTAGTTAGCCCCCGTTAACCGTCCAGTACCGTTATCACCTAGGAACTTCGAGCAGCCGCCGAAGCGGAGAGTGGGCAAAGTGGAAAGGCCAGATTGCTCGTGACAGCCGCCGTGGCAGCTGGATCCTCGAATTTCGCGGGTTATGATGTGGCGGCGATGGCCAAGTGAGGGTCTAATTGATTACGAGATGATATGGCTCTTGCGCATTATCGGGGGAAAGGCTTCAACTTTTTCTTAGGATCCCATTTTCAAATTAAATTAGTGGCACTTTTTTAAAAATGGTGATTACTATCCCTAAAGGTGAAAACTTTACAAATTTTTTTTTAAATATCAAATTATCGATTTTTCCACCAATGAAAGGTCGATTTTCGACCAAAATTTAGAATTTTTCAACATAAAAGTTTTTCGATAGTTTTCCTAATTTAAACATAGTTATATATTACGAAAAACACGACTAAACCACTTGCTATTAAGTATTCTATAAATTCTAGAATTCTAGAATAATACAAAAAAGTTCGGTCATCTTCCCCCCCGATAATACGAAAGCACCAATGATAATGTCAGGGCGTACGACTACATCTTCTTGATGAGCTACGATTTCTGGGGGCTTGGTCGAGTATTTTGGGGATGAACGCGCCACTTTATGCGCAGAGTGGCCAAACCGCGCCCAGCAATCAGTACAATGTGGTCGGTTGAAAACTTAAAGCTATTAAAACATGCAAAAACTACAAAAAAACCCTATAACTTTGAGGATTGGGGACAAATGCCTGGGTGCAAATGGGGTGCCGAAAAATCAGCTGGTCATCGGAATGCCGGCTTATGGTAGAGGATGGACATTGGGGGTAAGAGGGAGGCAATCAGACGCTGAACTTCCTTACTATATTTTCTATAGAATGCGGCAATATCCAGCCGGGAGCTACCGGAAATACCCCAGCACCATCGGGGCCATATGCCACAGGAGTCTGGGATACGAGCATATTATGAGGCAGAAAATCCTACTATATAAAAAAAAATAGTGTCTGTGTGTGTGTGTGCATTTGCATGCAACTTCCGTAAGTATGTACCGCACCTACAGCCTCAGGGGAAGGTTTTGAAGGTACGTATGATACGTCATTAGGTGCGTAATGGTCCTGAGATGGGTGCACACATATAAAATTTAAGAAAATCATTGTTTTCGCTATTAAAATTGCTAAGTTTTTGTAAATATATCGAAAACCTCTTTGTTAGGAGGCAATTTGTATTGACCGGAAGTGGCCGTAGCCTATAAAAATGGAGGGACGTGCGCTTTCATTTTTTGGCAGAGCGGGATCTGGCAAGCCCTATGTAAAGTCAAATTGTCGAAGTCCTAGATGGTCCAGGGTTGAAAAGCCGCGAAGCGGTTTTTCAACCCTGCGATACCTTAAATCTTGATTTTTCGTGGTTACGTTAAGCCCGGGGGCTTGCTTTTGCCAACGTAAATACATAATAGGAAGTTATTGTGAACTGTTAATATTCCTAAACGACGGAAAAAAAGTAAAAAAGTGACTAAACTACAGGGTGTCGCAATAAAAAAAGGTCACGCTGGCATTTTGCTATTTCAAATCCGACCGACTTGAAATTTTGCACAGAGGTGCGGAAGGGAATTTAAATGTTCACAGAAACTTTTAGGGGCCCGATCGGTACAGTAGTTTTCGAGTTATAGCAAAAATACTGTTTTTCCCACACTTTCGCTTCATTTTTTCGGCTCTCTTTTTGGACTTTGCATCAATTAACATAAATTTCCGGCTCTAAATCCCTTATTCTTCTTAACATTGGCGTCGTTAGCCCTTGTTAAAAAATACTTAAATAGCCTATTTTCGACCCGAATTTTGCGAAATAAAAAAATTCCTAGGATAAAAAAGGGTCGGCGCTTCATTTTCTCCATACATTCCAGGGCTCAATTCCGGCGGAATCCAGGTTAAAAACGTAAAATAAAGTTTATTTTTACTATAACTCGAAAACTACTGTACCGATCGGGCTAAAAGTTTCTGTGAACATTTTAAATTCCCTTCCGCACCTCTGTGCAAAATTTCAAGTCGGTCAGTTGCAGAAACTAGCAAAATACCAGGATGACCTTTTTTATTAGGACTCCCCTGTATAGAAAAGGTATCGATTTTGATGCCAAGATGTCCCACTTTTCTTACACATTTTCTTAAGTGTTCTAAGTAGTCTTCTAGTATGGAAAAAGTTCAACCATGGTAAAGGCGGAAAAATCCTACTACTAAAGACATAATTACAACACTTGTCAGTACGATACTAGGCAAAGCTCGGCTTAAGGCAAAAAAATTGAGTCCCGTGAAACAAATACGATACAAACTAATATATAGTTTATAGCCCCTTTAATTCCTATAAACCACCTACATTTTAGCTGTGCACCTTCCTAACAACATCCGGAACGACGCGCTATTGGCAATCGGATCAGGAAGTGCCCTATCTGGGGCATCTGGCCAATGGTGGTCCTATGATGATATCGAATCTTATAATGACAAGGTGGGTCCACCCTGATTACATTAAAAACCTCTGAATTTAGCTCGACTACATCAAAAGGGTGGCTACGGCGGTGCGATGGTTTGGGCGCTGGATATGGACGATTTCAACGCGGGCTGCCCACAATCCAACGGTCTCTACTATCCGTTGATTGGGACGATTGCGAAGAGTTTGGGCGGGATTATTATTCCGGTAAGTTTAAAACAGGAGTAGTGCACCTAGTCTACCCCGCCAGATGACGCGCTTTTGCATATCTACTCCCTGTAAAGTATGCAAAAATGCTCGCCATGGTCTACTTAATAACGATTAATAACGAAAAATCAAAGTTTTGGGGCAAAAAAGTCAGAAACCTTCGCTGGAGGATCTATAATTTAGTCAGAAAACGCTCCCAGAATACGCCTAATTTAACCCGAAACAAGGGCAATAAAAATGATCTAGGGTCATAACGGCACCTCAACACAACCCACAAATCGACCCACCAATCCTGCGACAACCCAGAAAAGTGGAACAACGAGGACGACGACCACGACGAAGGGAGTGACGACAACAACGACACCGACCAAGGGCAAGTACCTGAAAATTCAAATGCTCTAAACGAAGATGAAAATAGCAGAATAGGGAAGTGCGAAATTACGACAAGTCAAAGTCCAATTTGCAGGCTTCTCCTGCGTGGGCAAAGCAGACGGCTTATACTCGGACCCGGCCGACTGTTCCTCGTACTATTGGTGTCTCTCCAATGTCCCATTCCATTATACATGTCCGCAAGGGCTCCTCTTCAACCAAATGAACAATCAATGCGATTGGCCGGCAAATGTCAACTGTCCAAACAGCTTCTAATCCCCTCCCAACACTTGTAAATACCGCTGTACCCAGGCTTCACGATAAATGACGTGCAATAGCGCTCAAATAATACTTCTAGCACTTTACAGCCACATATGCAGTAAATAGATTTATCATCAAGTGAAACGTGCAAATTTGAACACCCAAAAAGCAAAAAAAAAACCCCATGAAATCACAGAAAAACGAAGAGAATCACAGTACACACAGAAAGCGATGAGGGCGATTTGAGGCTTATTGGACGAGGGGCCCAGCGACCTTCTGACCTGCCAGCTCTCGAGACCCTCGCCAGAATACGAACGGGCCGCCGCCACGAAGATCTGAAAAGGAAATAATAATAAAAACTTTTGAAAGCCGGAAATCTACTAAAAATAAGTGTACCTTGTCAATGGAATCCACTTCCGCACCGGCAGCTTCAAGCCACCGTCGCGATTGGGCGGCCAGATCGCGGACGCACGTCGACAGACAGTCCTTCCCCCGTCGACTCGGCATTCTTGAGCGGCGAGAACTCGTCTTCGCGCACCGCCTCCCAAGCATAGAAATTGCTAAAAAGCTAATAAAAAAAGTAAAAAAATACATACCTGCTGAGGGGGAAGACGTCAAAGATGAACTGCTCGAGCTTGATGCCACTTGGTTCTTTCGGGGTGACGAGGTGGCCGTTTTGGTCGAAGTGGCAATCTTCTTGAGGGCGCGATGGTATGGCAGATGGAAGTCGGCCGTGCAGAAACGACAAAACTTATCGAAAGAAAGAAAAAAATACCTTTCAAGGAAGTCCATCGTGAAAAAGTGGATGGCGATGCTGCCGGCACGATAGAGGAGCTTCCCATCAGGTCCAGTCTTCGATTCAAGATTGCCCAACTCGGAATATTCGGTCACGCGGGGCTGAAAAACAATGTTAGACAGCTGACACCGATTAGTGATTAAGTAGAGGTTAAAGCTAGAAGCAAATGACAAGTTTCGAATATTAATCAGTACCCTGCAACCCGGATAAAAGCGTCACTCGTATCAGTATCTCAAAAAAGAAAGCCGGCTAGTTTCCGCGTCGAAAAGCGTTCCCTTCCGAACTCACGGATCTCAAATCCATATACGAATATACCCGGACCTTCACGGAACAAGAGAATGACTGTGAAAGACAATTGATACCTTTCCGTCCTCGATGGTGATACTTCCGATCAATTCGCCGGGAATCTTCTCCAACGTCTTGGCGGCACAGTCGGCTTTCTAAACAAAAAATAAAGATAAATAAAGTAAAATAGCGATACCTTGTCAATTACCATTCCCAGCATTGTTGGATCACCGACGCGGCAGAGAATGTTGTCGACACAATAAGTCTGAAGGTACTTGACGCCGCGTTGGCGCAGCTTGGGCAGATGATGAGAGGCGCCGAGTAGATGCCTCCATTGCCATTTGGTGCTGTGCAGACTTCGCCCTTCTTCGAAAGCAGCAGGCTGCCATCCATCGAGAAGGCAGGGATGTTGGCCTGGCTGAACACGGTTACCTAAAATAACAATAAAAAACAAAGTCTCAAACACGCACGTCATCAATGGAGAGACCGTTAGCGGGGACTATCTTCTCCAAATGCTTCAGAGTGGCCTCCTTCGTACCAGCAGATGTCATCACGGCCCATTGGATCTTGCCGTGCGTGCCCGGGAACGTGCGGCTTGCCAAGTCTTGTAGACAACGAATCTTGGCCGCCTAAAGAATCGAAAAAAGAAATAGAAAACTCGCACCTGAATCGAAAGGAGACTGTCCCCTTGCGCGACGGAACCCTCGGGAAAAGCCAATCCGAGCGGGATTGTGCCCTTCGGTTCAGCGCTGCCAAGGCGAGATGCCTGACCACCAGCCAGCACCAACACGCACAGCTCGTTACGAGAAATGGCCTCCAGGCCCAGCTTCGTCAGCCTAAAATGATGGATGAAAAACAAATCAGAAAAACAAACCGTTCACGCTCCTCGGAGGGCAGCTTGCTGGAGACGATGTAGCGATCGGCGGGCACTGGCTTCACATTGTCGAGGTTGGGCACGTGGATGTTCGCAGAGGTGGTGAAGGCTTCTTGGCACTGCGCGACGTCGATCTCGGCAATCTGTGCGGCCAGGGCTTCGCGTTGCGGCTGCTCCAAGCTCATCCCAGAAGCGCAGGAGATGGGCTTCATCTCCGAGACGCTTCTCAAGTTCGGCACGATCCGGCTGCATATTCGCCCTGAAAAACAAAGGTTAATTTAGGAACGAAGAAGAACACGGAAGAGAAGAAAGAAGTTCATGAGAATTGAATAGCAAAGCCGAAAATGCGAAAGTATTTGAAGAGTGAAAATGACCTTGTGGTCTCGCAACGCTGCTACGATACTCCGAAAGGGCACTGGATAGAACGCCAAGTGAAGAGCCGTGTGTTTTGGTGGGAGTCGAAACACAATGTTGCGTTTTATAGGAAAAAAAAGAGTCGTGTTCGTCGACTCAGATGTTCGAAAACGGTGCACCGGAACGGCCAGCCATGCTACAGCAACAATTTATCAAAAGCGAGCGAACAGCGCGGTAAACGGCCATGGGCGATTGATAAGATAGGATGGAACGCAGGCGGGGCCAGTAGACCAAGGTTTTATTTTCATTTCTTCGAAAACCACATTAGCTTCAAAATAAAACAATCTATATAACTGGAAATGGTAGAATCACGACGAGAGGCGAAGACCGACGATCCTTGATTCACCGCCCAGAATCATTTGCGGCCCGTACGAAAAATCGGGCCGTGACCTGGGACAATCCAATCTGTCATCGAGAGAAGTTCGGCTCTAGCCCTAAGAAATAATCTTACTTATTGCCGGAAAATTCAAGCTAAAGGCTATAGGCCTGACATACAAACCGCCCTGAATTGAAATCACAAACTTTTTTTGCGGCTCCACATATCGACTATTAGCTTCCCAGTCGTTCGCATCACTTTCGGTTTCAAATAGATCTCCTATTATCAAAAGAACATAATCTGCCTCAATTCTCCAAACCTGCTACGACAATCGTACCAACGGCAGTCCCATTCACCACAATAACTAAATCGTTATCCGTGTGGCCACGGTATTTTTTGATGAATATCAGCGGCGTCAATTGAATAATCTAAGAGGCCATATCCGATAGTTTTGTATGGATTACGTCTTCTGTCGGTGAATATACACCAGTTGGGGACCGTCGATCATTGTCCATGTAGATCGTCGCCTTAGCGAATCGACCCAAATTGGCGCAATGGTCGATGTGTCCGTGGGTGATTACAAGCTGTAGAAACACATTGGAAAGCTATTCCGCCTCTACCGTGTCGATGGCATCAAGCTCGATCTCCCGAAGTTTCAGCTCGGCCTCGAGCTGATTCCAATTATCAGGAGAGCCGGTATCGACAAGTATCCGGCCAGCATCGTGTTTGATTAAGGTAACCTGATGTCGAATTGCCTTGCCCTATCCGCTTCACCATACCGATCCTTCTGCAAATCCGTCACGAACGAAGCCGATGATCAACTGTTCCACCTCGATCACCATTTCCCAATCTTACAATTCTCCAAGTAATCGGGTTACATAGTAATTTTTGTAAGCGAAGCCGGTTGTAAGAAGCAGTATAAAAGCGGATTAGCAACATTCAATTCTCAAACGCTCGAAAAGAAACGGGGTAAACGGTTTATTTGCGTCAACGGCCTATCCAACAACTATTGTAGAAAAAACAAAAGAGCGAGCAAAATTCATACAAATGGGGCTTGCTGTGGGTGCTCTTCCCCAGAACCTTCTTTCAAAATCTTTTCCTTGATGTCCTTATATCGATATTTCGTGTTCAACGAGTCGGCGCGATGCAAGTGACGAAGAAGGCTTGTTTGTATCAAATTCAATGCCTAAAAATCTTTTAGCGAAGAGAATAAAAGTGTCAACCTTTTGGCTGAAAACAATCGTGTCATATTTCATCAAGGAGAAGCAGTTGAGCCCATAATATGGCATCACATTCATCCACGGCAATTGAGAGGTGGCTTCTGAGAGGGGGCCAGTTATCTAAACAAAAAAATATAGATAAAAACTGGGGAATAGCTACCGTATCCGTTTCGCTAACAAAGAGAACGCTGTAGCCCCAGTTTCGCTCATCAGCAAGACTCATCAGGAATTGCGGGTCGCCATCAGGTAGCTGCAACAAAGAGAATCGATAAAAAATAACAAACATACCTCCTCCAGACTACTAACAACTTGCAAATCGTCCTGCGCATGTTTGACAGTCAGAGCGACGCATAGGCCTAAAAAAAGATTAAATATTTAAATAGAAACGAACCCTTGATGCGAATCGAGTCGGGCAACATATAAAACCACGTCTTCGGGCCGCGAACTCCATGGGCAAAGCCTCCACGATGAAAGTGGGGAGCTCGAATGCTGCCCGCATGATGTCTTCCTGTTCGCTTTTGAGGCCAAGGTTTAGAGCCTAAAAATGATATTTCGAACATTATAAAGAAAGTCTGACCTCCTCCTGGCATCTCGGCCTTTGTGAGCATTTTGGTAAGTTGCACATTCCTGTAGACCTAAATTGGGATTAGAGCAAAACTGAAATGGATTTACTTGTTGCCAGACAATATTTCGGTGCAAGAGATCGAGGCGCGGGGTCGTCCGAAAAACGTCGGGGTGCAGATCGATGATGCCTTGCTGGAATGGGGATTAAAATAAAGATCCGGGTAAAAAAATTCTACTGGTTCCTCCTTGATCGTCTTCAGCGAGGAGAGCCAGGCTTGAGGGATTTCTTGAAAAGGGCTCTTCCCCACTCTCCATAGCGGCCCAGGTTCATTCTCTACCAGCTTTTGGTGCTAAACAAATCATCCTAGGCTGAATCAATAAATAAAACCTGTTTTGAGATTGAATCCACTGTGGGAGCGGTGGCGCCGCAACGAATGCCGAGGCTGCCTGCACGACAAGCACTCGATCGTGCGGCCAACATACTAAAAACACATACAAGTAAATCCTGATCGATTGTTGAGAACTTAAAATAGTCGAAAGGCCGTCTGGAACAGCGGATAGTTGATCAAAGACCGAATAAGATAGAGCTTTATATACAACAAACAGCAAAACATAACTTCAACTCATCATTTCTCGAAAGGCTCTAACTCTACAAAAAGTCCAAAAAAGTTTAGAAATCTCGATTCTTCGCTTTCTGACGTAAGGACTTGCCCCGGACGATTGCTTCGTTGAATAGCCTAAAAAAGAATTAAGAAAAAGTGGAGCATTACCTCAACAAATAATTGACGCTCTGCACAGTGTCATCATTGGCTGGGATCAGATAGGTTAGATAGGCAGGATCGGCATTCGAATCGACCACTCCGACCTATTAAAAACCAGTGGAAAAAGTCCGCTTCGCGGCCCTTTTCCACTGGACCCCGTCTAGGACCCATGAATTCTCTTTCCTTTGTTTGAAGCCTGCGGCGCAAGAGCCTGAGTCAAGGAACCATTCTTTGGCCTGCGGCGCAAGAGCCAGCGTTGCGCTCCAACCTTTGAGCTTGCGGCGCCAGCCACTACGTTTCCCCCCCCCCGGATTTAGCTGAATTGGGGCAAAGAACCATCCATGGCCTGCGGCGCCAGAGCCAACGTAGCCAGAATCTTTGAGCCTGCGGCGCTATTTACTGGTTTCCTCCAGGATTTGGCCTGCGGCGGGAGAGTCCGAGCTAAGGACCTTTCCTTTGGCCTGTGGCGCTAGAGCGAGGGCCAGACCTAAATCTTGCATACGGAGAGCCAAGCAATATGTTTGTTAGAAGAATTACCAAAAAGCAAAAAGTAGTCATCGCGCCGGATCCGAACCCTTGACCCCTAGCGCCGAGGACCTGGTGCGCTTCCCTTACACCACAGGGAGTTGGGAGTGCGATGCGGGACAGGCCTCTTCATCCTCTGGGGATCCGCCGGGCGCCGTCTAGTCACTTTACAAAAATCGATTTTTGAGGTGGAAGATGATCGAATTTGTAAAATCTAATAAGCTGCGCCTAAGAAGCACCATCGATTACATAAGTGGTCCAAATTTCAGCCCGAAATTCCATCTGGGCTTCGAGTTATGCCCCGGACACCACGGCGCTTGATCCATTTTGTTAAGGACTTTTTACAAAAATGCTGATAAAAACTTTATTTTACAAAATCTGGAAAAACGCAGAATTATATCACAGGAGAATTGTATTTCCCATCTACCCTCGAAAGATTAGAGCCCAATTCCATTAGGATCCCGAGATATGCTCTGAACAAACCTTTTTTCGACCAAAATGTTAAGGGTTTTTCACTATTTTGCTTGTAAAATTAAATGAAGGAGTTTCGAAAAACAAAAAAATGCGTCACTGACAAATGTGTTTCTCCACCTCCATGCCAAAAATCAACCGGAAATTCGGCCTAACGGCCGAGAAATCGGCTGTACAGAAAACAAACATACTTTTCTCGCTTATAGAATTAAAAATAGAATTTTATAGACTAAAGCATGCAATACCGTTGGGATGGCCATCTTGGCGGCTTCTTTGATTGCCGGGTGGGGATCACCGAGTGATGTGATCGTGCTCAGGAAGATGATCTAAAAACATGTTTTAAATGTAGAAAACTGCTAATACCGTATCGGGCAGTCGAATCGGTGTTCCGACGAGTTCGGCAGAATTTGTGAGCGTACCGCTTTGCCATCGTCTGCAATGCGCGTATTCTCCCAACTAAACACAAGTTTTTAAAATGTCTCATTTTCTGATAGCCAAACCTTGGTGGCTGTCTGCTCAACATTGATCATCGTCTCACGATTCGTCGTGACAAACAGGATTATCCCGCCTCGGCTCGCCACGTGCGCCACAAAATTCAGGGCTCGAAGTAAGTACCTAATGAATTAAGTATTTGAAAAAATCAAAATGTTGTACTGCTTGGTGAGCTCCAAATCGAAGACACACACGCCCAGTCGCTCGCCATACAGCGCCCATTTCATATTGTCGTTCAACGTACCCACCTAGAAATCAATGATCAAAATAAATCGGGAGATTTCACCTTATGGCCATAATGCAATCGAGCCTCGAACATTTCTCGAATGTCGAGCAGCGGTTCCAGCTTGAAATGATCATCTACTTGCAATTCTTCTGACGAATATTTTCTGAATAAAGGTAAGAATGATTTTACATAGAAAATACCTCAAAATCTCAGGGTGCACGGTCCCTTTCTCCAAGAGGTCGGGCCCGGGAATTGAGCGAACTGGGGCTTCTTTTACGGTTTGTTGATCGATCCTCGTTTTTCCAACTGCACCTGAAAACAAAAAATATGAATCGCAAACGCTAAAAAACCTAGAAGACGTGTCGTACTGAAAAGCCGGGCTCCTAGCTGGCCTCGGATGAGGTAATGCGGCAGCTTTTGCATCGCAGCTCACTATAAAATTTTTGTTCTAGACTGCCAAAATAATTGGCGATGATTTCAAAAATTCAAAGTTTATGTGGAGAAGAGAACTCTCGGTTGTAATACCGATAAGCACACTGAACCCGATTATATGAAAGATTTATCCAAACAATTGCTAACAAAAAAAAATCTAGTAACAACAAAATTATGATCACCGGAAAGCAAAAATGATACAGGTAAATAGTGTGACTTAAATCAATCGAAGCACCGGGTAGACGGGCGAATCCACAAAGTTGAAGTGAATCCTGAAATTGGTAAGTTTAAAAACCCCGTACAAATTCACCTCTTTTCCACCATTTTCCCGGCCGCCAAGATGCGTAAGACGACCGCGTTGTTCTTGCATACCCGTAGCAAGGCGTGAGCGTATCCTAAAGCGCGTTTGAAAGAAATGAAAGTGGGAGGCGTACCACTCTTCGTGGGGAGCACATATTTCTCCAATTCGATGCGCCCCATCTCGAAAGCTTCGGCCGCATCCGAGAAAAGTTGCGATGGGCCAGCAGAGGCGAGTGAATCGTATCTAAAATTTTTCACAGAAAATATAAAGCCGAACTCACAAGCTGCGCTGCTTATATTCAGCGTAGGAGACGGCGAATGGTTGATGGAGCAGGAAGAACGGGGCCATCCGATGTAAATAGCGATGCTCTTCCGATCGGTCGTTCCACCGAGGGATCTGAAAATCAGATTTTAAAGAATAAGCAATTTAATCGGGCTTTTTAGCATATACCATCGGGAACAGAAAAATGTTGATTAAGCGCTACCAAAAATATAAACATTTTCAACCAAAAACGTGCGATTTTCAAATTTTGAATAGTTTTTCCAAGTTTCCGAATGGTCTTTTTTGCCACTTGAAAGTTAAACAGATTAATCCCATACCATAAATTTCTTGAGAAGCGAGAGCCCAATAGCCGCCCGGAACATGCCATCACACATTGCCATCTCGGCAGTGAGCAGCTTCCCTTCTTCCTGGTAGAGGGCGAGCCGTCTTCTCAGCTTCTCCTCTTTCTTCGCCTGTTTCTGCACGGCCTTCTTATTCGAGGAGCTCGTTGCTAAAACTATTCACAATAGTGCTTTTATAATACAAACATACAAAGTTTGAAATTGTGCAGAATGAAGGTGTAGGCGCGGTCGAGGCCCGAACACAGACTCCGCTTCACCACCTCGCCAAGATACCTGGAAAACGATAAAAATACCAACAAAAATATACCATACCAATACATATAGGTGTATTCGTAGGGCGCCACGAGATCCAATCGAAAAGAGAGTTCAAAGTGATGGGCGATGAGGCGAGCCGTTTCGTTCAGAATGTACGTGTAGAAGGCGGACGATTCGCGGCGCGTCAATTCGTTGCGTTCCGCGTTTCCGGTCTGGAAATCGTACAGAGGATTGGGTAAGGACATAAAAAAACCCACCTCATTTTCCCGCATCGCCCGCACCGATTGGATGTCGACTTTTAGGGCGGCGTCGAGAAGCATGCGCATGTCTTCAAGCGCATTGACAAGCTTTTCGCGAAGCCGCGTCAAGTTGTTCCCTAAATACCGGTTCCCAAATGTTGTTAAAAAATACCGTAATATTGCACGAGGTTGAGCATAGATTTTGTGTATTCTTGCACGAATTCCTCCCAGGCCTCTCGCGCCTCGGCATCGTGATAGGCGGCAGTACTAAAATTGAGTTGAAAAAAAAAGAAGAAAATGGATACGTGTTATCCAAGACAGCGGGGACGACACAATCGATAACCGTATCTGTGAAGATGTCGGCAAGCACGACCTCGCCAAGGACATGATCATCAAATGGGAAAATGACCATCTTAATAAAATCATAAAAAAATTAACTATGCATAGATACTTGTAGGAAAGATCGTGTGAAAACGGTGCTGCATCGATGCTCGCCGTAAAGACGAAAATATTCCAGTAGATTCCCGGAATCGTTGAGCGATTCTGAAAGTCAGAAATACACGGCTTAAGGAAAACCAATAGATACCCGGTAATTCGAGCGGGATTCGGAGTAGACTTTCACTGAGATCGACCAAATATGCTAGCGAGGTGCTGCGGGGCTGGATTACAGATCTAAAAACAATTTAGGAAGGCCGTATGCCGTTACTTTCGAGGAAAAGTGGGCGGCAAGTGTTTTCGGTTGAAATCGGGCTCAAACGCGGGCAACCAGCCGAAATCGCCTGAAAATGAGGGTTATAAAAACAAACAAGACAAATTCTACCATCAATGCCGTCGGATGCCTGCTTTCCGAGCGTCCAAGTATCAACCATTGCTCGCGAATAGTCGTGGCAGGCACGTAAAATGTCGATGCTCTTCCGGAGTTGCGGCCTAAAAATGCCCAGTCGTTTGATCTTCCAGGAATCAGAGATTCTCTCCAAAAACCAACCGAAAGTTGGACATATCAGGCGGGTAATTTTGCACGAGCTTGTTGGCGACCCCACTGAGCGCCGGAGTCAACACCAGGATAGCCTAAATTACTAATTAAAAAATTCTGGATAACAACCTGCATGAAAGTGCGCAACCATCCAAAACGAGCAGCAATGGCCTTGGAGATCGCGGTCTACAAAATCATACAAAATTAAACAATTTTTACTGACCCCCTCCTTGTTCAGATGCGCCTCGGCCGACTGCAGCTCCTCAATAACATCCCGATGGACACGATCAGTCAACGGGAGATAGGGGATCGAGAAATTGAAGTCTTCCTAAAAACCAGAAATTAAACTTTGTACGGAAATACTTCTTCCGAAACCGCGGCCGTCTTCAGAATGGTCACCACATATTGCGCGATATGGGAAAAGGCATGCCCGAAAATACCCAATATCGGCGCATCAACCGCGTTCGGCTCGGTCAGCAAGACGTTGGTGAGCAACTAAAATTGAAGAAAATCAACAAATGATCGACGAAATGACTGACCGATTGCCCGATAGAATTTCCCTCGAGCCACGACACGAAAACGGCCATTGTTGCGTCCATTGTGGCAAGTATTTCATCGCCGGCCATTGAGAAGACCCCCTGGAACTCAATTTGAGATATTAGATCGATAAAATCACTTTTTCTCGGCATGTTTCCAACCCAGCGGCTTTCTGATTTCTCTGCAGACCGACGTCCATCTTTGGATCCATCAATTCGATGGCCGACATGGCTTCGGACAGCGAAAAATTTGTAGCCGCAGCGAGGCATCCCGGTCCGATCTCCTTGCAACCCAACAGGAACACCTCGGTGATATCTTGACGATCCACAGCTTCTTTGTCACTCGATGGACACGCCATCCCTGCAAAATTTGGGTTTCAAAGAGCCGGTCAAGAAAAATTAGAGAAGACACATGTGTCTTCTCTAAACCCAGAAGTCCAAAAATAACCCTGTAATTAGATGAAATATGTTTGCGCGAGTCAACCGATTTGAGAAACCATAGAAAGAAAAAAAACCAAAAGCATTTATCGACATAATAATTACAAAAAGTGATCGAGATCAAGAAAATATGTTTTTGGGCGTCTCATGATAGCGTGGCAGCAATTCAAAGAGCCGCAGATCTCTCGCAGCGGCGCTCGAATCAGACTCGAGCCGCAGCAGACTGCCATGTCCAAAAGTCATCCTAAACGGCGTAAAATAAAAATTAAAAGCAACGTCATTGGGGCTCCGATTTATAGACCTACTCAGTAAACTTTCTAGGCTTCTGAAGCGTCATCAAGCTGACATCCGGTTTCGAGGGATCCATCTGAAAAAAAGTTGTTTCAAAAGAACTGCAAAGATTTTGGATTGAGAAGATGGCACTTGCCTGTGCTTGGATGAATGCGCGAGAAAAGTCTTTCTCATCTTTCAGCTGTCTTAGTAATTCCATCTTCTCCCGAACCTGAATAATTTTAGTTTTTAGAAGCTCTTCTTTTTTCGAGGAACTAACCGATTCCTTCAGCTCAGCTTTAATCGTTGCCCGGGCCTCCATTTCAATGTTTTCCTTTCTAAACTCATCTCTAGCGATCCGTTTCCGTTCCAGTTGGTCAATATCTAGCCGGCATTTAGCTAGCATTTTCTTAAACAGATTAGATAATTATTCTATTAAGCAAGTTGTGGTACCTGTTTCTTGTCGGCGTGTTCCTCATCCAAGACCAGCTTCTTCTCCAAAAACTCTGTTCCATCATGGTTGAGGGCAAGGGCCCTTCTATCCTCCAACTTTAGAAAGCTTAGCATCTTTTCGAAGAGCTAACCTCTTTTAGGCGGGTTCGTAGGAGAAGCGGGCGAAGCTGGTTGAAGTGGTGTTCGGCGATGAGAACACGTTTCAAATGCTCTTGTCTGCGCTTTTCGAGCTCTGCCAAATCCGTGATTTCGGTATCTTAAATTGGATCGTGGATTTGAAGTCAAGTGGCCCTCGCAAACAAAGAATTCTTGAAACTTGCCAGAATCGTCCTCCTTTGTTGGGTCAGGTTCTTGGGAAGCAGAAGCGGTGGGTTGGCCCGGATCGTCGTTCATTGATTCTTCTTCAAAATAAAAGGTTAAATCAAGGAAAATGGGGGCAAGAAGAGGCTCTCAAAGAAAATGGTTGATTTTGAGTTGCCTAAGGGCGCATTACGCTATGATGGCTGGGGGTGGGGCGGGAAGAGAGAGCATAGAGAAAGGACGTGGAGTGCAATCTAATGTAGGCGGAGGAAGACTGACGCTTGCGAAGCTAAAGGTAACTGAATGCTATGTTTGCTGGCCATTTGAAAAGAACAGCTCGCTCACATTTATTCTGCACATATTCAGCACATGTTGGCCCGGCCCAGGGCACATGACTCGACCCGCATCGAAAGAAATCACAGAAAAGTATTCAAAACATCAAAGTGTTGATTCGCTCACAGCGTTTATTTTCCAGGATAAGACGCGGCGGCGTGACCCAGCCCACCGGAATATCCGCCTGAACCGGCTGAATACGAGGCAGCGGGGGCATTAGCGCCATGAGAGAACGAAGCCGATGGGGCTGCATCGCCGAAACGCTCGGGAGGCTGGTCACGTTTGGGGCAAGAGCAGTAAGCAGCGTCCGGTCCGTGATTACCACCTTGGCCTTCACCACCCTCATCTCCTGGCCGTCCACCGGAGCCCTGAAATATACGTAATTTAGAAGATTTCGGACCCTATTAGTACCTGGAATCCGGGTGTTCCATCGGGGCCAGTCGGTCCCTCCTTTCCGATCGGTCCATCCTTTCCATTTTCACCCTCTTCACCAGCCGGTCCAATATCTCCAGGAGGGCCTCGCATTCCCTTACGCGGTACTGGCTGCTCCATATCTTCGCCCTAAACCCCATCACCAGTCTTCAGATGCCTTTTCGTAGCTTACCCGAATGCCAGGATCTCCAGGCTTTCCATCAGCTCCAGGCGCTCCAGTTGGTCCCATTTCTCCCGGTGCTCCGGGATTTCCATCGGAGCCGGGCATTCCACCGGTACCTCTTGCTCCCCTCATTCCGCGCATACCCGGCTTTCCGGTGGGTCCGGCCTCGCCAGGTTTGCCCGTCGGGCATGTGATGCACCCTGGAAATCAATTTGTTGCTCCTGTTTTGGTTCTTTCGCATTATCGGGGGGGGGGAGGGAGGGAGAAATTTTTTTTTGAAAAACTCAAGTAGCAGAAGTGTGCTGTTTTTTACTATTACTAGACGTAAAATTACAAATTTTACTAAAAAGAGACAAAACAATAGCGATTTTGCGAGCAAAAATGGCCGTTTTTCGCCCAAAAATTAAGACTTTCCAAAAAATCCAAACTTTTCTTGCTATTCACCCTGAACCCACCGACAAATGGGGCATTCTGGAAGTTGCCAGCATCTTCTCCAGGAACACCATCTCTTCCTGGGAATCCAGGAGGTCCCTCGTATCCGGGTGATCCCATTGGACCTGCCGGTCCAGCCGGGCATCCTCCAGACACGTCGTCTTCGCCTCCGTTTGCACCATTCCCGCCGCTTGCCCCGTTTCCGGCGCTGCATTCTAAAGTGTATCTTTAGTATAGTTAATCCATGCAGTGACGTACGGCATAGAGCTTGTGGGGCTGCGTTGACCCCCTGGGCTTCGTAGTTTCCGTACTTGTCACGTCCTTGACGACGTTGTCTCGTTGATGGAGTGGCCGCACCGAGGCCTAACATTTCTGCCCAAAGCTCGTCGGAGGTGACCTGAGAGGGGTAATAATTTAGGGTTCTTTCGTATTATCGGGGGCAGGGGGGGTAGGGGAACGAACTTTGTTCTATAAGCCTAGAAATGTCTAGTTTAATAGCATGTGTCTTAATAATTTTTACTAAGCTATAACTATACTTCAACTAGAAAAACTATCCACAAACTTAAAAAAAATGTCGGTGAAAAAAAAAGATATTTTCGACACTGACGTTTTGGCATAGTAAAAACAATTTAGAAACACTTCCACTATTTTTATTTGAAAAATAGATACTAAGAAAAAAAAGTTTGTTTCCCCCCTGATAATGCAAAAGAACCTGATTTCAATAGAGTTGATTCGTACCTTAAATTGTCCCATGTCCGTCTCAAGCTCGAACCACATTGATTGGACATCTGTGTAGATGCTAAACATATTTTTATAATAGTAATTTGAGAATTAGCGCGGTTCTTTTGGAGACCTACTTGAAGATGGCGATGAGCGATAGAATGAGGGTGAAGCTACTGAAGCAGAGCGCCCCGGCAGTCGCCTTCGAGACGCTCATCGCGAATGGATGGCTCTGAGGGGGATCGGGTAGAGGATGAGGTTTTATATAGAAGACGACAGATAAGAGAGAAAGAAGGAGAATACCGGTAAGTGTTTTGTGGGAGAGATTGGGCAGTAATGAGAACAGGTTCGACCCTTGCTCTGTCAGCCCCTATCTAGAGCAGCGGACAGCAGCACCCCTTACGATTTGGCGATGGGTGGATGATTTTAAAGGAGTTGGAAAGATCTATCTATCATAATATCGAAATTCATAAGGTCCAAAATTATCATGCCGAAATGTCATATTCCGAAATTTCATAATGTCGAAATTCAATAGGTCGAAATTTTTTACATAGGATTCGGGGTTTTTCCGAAAAATTGACTTGCGTAAATTTCGACGTTCTGACATTCGGAATTGTGTAATTTCGGCCTTATAGATTTCGACATTATGATTTTCGACATTTTGAAAGAAACCTGATCGGGACTTATTTTTTTGCGAATGAAACATACCAGAAATTAAATTTGCAAGTTTAAAGCTCGATTTCGAAGATTTAGAAGTTTCGACAGAATCTTCCTCCAATTCCTCGAATCCCTCTACAAACCCCATTTCCGGTCATCGAATTGTATCTCCCGAAAATGACGTCGACAAAAGCGTGTGACGCGAGCCCACGTATCCGTGGGATAATATTATTTGCGGCCGTGGCGGGACAGTCAGTGTCACTCCGCCAATACAACTCACACTCTCTTCGACGACAACAGGTGTTTTACGTTGTCCAATTAATCGATTGATTACGATAGCGTAGAGTAAAAGATGATGAACGTTTTGAGGGTGAAAAATCCCATGTTGCGAGCCTTATTTACAGCTTGCGGAAAGGGCAGGTGTTTTCCCCACCGCCCATTTCATCTACCCACCCCCATTTTGAGCTATTGATGAATGGATTTTGCTGCACAGCGCTTTGCTACAACATCGAAAACAAGTTTATATCTTTTTAGCTAACTTGTAAGGCTTTCAAACGGCTCAAGCTTGTAGAGAACTCTTCGTTTTTCTACAAGCATGAGCCGTTTGAAAGCCTTAAAAGCCTTCTTACACTACTTGTTCGTTTTTCCTTATTTTGCCCGTAGCAATCGAAGCCTAGGCGCCTAGTGGCTACAATCCACAGCTGTCTGCTGCCTCAATATAAAAATTATAGATGACCGGTTCCTTCCCCGAAGCCTCGGTTTCCCCCGTAATTTTCATTCTTTCTCGCTTCATCAAATTTTGCATTTTGCAACAAGGGCGTCCTCGTGAAATAAGCATTTCCCGGTCCCTTTAACCGATACATCAAGAAGCTGGCGTTGTTTGAGGCCACTTCCCGGTTTTCTTGCTATAATCGCCAAAAGGCCCATTTGCCATTTTGCGGGCCCGAAACCCCATTAGGGCGAGGGAGGGCGGGGGCCGGGGCGTCGAGTTATAAAGCCTGCGATTTCCGGGTCTCGCTTTCAATCTGGTTCCTAAAATCAATTTTTTTGTGTTCCCTTGCTTTAACCCCAGGAAACTGCTATTCTACGTGGGAATGGCGTTGGAGCAATTCTTCGAGAATCCCACTGGAAACCCCGAAGATCATATCGACGTCATTCAATTTATTAAAACGCTTAAAAAGGTAGAACAAATCAACTTGTTGCTATTTTTTGCTATGCGAATGATTTGTAGATTGAGCCAGATGATAGACGACCACCCCAACAAGCCACCCCTCCTTCAACCCCGTACGTTATCATTGGGTTTATGACAAAATAGGAAGACGAGAATTTTTTATAGAGATACCACAGAGAAACCGGTCGTTGAGACATCGGGCCAATTGTCGAATGGCCATCCTCATAAGAAGGGCATGGAAAAGCGGTAGGGATTAATTTTCGAAAAACTAGTGGAAAATCTCAGAATAAGCGCCAGCGATCTTCTTCTTGCCGCGCGTAAGAAATTTTCGCTGTCGAAGAAAGAGCCGGCATTCCATTCGCTTGATCTACCGGAAGGAGAGGATCAGGTAGGCCGCAAAACACCTTTTAAAGGGATATCGACAGCTGCTCTTTGTAGTCAGTATCCTTTAGGAGGAATGCTGCTCGAGTCAGCGAGATCTCCTCCGTATGCCCCAGATCAACAATCTACGAGCCGAAGACCGGAAGGGCGGATCTGAGCCGGCCAATTTGTCACGGCACTGATAAATATTTTCAACAATATTTCACCGGGCAGGCGAGCAGAGAACCTTCGAGAAATCAGATTGCATAGCACCGGACTGGTCGACCTTTTTAAGGTTTCTATAGTAACCCATTGCTCTTTTGCAGCGCGCGGTTTTCAGCATTTGATTTTTTGTATAATTCATTTTATGCGACCAAAGAGCTTGGAGAGGACGAGAAATAAGAAATCTTTTGAAGAAGAGAATACTGTTCAAAAAGATACCCGGACAGAAGCTTCGTCACTGGGGGGGAGACACAAAATGCTAAAAAAAAACCAAGTAATTAACGAAAATAGGTGTCTAGCAATCCAAATTTGGTTTGTAATCAAGAAAATTATTATTGTTCGATTAAAGGGGCAGCGCCCTCAATCAGAATCAGAATTGTTGAGCGAATGTTTGGGGGGGAGATGAAGGGAGGAGAAGTGGGCGACATATTGCATTTTAGTATACAAACCGTATCTTGTACAGAATCGGAATATCATTGTCTAGCCTATGAAGGTCTAGGTTATTCGTGTGAGATGGGTAGAAAATCTTGATTAAACGTCTCGGCAAGGTAGGTCCACCAGTAGAGTAGCTGAAATGGGGTTTACTGACTTCTTAATGCCCAAATAATCTTTGCTAGATTGCCTTGATCGATTTAGAATGGGAGAGGCTCAAAACATACGTTAAAAAGCGTGAAGGCCAGTGGAAAACAGACGATGGACATTTTGTCGATAGCTTCTGGATGGAAACGGGCTAGACAACCGGGTGGTTCCTCGCCATGACCATCATCTGGAGGAGCCCCGCCCACCTATAAATGAAGCGTCAAGGTGGGGAGGTGCTGAACAGAACCTGTTCCAATGTTAACGGTGTCGCAACGTCAAAATTATGCATGTGGTAATGGAGTGGAGGGGGTGCGGCACGATAAGCATCGCTGAAAAGAGGCATTGGCCTGATGGTACACAAACTAAGGTATCTGGGGGTAAATTTCTAATTCTAAAAGTACCTGACAGGTGGCCCATCAACTGCCGTCTCTCGGATAGTCCCGTTGCTGACAAGGGATTCGCGTAGAATGGCTTAATAATTGTTTTTGCTTTTGGTTTATGTGACTAACTGCCATTCGGATGATGAGGTGTACGGTTTCGACATCCTCCGTTAGCATAGACTGCTGCCCTAGCCCGTGATTCACGACGAGGGCTTCGCGAGGATCCGCTAAATGTTGAGGTTAAGATCATATAAGTCATTTCAACGAAATTATTGAAATAATTTGCTATCATAATTTCGAAATTCATGATGTCGAGATTTCATAATGCCGAAATTCAAAAGGTCGAATTTTTTTGCATAGGATTCAGGGGTTTTCCGAGAAATTAGCTTTCTGAATGAACCAGTTCATTCTGAATGTTGTCATTATAAAATTTCGACATCTGAAATTTCGACATTATGGATTTTGACATTATGATTTTCGAAATTTTGAAAGAAACCGATGTGAAATACAGCTTCCAACTTGCCTATTTTGACATCGCGTGATATAACAGACAATTGCCAGCTCAACCATCGTTCCGAAAACGAACGAGATGCAACCCAGCATCCACACATCCATTGCTAAAATTTAAACGGCGTCAGAGTGAACAAGCGATCTCAGAATTTGCAGAATCTTGACGTTACCTTTAACGTAGGAAACCCGCGGCAAATTCTTAAGGATATTCCCAAACTGGAATGTGAGCGCGAGAAGCGATGAGATCCCGACCGTCGTCCGGGCCGGCTAGAAAAACTAACGTTTTTGTCGATTTGAAAAAGTGAAAGCGTAGGGACAGCCGTACAGAAAGTAAGGGCTACTCATCTGGGATAGCCCCCCCTTCCATTCACCTTCTAGCATTCCGTTTAAAAAGCTTTTGCGTTGCGCTGATAGGCTTTCATACAATTTGATAGATGTAAGAAGTTAGCACTCGAAACGGAAATGATTGTGAGTGGAAGAGGGGGCCTACCAGGCTCGTCAAATGGCCTCTAGATCGCCCCGATGGTGACTGCAAATGGGAGCCATTTTAATTTAGCGGAAAGCGCCTATTTTATAGTTATCCATCGATTCTGAGTGCTAGTAAATCGATCAATCTCAATCGTGGTCCAGCTTGATGGTTGAATCAGAAAACGCACCAGAGCCTTGGGCTCCATACAGAATGATACCCATGAGACGATGATTGTAAGATAGGTTGGCACGTAGGCTTGAATTATATAGAAGCCATAACGTCGCTTGAACGTGAATGTCACCTAAAAGAAACGGTTGAAGCTCCGCTCGGCCATTCCGGGTGGTAATCAAAGTTTCACTAACCATTAATTGATCCCAATATCCATTCGGATATAGCAATGTATCCCGTTTAGTATTGTAGTTGACGAGATCAAAGTCTGGCAGCAAGATCTCCTAAATGTGTTTTTTTGAGATTTCCGACTCAAGCTTTCCAAGTCGGCTTTGGAGGTGAAGAATTACCTTCATTAACGTCAACGGCTCTTCCATCCAATGGAGTTCGACCTCTTCGGAGTTGTGAGAATAAGACTCGAATATTAGTTCGCTAAAGTGGGAACTAATGCCATTTCGAGCGAAACGAACCACTTTTGCACATCAAATGGGAAGCGCCGAAGGTCGAGCGCGCATGGCGCCTTCAAACTCAACCGGTGATTGACCCAGACAGTGCCATTCTGCAAAAAATCGCTATAGCTTTCGGTACTAGCTCTTTTTCTCTAAAATAAAGTATTATAAGCGTCTTTCCTTACTCATCAATGACGGACCGGGCCTTCGGGGGCATCAAAAGGCCTGTGCCGCCCTTTCCCAGGGGCGCCGGGCAAGCCCTTTCAGCTTTATTGCGCCAATCATTGTGTTTTCAAGTGTTATTACCAGTTTTCCTTCAATTATAAGTTTTGTAGCTTTGAATAAATTATTTGCTAAGTTTCTACGTTAATTTTAGGAGAAACGGCACCCCTCATGACTTCAGCAAAAAAAGAAGAGACCTTCTCGGAGCGCGCGACGCGAAAAAGAAGTGTGTGACGTTGAATATAAGGATAGCAAGGGTAAATTTTCAAAAATATTTCTGTTTTGGGGGTTCTTAGTACGAGACTGGAAAATACTTTTGCTTTTTTCCTGGTGATCATGCGTGAAAATTCGACTTAACTTACTTCATAGAGGATGAACATCACATTTTCGGCCGGCGAGCGGTGAATCATCGTGTTTTTCGAGTTTATAATGCATGTATTGGGGGTCCAAACATTTTTCAAGTGCCTAGAATTGTTGTGGTGTCTTGCAGTAAGAGCTGGAGTCCTTTACTTGTTCTCCATAGTGACATTTCGCTTGCAAGCGGGTAGATGGGCGAATGCCAGCGCCGGATCGTGCCAGAGCTGTGTGAACAAAATTTCGATCTCGAAATCTGATGTGAGTTCGTTCAGGGATGACATATCCTGGAAGGGCCAATGGATTAAAATCGTCAGTTTGAGGGTGAGAAATTAACTTTCGTGGTTATTTTCCGAACCTGGACATGCAATTCGATATTGACAATGACTGCGTCTTCGGCTTCTGGCAGCATTCGAGTATAGTTTGCGAGCACAGTTTCGACGATTCTTCCCTCACTCCATGAAGTTGGAGGGCACTTTCGTCGCTTCCCCTTGGCCTAGAGGAAAAACGTGATTTGCGAACATTAATGCGCTTACCTGGGTATATCCCAGATGAAGGAGTAGCACGGCAAGGAAAAGCCGCCACCGCATCACCGGGCACGCATCAGTAGGGCTCTGGAAATGGCGTTCGCTAGTTTATAGGGTTCATATAAATTTCGGGGAGAAAGCTTAATAAACGGAAAATTAAGAAATGATCGTTAATAAAAGGCATTCTTATGGCTAGCTTGAGCCCTTTGAAAGGCGCGAATGGTTGCGAATCCACTACAGGAATAGAAAACGGAAGAGGCCTCTGATGATGTATTTCTTGCGTCGGGGTGGGGACATCTCCCCGGGAGACCTCACGAATTGACGATCAAATGGCCCGATGGCCCGTATTTTAGAGTGGCACGGAACGGGAGGAACGGCATTCACTTGTTTCAGCTGTCATCTTTGCACTGATGACGTGCTAGTGAATTTGGCAAACCCCCCGGAATTTTGCGCTGCCGTTTTCGAAAACGTTTAAGGAGAATAATTTAAGTTTGCTTCGATTTATTGGAAAGAGTTGTGTTCGAAAAATATGGCCCCGGGAGCAGGAAGGCGGAAATGGAGGTCTATATGGAGGAAGGGATGGGGGATGTCCGTGACAGCCCACCCGACGCGTCACTCTAATACCCAAATAAGGGCTGACGGACACTTTTCTACTTCTCAAGTGCGAGGGAAGAAGTTGCAAGGGAGTAGAGGCACTTAAAGGAGCATGTGAGGCGGGCTATCGATTAAGGGGATATTGTCTGCAGTACGTCTGATTCCTTTAATGTCTCCAGAACCCCTTCTATATGAAGAAGCGATGTTCTGAGGGCATGGGCTTAATCTTTGAGCGGTTCCCTAGGCATCCCGCACACCCCGTGGCCTCACCCAAATCAGATGGCGAACGGAATTAAAGCGACGGCCGGCCAATTGGCAACAACCCAGTTGACGAGTCACAAAGTGAACTCTCGAACGCATGAATTTGACGTTTCTAAGTATAAAAGTAAGGGGAAAGATTCAATAGAAACTTTTCTGCGATGACCGTAGTCTATCGCGATCCCGTGAGAAGGAGCAGAGGAAGGGAAACGAAGTTAATTGCGCATGTTGCCTGGGGGCACGAGAGCTTTGTGCAGGGGGGGGGCTCTTTGCCAGCCACATCTCCACACATCTATTCTCTGCTAAATGAATCGGCTGAGGTAGTTGCAAGAGTATTCGATTATATTGGATATTCGAGGACGATACTTCGAGGGATCAGAAAGATACTTTAGGGATAGCAGCTGAAAAGTTGGTGCTTACAGATGGGGATTGCCTGCAACATGGCCATTAATTCGTCCCACACGATGTTGATGTTACCTCGTCGTTCTACATTTCCCTTAGACGTGAGAGAATTCAAGGTGGATGCCCCTGCCAGTAGAGAGTAGCGGACGTCACAGCCCTCCCCCATCCGGCTAGAAGGTAATCAGTGGATTGACCCGAGCAGTCTCCCACCTTCTCTCCGCCCGCCTTCACCCAAAAAGCGGAGGGCTTCCCCCTGCAAATTTTCTACGAAATACCAAAGCGCCAAAAAGGGCGAGCTTTTACCTGCAGAAAATGAAGCTAGGTGGAGAGAGAGATATAGAAGGCTATGACTCTTCCGTATTCTATCAAGTGCGGGGCAGGCAAAGTGATGTCTTTGCGTGGTAAAAGAAAGGAGTTTCTGATGGAACCAATTTGCAACCGGTGAAGCGCAAAAAATACGCTCGCGACCTCTGGGCCGGAAGCGAGGCTTTCCGTCTGATGAGCGGATTCTGCCGGAATGATTTTGGCCGCCGTGTGCCTTTGGAGATTGTGGAAGTAGATTTTATGGGGGGGGAGATCATTACTTCTAAAATCATTGCTTCTAGAAGCTATTACTTCGAAAAATCATTACCTCTAAAATCGTTACTTCTAAACGTGTTCTGACGACTATCAATTTTTGGCTGATTTGGTCATATTTATTCGCAAAACGCCGCTAAGAATTTTAGAAATAATGACTTTTAGAAGTAAGTAATGATTTTAGAAGTCATGATTTTAGATGTAATAATGGATAGCCGACTTTATGAAGAAAATAATCGTACTCAAACAATCTATTTTCAATCATGGAAAGAGAATAAAGATGTAGAAAGAGGGCAGCCTCGGGGGTCTTCCGGTTGGTGTCGGTTTGGGGTGGGTTAAGCGAATTGGGATTGGAACCCCTCTTCCCAGACGGCGTTTCCCCGATTCTCCAAAAGAGAAGGAACACAAAAAATAAACAAGCTTGGAAGACTAGAGAGTGACCCCGATTCGGGATGAACTTGTGGTTCAGCCAGTTTTTCTTTCACAACACGGCATGAAGTGAGGACTTGAGAAAGTGATCCGGGCCGAGAGTCTATTCCGTTTGATTCCTGTGGCCGGTGTCTCGTTGTCACTCACTCGGCAGTGGGCAACACTTGATGGACACAAGGGCAACGCGGCTATACAACACAGCCAGAAAGGGCAGCCATGGGGAGCATCGGGGGAAGGTTTTTGGGTTTTGCTCAAAGTTTCATAACCAAATATATGCGTTTTTCCGAAAGAATACGATAATATTTTGAATCCACTATTTTTAAAGCGTTCTTGGGACCCCAAAAAGAAAAGGCCGTCCAGCTAGCCGAACCACAATTTCTCCCATGCATAATCTGAAACCCAAGCACCGCAGGCAAGAGCACCAAGCACCCAAGTGGATCCGTGTTTTTTGGCCACCGGAATTTAGTCCGGCGTTGTCTAATAGGAGCCTTCAGAGGAGGGAGAGTGGGACTCCAACTGACAGAGACAAACATATGGGCTTACAGACAGACGCGCATTTTCCGCTCAGACTGCTCACAGCCAGAGGGGAAGAAGACTCGTTAGGCACCCAAAGCCTCTTTGCGGATATACCGCTTCTGCGACCAGGGAAACCCCGCGTGTGGTCTCTAGGTCTCCGAGAATCTCTCGAAAAACTTTGGCTCCTCCTCAGCACGGTGAATATGTTGATTAGCTAAGAAAAACTATAAAACACCTATTTTAAAATAAAGAGTGACAGCCCCGCTTCTTCCCCCGAAAGCTAGAAAATAGGGTTGATGCCCAATTTCCGGGCCAAAAAGGCTCTCAATATGGCTGCCAAACAGGTGCAACGGGCGGCCAATTTGTGGCCGACTAACGGCCAAACTCCGCGCCTCAAACATGATGACCGCCGGAAATTGGTGGCGTCAGATTCGATTTGAAGCGGATATGGGATAGGCCGAGAGGAAAATTAGCTGCGGAGATTTTTGAGATATTTGCCTGCAGGAATGATTTGCAATTGGGGGAGGGCCAATAGGGAGAGAGGACTAGGGGCAAAGGGGACACAAATCAGTCCCCAATCCATCATCATCATCACGAAGAGCAGAGGCAGGGAGAATTGGGTGGGGATTTGTCACAAATTAATCCCTCACGTCGTGTTTTTCCGTGTTTGATGGATATCGAAAGAGTAGAAGGGTAGCGAGTAGAGGATATCGAACACTCGTTGTCGCATAGGGATCAAGCTGGTTATTTTTATTTTGTAATTATAGTGACAGCAAAGTTCTAAAATAGAATAACGACATAATGGGACAAAGAGGGAACCAAAACTATGAAAGAGTCTTTATAAACGTTTCCAACTTAGAAGAAAACAAGGGCGCGCCGGACCTTTCTGAGTCGGGATTGCAGGAGGACAAGGAGGAAAAGCCGGCTGCCGAGACAAACCTTTGCCCTTCCTTTCGACCCCTCGGGGCACCGGAAGACATTAGGGGACTTTGCTCCCGAGAAGAGACGAAAAAGAAAAGAAAGGAAAGGATGGACTCAATCTGCTAATTGACAGACTTCGAGATGGGCATGGTGAAAGCACATAGCAGAAGGAGGGGCGAATATTATAGAGAGTGTGCTTTGAAGGAGTTGGCTTCAAATGTTAATTTATGGCCAGTCGGCGGCATCATTGCCCGGCTATAAGCGAGTCGGAAATGAAGGGCCGCCATCGAGAGGCAGTTAAAACGGCGGATCCCAGATGGAAGTTTTGTAGGGAGGACATTACAGCTTTTTGGAGAGAGTCTTTTCGGCCGGCTACCCAATCAAAGCCCTCAAGCTCATTCCATTAAAAGAGGTTGAGGGAGAGGGGGGGAAGGCTTTGATCAGACCGAAAAGGGGCACGCGAACAGTCATTGGGTCATGTTTCATTGAAAGGCAGAACAAAACCGATTATTTAGAAATGCCCGACGTACTCTGAAAATGTCTAATTAGGTACTTGTTGCCGTCTTTTCGGGACAAACAAAACCAACACAGAAGCCAACAATTCACCCTGGTATGAAAGATGACTTTGCAGCGGATTGGAGGGAGGGGAACGGAGGGTGAACCAGGCGAGAAATGTGGAATGAGGCGTTTTTCGTGGTTCTTGAGGGGTCGAGGTGGGGAACGTGGGAATATGGACACACCTTTTGACTCGCGGGGATTTCGTGTATTCCTTGGGACGGCTAAGGAAGTTGCAATCGAAGATTATTTGGGGGTGGGCAGACCGGCCACTTTGGGTGGACGGCCAGTCATGTCCATGTTTTCTAGAGAAAGACATGCACAATGCTAAATACAATAATATCGATCGATGGTTTTGCGCGGCTTGGAATTTGTGCATTGAACATGCTCCCCGGGCCCCTTATTGGTGCTCAAGCTCTGCGAGGCCTGATATTCAATGTGTATGTGTGAGGGGGCAATGTAAGAGCCTGTTTGTGCCCTGAGGGCATGTGTATGTCGATGTGATAAATGGCGCAATTCCCTTCCAGAACACCGTCCATTATCCCCGCTCTCTCTCTCTCTCTCTCTCTCTCTCTCTCTCTCTCCTCCTTCCGTTTTGATGATGTTCTGCCCTTCCCCCCGAACGAATGAGAACCCTAACAAATTACCATCCACGGCCGGGAGGGTCCTCGGCGCTCACCCGACGATTTTGACCTGGGGTTTGGCCGGCGGGAAATTTGCAAGATAGTGAATGCATTCACTATAGCGAGATTAATACTTCAGGAAAAACAGCTTTAAAGGGGTAAGGAAGCCCCAGTAGATCATGGCTAATCTATAATTGGAAGCAAGCCAACCGGCAGTGCTAATTCCAAAAATGAGAGAGGGCGGGGCGAGCCAGGGAGGAGCAGAGAAGACCTATGCAGATTTTAGAATTAATGCACGTCTTATACTAATTCACCTGAGCCTTCATGATCCCTTTAAATAGCGTTTGTTGTTTGAGCATTTGTAACCTCAAAATGGAAACTTGTGGCGTGAAAAATATGGGCCAGCATGGGGAAAAGGTGGGGCGAGTGTACCTCCGCGAGAATTCGATTTACGGTCAGGCCCGGGGCCGCAAGACATAAGTTGATAGATTCTGGGATAAGACGGATATTTCGCCAGGCTTTTGGACCTTCAAGGTACCGCGCTACGTAGGGGGAATTCCTTCATTCCTCAAAAAAAATAGTCAGCGGATGAAATAGACTGAAATTAATCGGAATCACTTTTCCGCGTGCCTATTAACAAAAATAAAAGCAAAGATCAATTGGCATGAGTTGAGGCGGCCAGATTCTTTCCAGTTTATTTTTCTGGAAAAGTCTGGACAATGGCCTGGAGGGGCCACTGGGGGGAAGCGGATAGGAAGTAACGTGATCCGAGGCCATGCTTTAGCACCTTCTTTCTTCTCTCTTCATACTTTCCCCTTCTCAACACATCCAAAGCTATATGGATATGCCTAGGGTGTGGTGGCGGAGCCGGGAGAATTACTTGAGGCGATTTGGATCGAAGGTTTTTGGAGAAAATAAGGCAAGACCCTGGATACTTTAAAATTTGGACCCGGAATCGGGATTAGGCAAGTGAGCACCGAGACAATCTGAAGGGCTCGCGAGGGGAGGGAGTGTTTCTCCCCTCGTTGAGCATTCTCCGCTTCTACACAACTCCATTCGATTAGGAAGGCGTGTGAAGGGGAGACTGGGCTTACGGCGACGCTCTTCAGTGCACCCTGCTTTTGAAAACGCGTGAGAGATCAATAGGTTTTGCCGAAAACCTATGGTGATACGTGCAGAATCGAAATTTCACCGTATAGGCGATCTGGACAGGATTGCGAAATTTGGCGGTTTTTAAATATTGCCCTGGACCTACCGTACCCTCGGACAAACGACAGCAAAAGGGGAAGAGTCTAGAACCCGCACCGAGACCTACATCAGTTGCCAGGAGGAGAGGTGGAATCGGATTGAGCCTCTTCCTCCCCCCTTTCTATCCCTCCATGTTGAGACGGGTCATTCGTATCGGGCTTAAATGGGCTGTTTTTGTGGGTGCCGAGAGGGCCCTAAAGGGATGGAGAAGGGAATGGATGGCCCTGGCTGACTGACAGCATTCATTTGCAACATGGGATTAGAACGGAGGAGGGGGGGAGTGCTTTCGAAGGAAGGCATGGGCGCTCGATACCAGGAAAAACAATGATATTTGAGGGGAAGAAAGGCTGAAGACATGCTTCTTCCTGTCCGTGGGTGGCCCATCCCCAGCCACATTTCCCAGTTTATTGCCTGCCAATATCTCCTTCGAGGGGATCTATTGCCTGTTTCGCGCGCTAGAAATCGTGAAGAAGATGAATTGTCAGTGTTCTGTAATTCGAAGACATTTATTCGATTTATTTGATCTTGAATGGTACGCTGGACTACTCTGCAATCGTCAAATACTGCTCCTTTCGTTCTGGCATCATGTGGCGACGAACCTTAAAGAGAGAGGTTCTCGAATTTCAGATAATGCCGAAATTCAGCCTGAATCTGCGATTGCACCTACCGAATGAGTAGCGATCATCGCGATCGAGGACAGGGCCAGAATGACACCTGAGAAGACGGTGGTTTTCGTCTCGAGACTTTCGCGAAGGCTGCGACGGCGGGTACGCTCGCAGATGAATACTGAAGGTTGGGTATAGGTAGTGAGAGAATGAGCGAGAGAGAGAGAGAGAGAGAGAGAGAGAGAGAGAGAGAGGAGAGAGAAAGAGAGAGAGAGGCGGCGAGAGAGAATCCATTAATGTATTTACAAGACCTACAGTTGCTCTTTGGCCCATACGGCTCGGCCTGGAAATCGGGTGGAAAGATGAGGACGACATCCATATATCCCTTGCTCGATAGCGTCACGTTTAGCTTATCCTGATAATCCAAAATTTATGGCTAAATTGATTCTAACCAACCCGACAAACAAATCGTTGATTGAGGGGTGCGGCAATATTCGATGAGGTGCCTTGGAAGGAAATCTTTTCCTTCCCATAGCTTTCTCCATATTCCACAGACGAGAGCTGCCAGCGGAGTTCCTCGTACTGCTTCACCCATACGTTTTTCTAGCGAATTTTTTGAATTCTAGGGTTGTTGAAATGGGAATACCACATGGAAGGAGAAGCGTAGCGTTTTTGTTCTGTTGTTATGACGGATGGTGGCGACGAGGAAGACATTTCCACGAAGCCCTTCCGAACAATCGCCTGCCAGCATGGCTTCAGAAAAATCATACTGAGAGAGGAATGAATGTAGCGTTGGATCAACCCACCGGGATCGTGTCATTGGTGCCAATATTTGGATTCATGATGAGAACGTTCGCAGGAAGACTCATGCACGTCTTTCCATCCATCGTGCGGAGGCCCATCTACGATTTTGATGTTAAAGAGGCAGTGTCGCAATTGCCTTGCCTGGGAATGTGTCTCGTCGTAGAACGGATTGTAGGAAGGTTTTGGAGGCAGCGAGGTAGTAGTTATATTGTTTCCCCTTCGCGCAGCCAACGCATCTCCCAATAGAGCAGCTAAATTCAGTTTTTTGAGCAGAGGGTTAGCCACCGCATCGTCCGGATTGAAATTTGGATACTAGGGCCAAGCTCGGGTTCAAAAACCCACACTTTTAACGGGAACACACCTGTCATCCACATCCACAAACCTGTCAGGGCATACAGCTGCTTATAGAGCGTCTCGTTCATCCTGAAATATGGATGGCTAGCAGCGAATTTTTATAAGCAAAAAATTCGATACTCGAGTTGGATTGAAATTAGCAATTAGCAAAATTAGCAGAGATTGTGAAAGTCTATTGATTTTTTTAGGCAAGTTTTCAGGTCCGGCAAAGCGGGAAATCCATTGAAAAAAAAGAGGCTCAATATTTTTGGGGGGTGCATGGGAGGGCGGCGCTCATTTTGGTGAGGTTTGTCCCTCCAACCCTTAGGGCCCATCCTAAGCCCCTGCGAGACGCGCATCGGCCCCAGAGGTGCGGCCCCTTCATAATGCCCTGACAAGAGGGGTTATTTGAAAAAGGGCTCACGATCGACGCAAACGGAAAGAATATGAAGTTCCATTAAAACGACTTTTTTGAACAAGCGTTTGTGTACTTTATTATGCGTATTTATAAAGTAAAAGTAATTTATCTACAAAAAAATGGGTTCATTAATCATCTGCCTGCCATATATCCGCATCGGCGTTCCCCCCATTTTGGACCGGATCCTCGGGAGCAGCGTCCTGGAAAACCGATTTTAGGGCTCTGTTTTCTAAAAACCTGTACCTCATCCTCCTCTTCAATTCTATCAGCTTGTTGCCGCTGTACCGTCATTGGCCGCTTCGCTGCCGTTTCCGCTTCCATTTCCTTCATCTTCTCGGCTGCCTCCGCCTGCATCTTCTCCAGCTTCTCCGTAGTTAACGTCTACATTATCCAGTTTGGTCAAGGTTTCAATAAATTACTTTAATTTTCATACCTTGAGCGGGATAAGGCGCGGCTTGCAAAATATTGGCGACAGCGAGTCTTCGTTGAATAGAAGGGCATCCAAGGGTCCTAGCGCCTCTTTGAGATCCCCAATTTCCATTAGCATACGTAAATGGGGATCGATACACCAAATAATGATCGAAACTTTGATTCGCTAGAAAATAAGAAAGGCGAAAACGTCCATGACTACCCCCTTGCCACTTGGTTACCATGGCGACTCGTCTGCCCGAAAGGCTACGCGTCGTTCCAAATTACGCGGTTTCGGTGCTGGGAAGGCTAATCAGATACCGTATCATCCGTACTAAAGAAGAGCTTTGGAGATGAAATTAAACTTGAAATGAGCCTATAAAATTCATTTTTTTTACAGGGCTCTTCGGCTGGCGTAACGCGCACTGACGGCTACTCAAGGATCTCTGCCAGCCTGCCCCACCCTTCACTGCCTGGTTGAAGTGAAAACGTGATAGTAGGTTCCAGCTTTTCTATGACAACTTTTCGATTCTAGATTGGTGAGCCTGAGAAGGGATCTGTGATAAAGCAGCCGCGACGAATCAACGACCTCTTCCCCAATGGTTGTGCTCGTAGGCGCTGCGCAATCGATCGATCGATTGGTTTTGAGGTTGATGGGCAAGAAGCGAATAAGTAGGGAGCTTGGGGATTTTTGATTTATTAATCTTTTTATTAATGGATTGGGATTTTTTTTGCATCAAATAATAGGCTAGCAGAGAATATTTGGAAATTATGAATGGAGTTATTTTTTTGCATATTATGTTTATTTTTCGTTTGAACAGATTTAAATTTGATCAACTCGTCGAGCATCGTTCTTGAGATAATCAATTGATTTCTAAGCAATTTCACGCAAGCCTATTATATTCCGACAGGCGGTTTAAATTTGCCGTCATGGTGTATCGGAGCGTACGTCATCTTCACAAGTGAACCATCGGGCCAGAATAGCTGTAAATATGTAGAGTATTATGCTGTGCTTTCTTTAGTTACTTTGTGCTCCTCGGGTATCCATCGTAGCATAGCCGAATTCTGATCGTTAACGGAATACGAGGGGCAGAAACCCCGTTTTTCTTCCGTTCGTCGTAGCATCTCGTAGAAGACAATGTTTCTTTAATCCGGGATCTTTGTAATTATCTGCTCAACCTACCGAAAGCCCTTTCCTCGATGCTCGGGTGCTGTCCAGAGTCCTGATAACATTCCATAGTATTCCAGGAAACAGAAAGCCACCGGAAGACCCGTTTTGTCGTCGATTAGGGCTGCGCTCGGCTCCTCGAAACGGAGCCTTAACCGGAATTTGACTTTTTAGGCAATTCGACGCTACTTTAGGGCCTCTTCCTCTCCCTCTTCTGAATATTTCCACGTATCGGCCACATAAAGAGCATCATTGGCATTTAGGGGTCGCAACGTGAACCTGAATCAACACTATATTTTTCTAACAGATTCGAACCCATGGGGAATTGGTGGAATTTTGTGAAATGGTTGTGACGATGGCGGGACGAGTATGAGATAAGGTGCCTGATGGCCGTGTCCCACCCCACATTCTGCCAGCACAGCTAGCGACTGTAATTTCAGGGCGAAATGAGTTTGCCGCGAAAACCGACCTCTTTTATCATAATCTCATCGACGAAAATTTGGCCTAGATTAGAATAGGAAATACCTAGGATTTCGTTTTGAAGGTATTGGGAAGGAAACAAACCTTGAATTAGCACCGATTGGGCGAGAATCTGTCGAAGTCCTTTTGTATAGAGGTCAGCTTCGTACTCTCCGTCATGGCAGCCGAATAAAGCAGTTCTAGATTGGTTGGAAGCGAATTAAATATCGATAATCCATTTTACAAGCTATAGACAACACGGTAAAGGGCTCATGTTTCGTTTTTTATGTAAAATGAGACACGAACCTTTCAGAAAAGCGCTGAATACACAGCCAATAGGTGGCAGCGTGCCCCTTGAAGGAATAAATTTCCAATTCGGCCGTTGGGAACATATTTCGAAGCTGAAACGCTAACTGGTACTCTTCTAACCCCCTACCGTGAAAGCGATGGATGCCGAAATGACGTCCATTCTCGGGAAGCAGCTCGTAGCTTCTTGCGCTTTGACTAGGGCTTCACGAGTCTCATATCGATGAATGAAGGGTATGTCACGCATTACGTTTGAAGAAACAGTAGACTGGCTAGCAGAATTTCGCGGGATTTCTAGGTGTAAAAGTGAAAATATGGTGTGATTTGGCCCAAGAGCTCCCCGCTCCGTGTCGTCGAAAGGTATGAGAAACGATCGGGGAATGGGGGATATCAGTCATCCGGTCTTTTTTTACTCTTTCTTCTTTTCTTGTCTCTATCATTTTTAATGTTCGTCATTGGGGGGAACCCCAGCTGGAACCGAAAAATTAATTTGAAAAATGACAGCCATTTTCTTTCGTACTCTATGGAGAAGTTGAGAAACTCGTAAAAGGAAAAATTGAAATACGAACTATTTTCTGGATCTCTGCTCATCTCTTCTCTAATAATTAATAATTTCCATACTGCACAACGTAGTGGTTTGTGGTGTTGTGTGTATATTGAGAATTTGTATGTGTGTGTCCTATCCTTCTCCGATAGTTGTCATGTCCCCCTCCTCTTCCTCTCCTCCTTCCGAAACTCGCGAAATCTGATTTGGTCGCGACTTCAATTGACCCCTACCCGCTTGCTGACACCCTCCCCTCCATTCCCTTCTTTGCAGCGATTCCCCAAGCGCCTCCGCACGTCGCATACGCGCTTTTTGATTTTGTTGATATCGTGCTAATCTAGCTACTTTTTTGAAGGTCGGATCCATCGAAAACTTTTTCCAAGTACGGGCTTCCTATTTTCCAGTGCCTTCCGAGATGAATAGTAGGGATGTCCATCTGTTTGTCTCAGTCTATTCGTCTGTCTGTCTATCTGTCATATCCCTCCCTCCATCCCCCAGGGGCAACTCCTTGTCGTCCGTTTTTGTCACCACCCTATACGCATCACAAAGCTGCCCGTGCTTTGCAGAAACGGGTTCTTCCCCCCAATTTGCATATGTTTATGATGCGATGCTGGTGCTTGCTCTGTTCTGTGTCTGTGGTGCAAGAATCAGTCTGTCCTCCCGAACCTCTAGTATCAATCCGTTAGCCGTCGTGTGAATTGAATCGGAACATGGCCCCCCCGGGTGTGTGCCTTCCTTTCCGCCCACCCTCCGGCTGATCGAATCTCGACCGGGTGCCTGCCTATCCACTTCATGCCCCCAGGGCACATTCTCACACCTCCCCCCTTCAACCCAACCACCCGATCTGGGTCGTAGAAAATCAGCTTCGGGGGAATATTTCTGAAACTCACAACTTTAGAATCTCTGATCTTCAGAATTTCGCAATTTCAGAAACTAGCATCACATCTGTTCTGGCATCAAGGGGAGCTCCGGAAATTCATGGGAATTGCAAGATTATGAAATTACGAAATTTTGAAGTTCTGAGATTTTGATTGCGAGATTTTGATATCAAATCCAGATTCTGCTTTAGAATCGAAACTATCGCAAAACGGCCCGACCTTAGTCCTTGCCCGGTCCACCTCTAAAAAGCAACTCGACTGGCTTCTTCTTTTCACACCCGGCTGTCAACAGCCATAGCGCTCGCTTAATGCCCCCCTCGAAAAGCGATGCCGAAAGGCCAAAGCCGGGCTGTGGTTGATAGGATGATGATGAATGGGGGATCATCAAGTGGAGAGATGGAAAGGATTGTAATTCTTCACTGGTTCCCCTCCCCCACCTGGCCTCTCTTCTCCTCCCTTCCCTCGTCCTCCATCCCTTGAATACCAGATTCCATACAATCACCAGCTTGGAATGGCCTCTTCTCCGCCCGGTCGGAGGTTGAATGGGTGGAACCAGTTTTGCTATAGGATCCTCCCTGCTGGCGATCCGTGTATTCCGCCACTACCAGCTCACGGTTTTCCCGGATTTTGTCGTTTCTGCATTTTGATTTGTTTTGGCCCCCTGCCAAGCTGCTCCTAAGCCTGTGGCTATGCTTAAGCTGAAGTCTTGCATAACCTGCCCTCGGCTTCGACCTTGCTCTATTTTTATTGCTTTCACTCGACATCTGTTCTTCCTCGCTGTCCATCCTCCTATGGGAATTGGTGCATGGTGTAGCTAGTTGTGACTGGGAGCGTAGAGAGAGCGAGAGAGAGAGGTGAGAGTGAGAGAGCGAGAGCGAGACCCAGAGAAAGATAGGCAGTATGAGAATCGTGGGACGACTTTTGGCATGTGGGCCCTGCTGGCCGGCAAGTCCCCCCGTCTCGCGTAATATGATTATGGTAGAGAAGGGAGAGAAGGCGCTGGTGGAAGCTTTGTCGACGACCACCCAACACATTGGATACCCGTGAGAAGCGGGAGAGCCACACCGACCCGACCCTCGGTCATTTAGACGCTACTTGCCAAGCGCTTTCCAAAGTTTGGATATTACAGTACTTCGGGAAGCACCAAAAAGTGCATTTTTTTTGTCCTTCTCATATCCCTTATATCCCTTGTTAGTTGTTGCCCCCGTTTTTGTCTCCTTTTATTGGTGACTGAAGTGGAGGAGGGGGGAGGCTCTTCATTGGAATAGCCTCGGGGCCGCATCATCCCATCCCTTCCAAATATCAAATAGGGACCCAGTGATGGGCCCCTCTGGCTCTCACTCTTTCCTCTCTACTACCTGAAAAGCGCCTCTTTTTTGAAGGACCGCCCCCTCTAGGTCGACCCCCTCCCATAAATATGCCCCTAATCGAAACATTAGATACCCTCCTCGTAATAATCGGCTCGATGTTGCCTCGGCTCTATCAATTCGCTATCGATTGGCCGCCGTTAACACTCTTGCCCTCACCTCGCCATTTTGGCTTTTACTTTACGGCTCGATCGGCGCAATTTCACGCCCGTCTCGGCGAATTATTCCCCGAGACCTCCGCCCCTTCAGAAACTTCAACCCACCATATGTCGAGAAAATTACTGAATACCTCTGCGGAGCGGGCGGCCCGAGTCTCTCTTCCCCTCCTTGTATGAGCCCTTCTCATTCCACTCGGGTAACAGGGGCGCACCACCCCGCTTAATTAAATTGGGCGCTTTTGTCGGCGGTGGGCACCAAATAGAATGGCCGACAATGGCTGTCATTTTACTCCCATTACGCCCCGCCAAATACCTTAACACTTCCAAGTATCTGGCCCCCGCCGACATCTGTTGACATAATTTCGCAAATGTCAAAGATTTCCTAGATCGGATTTGTTATCTTGCCCTTTATAAGTTTATAAGGGTTCCGTAAGCCGCTTTTGAGATAGGAATCTGCGGAATTTCATAAGTATTGGAGTGCGGTTTCCGGCCCACGACCTTGCGGCTAAAAATGTCTCGCGAAACTTTGCCATTAACATTTGACGGTAGCGGGAGGTAGTAAGCAGGATCCCCGTCAATTTCTCGACTTCTCTGCCCTCTCTCCCCTCTACGATATCTCTCCCTGCCCTCCGAGATAATGGAGTTGTCGGGGCTGAATTCGGGGGCTTTGTCCCTCATTCCCCCGAATACCGTATCCATTTCCTTTGCCCTCCCGGCTGCCAATTCCCCTCAACCTATCGCCCTTCAGCTTCACGGCGAAAAGCATCGATTGAGGTGGTTTTTCGCATGGCAAACTAGCAAAGGTTCTTACGGAGTTTTGGTTAGCTTACAAGCGGACGTTTTTTAGTGACAATCGAGTTTCCGTCCGGGACCACGCCTATATTGCGCAGAATTTCTGCGCTGATTCCGAGCCTGTTTTCAAAATCAGCGAAATGATCAAATCGAAAAATAATGAAGCTTTTTAGAGCGGAAAAAGCAAACATTTGCCGAAACTGGGCCATTTTGGGCCTTCCTTAAAACTTAAAATTTCACTTAAAACTTTCCTCACCCTTTGAATATTATCGTTTCGTAGGTTTTGGAAAAAGGCTCGGAATCAGCGCCAAATTCTGCACAAGATAGGCTTGGTCCCGTACGGAAACTCGACTGTCACTAAAAAATCGTCTTCTTGTTAGACGAACTGCTAACGTCAAAGCTTGCAGTTATCGATCCCTCAGTTATTCTATGAGTTCCAACTTTTCAATGCGAACCGCTTTCCGACATCTGACTAGTTGAAAGTCTCGCCTCAATTCAAGCCTCCCCTTCTTTTTTGCATGTGCCGAATGTCATCGGGTTGTTCTTTCGTGGCGGGTCCTACTCCCCCATGGGGAATGCGTGTTCCTTTAATCCCCTCGCCTCGCCCTTTTTCTTTTCTTTCCCGTCGAAACGGAACGACAGAATGCGGCACTTTTTGAAGGTGAGGGGGGCTAGTGACTGGTAGATGTTCAACCTTTTTTCTGTGATCCCCAACCCCACTCATTCTACTGATTTATGCTGCCAGTCTAGGCTTTTTGCTGTTCTTTTTCTGTCTGGTGGGTCTCTCGCTTGCTCGCTGCTGGGCGGGAGAAGTCCAGGTGTTTCTCCATATCGCTCGGAGGTAGCTGATCGCCTTTCGATTACTGGCTCCCTGTAATGGTTATATTATTACCGAATTACAGAGCATCATTAATAGTCACTGAAAATTATTTCCACGGGACTGATTGCGGGACTTTTGGCTTACTGGGCCCTTTAATGATTATACAATTAAGGGAAACTTTTCCTGATGATATTTCGCAAGTCTCTCTCTCTCTCTCTCTCTCTCTCTCTCTCTCTCTCTCTCTCTCCTCCGCGGGCCCCATGTGCCCCATTTGGCCCCGATGGGATGGGATTTTTCACCTGGGACCCCCGGGCCCTACGCGACTGTACTCTCGACACATTTCAGGTGGCCCCTAACTTCTTGGCAGGGTCCCGCCAGGCGCGCGATTGTTATTGATCTCTTAATCGTCACTTGAAGTGCAGATTTTAGGAAATTAAAATCGACGTTTTCTTTTAGATGCTTCCCCGAGCTCTACTCTTTTTCCTCAGCCATCTCTCCTCGATCGTCTGGGGGTTAAAGTGTTTATCAGGTATGTAAACTAACATGGATACAGTTCGCTCGTCTCCCAATTTGAGGACATCCAACGGTACCGGCCGTCTGTCAATCTCTCTCTTATTGTGTGACGATACGAAACGCGAAGGGGTCTATTCAAAGGTCAGCCGCCAATTCAAAAGTATCATAAAGCGAGAAATAGGAATTAAGGGATGTTTTTAAGAAGACAATTTTCAGGGCATGTGATGGAAACGGGGTAAACCAGCTATCACTTTGTGCCTTTAATTTGGCAGTGCGTCGACCTCCGGGTGGAGGCGGAGTTCCATCTGACTATGCACTATATCCTAGTAAGTTTTAAACATTTTAGAATCTACGTTCAAAAGATGAAATTATATCTCGAACCATCTAGGCAAATCCTCGAACCGCTACTCCCCGGCGTCAACTCAGCAGCTGTGCTACAATGGCGGTGATCTCGGCGAGATATGCTGCTGCCAATGGGAGTATTGTAACGGAATTCCGCGCAATACACCCATAGCGCTTGCCTTTCTGATTCCCATAGTCTTCTTATTTATTGGCGGCTACCGATTGTAGCATCGGGAAGTGTAGTGGGCTTTTAGGGGATTTGATGTGTATCCCTATTTATTGTGATCAGCTGGTCTCGTTTCCAATTGCCCTTTTTGAAATGGCTGAAACAAGCGAAATATCCTTTGTCTTTCCGTCTCTCTCTCTCTCTCTCGCTCTCTCTCTCTCTTCCTTTTTTTGCGAACGGGTCTCGTGTTGACGTGTCGTCTATTCATATTATGATTCATTTTATATTTGAATTACATAGTGTTCTCGATAAATCCAGAGTGATACATCTAGATGAAACACGTGGTTCGGTGCTTTCTGGAGCTAAAATCGACGGAACAATTGATCTGATACCAGTTTTTCCATCGGTTCGCCAATGCTGGCTTTGCGAGTAGAAAAACTAGTTGTGCCGGGCTCGATCAGCGACTGCTTTATCTCCCCAACCAAGCGATGCTATTAAAATCTCTCTCTCTGTTTTTCTCGCTCTCTCTCCCCCTCTCTCTCTCGGTAACGAATTCATGCCATTGCTTCTTTTTCTATTGCTGTAGACAAACATCCAGAAGTGTGCGTGCGATCCAATGAATTCCCTGCCTCATTTCAGAACACGAAATGTCATTGAAAAGACACTCGTTTCTTGCGAGTCCAGGGTCCGCTCTATCTAGCACTATCTAGCACTAGCGCACAGACAATTTGTTGTCAAATACCACAAAATGGAGGACAGCAGCAGCGGGCGGATCGACGAAAACAAGCCGCCGAATCGTGAATGGTTGCTGATAAAATGAGTGATGGGCTTTGCGCTGCCTCAGCCACACGATTCACATGAATTCCCTCATCGTGTGAATTTCCGTTGCACTACCTGCTGACGTCGCCGGGGAGACGGGGTCGAGATAAAGATGATGGGTGTGGTGGACGTTCTTTGATACTTGTTCTGGGGGGAAGGCACGAGTTTTTAGGGGATTCAGGTACTTTGCTTTTTGATGGCACTGTCCCTTTAATGTTGCTAAGTTTGACTTTGCTTTTGCTGAGTTTTTGGCGGATTCCAGCCATCTCGACAGCTAGAATCCCGATAGCCAAAATGTGATATTTCCGGTCGTTTTACCCACAAATGATTTGAAATCTGGGGGTCTATGGCTGCCGGGATTTTGGCGTTTCCCGGTTTTGGCGTAGGCGTAGCCCGAGCTTCAATATTCCGAAAATCGTCATCAGGGACTTGTAAAATCCGCAACGTCGCTAGACTATACTCGATTCCTTGCCACTTGAAAAATGTGCCCCAATGCCCCGGCCTCGCCACTGATTGATATTTTGCTCTTTGCCCCTCCGGTCTCGTTTTTCTGTCGATTGCTAAACTCCAGACAACACACAGAAACCATTTAACGGCCTCGGGACATGGAATGTTAGAAAATCGGCCGATCCAGGCAGAAAAAGCTCTCAAAAGCTTTCAAGGAAAGTCTGTCCCATTCTGAGGGAGGGGGAGGTCGAGTAGGCGGAGCCAATCTGGTTACGGTACCTCTTTGACTCCTCCCCTCGCATCTCCCCTCGGGCAATCTGTCCATAGTACAGTTCCGTTCGGGTCGCCCTGCTGCTCCCCCTTTTGTTTTTCTATGATTTCACCAGTTTTTTCGAGCACATTCACGCGTCCGTTGTTGACCGTTGCCCCCGTATCAGCTCATCGTTTTTTGCACCCCCCGCGGATGGGCGTCGAATTGTCTGCGGTATTCTGCTTTTTACGATGAATTTTATAATCGACGCGCCAAACCGGCGCGCTTGCCGCATTTTATTAGAAAATAATTAAAACTAAGTATTTAGGCAAATTTTGGCGATTTTCCGTAATGTATTCTTAACAACCCGGACATTCTGTACGCATCAAATTTTCATCCAACTACCGGAGTTTGATTTGAAGCGGAAGTACCGAAAAATACCAATTGAACAAATTGGGGAAGAGTGGGTGGGGCGCAAATCACTTCACAACTCCATCATTCCCCGCCTCTTTCTTGTCAATCCCGCAATTGGTCTTTGGGAGAGCAATATCATTCACTATAGCTGCTCTATCTCGCTCTTCCCCCTCTCTCTCTCTCTCTCTCTCTCTCTCTCTCTATCTCATCTTCCCCCCTCAACTTTGATCCTGTACCAGCCGCCATTTGGCCTGAGTGGCATTTAAGCGTTCCCACACCGGCCGATGATTGTCTAATACCGCTTCATTTCAGTTTAATCCTTAGCATTATACTTTCGTAGTTTGTGTCATCCTCTTATATTTTACGCCCCGACCCAGACACCCAAGTATTTGCAATTAGTGCAGAGAAGACGTTTCGTTCCGCCCTGCGGTCGTTGCACCCGGATCTGAATTGCGAATCGAACTCGCGAAAAGAGGGAATGCGAACAATGTGCCCCACCCTAAAACACAAATCGGGGATCCGCCCTAACCCTAAAAAGCCACACGCGAAACCCTATCATCCAATTAGCCCCCGCGACACAGCCGCCAGTCCAAAACGAACATCCCCGATTGAAGAGGAAAAGGGAGGGATCGGGAAGACCGTAGTCCAAGGCTTTTCGGCAACGCCCAGATCAAAGTTTGAATTTGGAAAGGGGGTTGGGTTGGCGAACAACTGGGGGTGAGGACTTCAATAGACCTTTAGCGAAGGTTCCTAAAGGCTTCTGCTAGCTTCCTTAGGCTTATCCAAAGATGCTTGGATTTTCTGCATCGCCTGACACTAGCCTAGGCCTTAACTGGAATTGGTTCTCTCTCCTATCATGTGATATTCTCCCGCGATTTCTTCCTTTCCAAATACCTTTCGATTCAGCAATATGCTGCTGCTTGTCTTCATAACGGGAGCATGGGTGTTGTGGCAGCTTCTCGTTCGATGCTCGGTCGATGGAAAGGGTCGTCTTCGCCTTCCCCCCAGTCAGTCGCTTATCTCCATCTAAATCCTTCCAAAGGTACAGCAAAATATCGACTGCCCCCACCGCGAGTGTAGGGGGATCGTATTTTGCTTGTTGCTTCTGGCACGCTTCATCTTCAAGCTTGATCCCGGAGTGTTTCAGGTCCTTCCGGTTGGGTGCCGGTGCTTGGCCATCTTTGGCGACTCTCCCCCACCCAGCCCTTTCTAACGCTTGATAAATGGGCCAAAGAGCTTGGGGATGTCTTCACGCTTCATTTTGGATCCGAGCCAGTAATTGTTCTTTCCAGGTGGGTTTTGTTTAATATTTGCTTCTACAACGCTTTTGTAAATCGCTTGCTTTGGACGTTTTTCCCACGCGCATTCCTGGTAAGGGGCAGACATGAAAAAAGCATGGGTGCGGCCGCGGGCAGACGGGAACAGATTCTAGTTGGGGAAATTGATCATCGAACTGGCCGATGATTGGGGGCGAGACACGGTTTCACGAGCAAAACAAGATGAGATGCTGTCGCATCCAAACAAGCGTTTTTTGGAATTAGGTGGGACGTCGGCTTCCGATGTCTGAACTTTTTCAATTTCTGGCAGGCTGAGGCGAAAGTTGTTAATTTCTGGCGGAGGTGCTGATATCACGACACTTGCGGCCCGAAATTTTTATCCTAGCAGCTGATAGAGATAGTTCGATAGATAGAGATAGTAAATTTTTAGTCAATTTTTTCATAGCAATTCGCTATACGCGCCCTACCAAGTTGCGAAATAGCGTTGAAACCAAGTTTAAATAGGACCGACTATGTTTTAAAAACAATTTTCCTGACTGCATTGGGGGAAATGTCCGGTTAGCCTGGGGAAATTGAAAACTTACGTTACCTTACGCTATTTTTATTTCACGTATCTTTTCTTCGAGCTACCTGCCGTCCTAGACCCATAAAACACCGTAGCTATTTTGCGTTTCAAAAATAACTCGCAGCGTGCTGTGCGTGTGTGTGATTGCTAGCAATCGCGCAAGAAGTTTTACCGGAAAGGGATCCGATCAACGGGGCATTTTTGATGAAAAAGGGGAAGGAAATGGATCGAACAGTCGATTGACGACAGAGAATGGGGAGAGAGGGGTGGTGTATTTGGGATTGTGATGGATAGGTGGCACGGGGCGAAACCGTGTCTCGATCCCGGGACCGAATAGAACAGACCACAATCAGCACAATCAGTCGAAAACTTAGCGCAAAGAGATTGGGTTGTCCAGTTGAAGTAAGTATGCGTAATTTTCCGTGATTTGCAGGCAACGCGTTCTTCGAGAGGCCTTTGTGAAAGACGGCGAAAACTTTTCGGGTCGTCCGACGCTGTTCGTACATGAGTCTTGCTGGGGAAAGGGCTCCGTCATATCGGATGGGCCGAGAAATGCTTTTTTGCGACGTCATCTACTAACGTTACTGCGAGCCCGTAAGTTTCGCTTTATTTCCGGTGGTCGTTAGGAACTGGCCCTAGGGCAATCGACTATAAACTACACCCTAGGCCATTCTCTCTCTTACAGGCAGCCGGGGCATAGATTCTGTCCAAGATATGGTTACTGAGGAGATTGGGAGAATGGATGTTTATATTGAAGGATTGATGGTAAGTCAGAATACGAAGCAAAACAAACAATGGTTTTTTCGCATTATCGGGGGGGACTTTTTACATGCGGTCGAAAGTGTAGTAACTTAATAGAAAGTGTTTTAATAGTATTTTTAGCAATATATAACAATATTTCTATTAGAACGCTTTCTACAACCTTAAAAATGTTGCAAAAGTAGAAATTTTGGTCAAAAATCACAAAATCGATTATTTTGATATTTTTTAATAAAAATTTAAAGTCTGCACCTTTAGGAAAAAAACAATTTAGAAACACTTCTACAAATCATTCTAAAAATAGATCCTAAAAAAAACTTGGTTCTGCCTCCCGATAACCGCTTCACCCCCCGATAGTGCGAAAGAATCCAAACAATAGAGACATTTTAGAGGGAACAATCTTTGGGTGGAAATATGGCTGAGCTTTGCCTGGAAGACACAGTTTTCTATGTGGTTGGTAACGTGCTGACCAGACTTGTTCTTGGGCGCTCGTATCCCCATGGATCGGTTGAATTCAGGTAATACCCCACAATTCAGGCAACTTATCAGCGATAAGTGTTTAGGGAAACAGCTGGTTGGCTCGATGATACGACTCGATTAATGGAGCAAACAAAGGCCCTCACGTTCCTGCCATGGCTTCGGTTGTTGCCCGGAGCGGGACGGAGTGGATACAGACAAATGAAAGAACAAGCAACGAAAGTCCAATCAATGATGAGGGCGGATATTCAGCAAAGAAGGAGGACGGGTGGTATGTTCATTCGAGGAAATGACTCCTCACTTTTCCACTGTAGAATATCGCGATCTGCAGAAGAACGATCTGACCTCGGCTTTTCTGAGGCAAATTGATGAAGCCGGAGAGAATGGAGATCTCTTCTCTGAGGAGGTGCTGGTCAGATTGATTACTGAAATGTTCTTTGCTGGAATACAGGTGAGAACTTTGAAGTCTATTATTAGTATTATTATTGAGCAGACTGAGTGCAATACGTTTGGATGGGCTTTCCTTTTCTTTCTGTTTAACCCTGATGTCCAACAGGAATGCAGGGAGCATATTCAAGAAGCGGTAAGTTATAAAGCTTTTTTTGTCCTTCCGCTGAACTCCATAATGCAGTGAGGCCTTAGCAACCTAAAAACATAAGCCTTTTGATTTTGGGTGGGAGACGACGAGCCACTACTTTGGGCCGAAAAGCAGCGCCTACCCTATCTCGAAGCAACGATCGCCGAGATCCAAAGGTATTTGCTACTCTTCTACTATTAAGTTGACGATAAAGGTTGGCCAACATTGCCCCCTTCTCAATGCCTCATCGGAATTTCCGGGAAACAACGCTGGACGGGTACCGTATCCCCGCCGGCTCGACGATATTTATGAACTTGTACACGACACTAATGGATCCGAGTGTTTTCGAACGTGGGTCGAGGATATTGCAACGAGATCAAGAATTCTAGATCCCTCCCAATTCCGCCCAGCCCGTTTCTTGTCGTCATCTGGTGGTCTAGATCGTGCAATGATGGCAGCGGCTTTGCCTTATGGTCTTGGATCTAGGATGTGTATGGGGGAGACGATTGCGCGGTGCGTTTGCGCGACGTTGTCTTTTTGTTATTCCGCAATTCCCGTTACTAAAACCGAAATTACAGACTGGAGTTGTTCTCGGTGATTGGCCACCTTCTGCGGCGATATTCATTCGAGAAGGTTCCCAGTGAGACGTACAGTCTCGAGCAGCGAATGGAACTCACAATTCACCCCCAAAAGTACTGTATACGTGTCAGAAAACTGTAGAAGCCTTTTTCAATGCGTCAACGTTTGGATTTCAGTGCAATCTGTTGATCGGCTCCTCTTACCACCATCCTTTCCGCCTTTTTTTTGCTTCTCCCGGGTCCCCCTTTCTTACCCTCTCTGGCTCTCACTCTCTCACCTCATAAGATCTCGCTCGAATTTGCCAAAACAACATTTATTCCTTATTGCCAATTAATATTGCAAGGAAAACTTAGAATATATGTACATGCCGGGTTGGTTGTCGCAATAAAATTAATATTATTATTATGATAAAATTAGAAATAAAATTCAATAATGAGTGACACGAAATGCTCGGGGAGTCAATTGGATAGCCTACAATCGGTTGATGTCTTAAAAGACGCTAGCGAGGGGGGGGGGGAGGGAATTGTTACGGAATATTCAGAAATAATACGGGCCGATGATGGGCAAGAGCCGGGGAAACAGGGTGCAAAATATAAAGCAGCAAAATTGCAAGTCTTTGAAGTATTTTGGAAGGTATTGTTTTGAAGAAGCCGTTTCTAGCACTACGCTGGACACGAAATGACGAGCCGGGAACGTTGTAACCTAGAAAAATTTTTATTGATCTGCCATGAATCAAGAGGATCAGTATTAAGCTCTCCGATACCTTATGCTACCCCAGCCAGCGTCGTGGAGCCGGTAGAGCGTCTCCGAAGTCGAAGCACTTCATCGGCTCTTGCCGGGGCCAGTCGCGAAGGGGTCTCGGTGTGGTTCTCCTTTTCTTCTAGCTGCCAAGCGGCTGTCCTGGATAGGCGGGCAATTAAGGATACGGTAGCAAGGGTGTACCTGTAGACTTTTGTGTGAATAATGTGTCCCATCCGATCCGAGCCGTAGACCTTCTCGAATAGCTCCCGGTACCAGAACTCTTCTTTTGTCTGAAATTTTTATTGTAATTCTAAGCTTAGGCGTAGCCGTCTTGATTTGGGTTTTTTAGGCTTAGTTTTTCAGGATGGATGCTCCATTGAGCCAGATTCTCGGCAGCCTTTGATCTACCAGGCTTCCGTGGGCCCGCTCTCTCTCTCTCTCTCTCTCTCTCTCTCTCTCTCTGCCTTCAGCCTACAGGTGCCACCGGGTGCGCAATGGCTATCTGCATATCGCCTCTGATCTGCCCCTCATGTTTGTCTGCAGTTGTCTTGCGTAGTCATTAAGAGAAGAGGCCAACGGGTACTCCTGCACCCAACCAACCTCTTATCTCCCCCAAAAAGATGCCCGAGGGCATGCACGTGTGCTAATCAAGAAATAGGGGCACATGGGGACCAGGGCTAGCATAGTTTCTTGGGGAATATATTACCTCGGGCGTCCGATCGGGGAATAAAGCATGTCGGGCGGCGAAACGCTTGTCAGAGATGATGGTATTGCAGTGTGCATTCACAATCTCCCCGAGATCATGTTTCCCTGAGAATTTCGTCGCGTAACCGACTGGATTTCCAAGATACCTAGAGCCTCGCCGAAACCTTCCTTGCTGCGCCAAAGCACCTCTCGGGGTAGCCAGTCTTCAAAGGCGGCCCGAAGGATGTGTTTCTCGACACGTTGGGGCTGTAGTTTGTATTGAGGTGGGAGACGAACGACCAGATCGATGAACTAAATGCGGTAGCTTCTTGAAGGACGATAGGAAATTCTAACCTTCTTGTCGAGAAATGGGACTCGAATCTCGAGGCCATGGCACGAGGTAGCGCGATCGGAACGGAGCACATCGTACTGATGGAGGAGGGCCAGCCGGCGATGGATTTCCTGGTGAACGTGGAAGGCTGAGGGGGCCTTCTGCATGTACGCATAGGAGCCAAACAGCTCGTCCGCTCCTTCGCCTAAATCCAGGTTTAGATCAAACTTCGTTTTTTTATGCCGCAGCTTAGGCATATAGCGTGTTTGATTGACATGATTTCCACTCACCTGACAAAAGCACCTTCACATCTGACACCTGGGCGATGTGTCGACAAAGCAGATAGTGGGCAATTCCACATCGCACAATTGCCGGCTCGTACGTCTCCAGGGCATATATGACTTCTGTAAATAAGCATTGTCACGATTTGATCCAAGTCGACTTACCGGGAATGATGTCGAGACAGTCCTGTGGGGTGATGACGTGCACAACATGTGGAATATCGAGGAATTGGGCGACGTGCCGGGCATTCTCCAAATCTGGAGAATCTTCGAAGCCTACGGAGAAGGCCACCTGAGAATCTTGTTGTTAAAGGTGTTTAATGGAATGTCTCGTACCGGCTTGTGCTTGAGGGCCTTTGTGGCGATGGCGGCAACGAGAGAGGAATCGAGACCTCCAGACAGCATGAACCCAAAATGCCTATTTCCCATCAACCGCTTCTCAACACTGCTCACCAGCATGTCCCGGATCAACGTCTAGAGAATTTTATTTTTTCAGGCTTATTGTTAGGCGTATGCTTACAAGGAGACGTTTTTTAGTGACAATCGAGTTCCGTCCGGGACCAAGCCTATCTTGTGCAGAATCTTGCGCTGATTCCGAGCCGTTTTTCAAAAATTTGCGAAACGATAAGATTCAAAAAGTTATGTAGGTTTTAAGAGTGAAAATAGCCCAAAATGGCCTGCAGCAATTTGTGTCTTTTCCACCTTAAAAAGCTTCATTAATTTTTCGACCTGATCGTTTCGCAGATTTTGAAACAGACTCGCAATCAGCGCAAAATTTTGCATAAGCTAGGCTTGGTCCCTTACAGAAACTCGCTTGTCACTAAAAAACGTCTCCTTGTTAGCTTTGATTTATCACCTACCTGAGCTTGCTCTTGCGTGACGAACCGGTCTGCATGCGGGGGAACAGTGTAGTATTTCTGGGGCTTAAAGGGCTGAGGACGGCCATCTATCATCCGAATCGTGGCACAGGAACCCGGAGGGAAATATTCAACCCGGACACACACGTCTACGATGCTCTTCGCCTAAAGATTTTTGCGAGGATAGGGATTGGCAGTTTATTGGTGGTACCTCGGATCCAAAGAGTAGGTGGCCCTCTTGGGTATATCCATAAAATAGGGGTCGTACGCCGAGCGGATCTCGGCCCACATACACGCATTCCTCGTCCGACATCAGAAAGGCGAACACACCGTCAAGCATCGCGCACGCCTCACTAATTATGTAGGGAAATAGACAGCGAGCGAGACAACGCACCTAAGATTGCGGCCCGTCTTGTGGAATGCATGGATGATGGCCGCACAGTCGGAACCGTTATTTGACAGTTGCAGAGGAGAACCGGCTGGAAATGGAAATTTTCATGTCGCCACCCCTTTAAACTCTTACCCTTAATGGCTGCATGGTTGTACAGTTCTCCATTGCAGACTACCGACAGCCCAGCTCCGACGATCGGCTGCTCGCTTGGCGTATCCCCTGGCTAAAATGCCGAATTTCATCTTCCTGCTTTCCCATTCTCCGTCCCCCTGATAGTGCACTTTTTCTGTTGCGCGCCGTGAGCGCGTTAGACGATTCGTCACCTCTGGCCATTTCCCCGTGTCCCCTCCTTTAAGCGGAGAGGTCGGAAGCGGAAGGGATCGTCTCCCCACAGTCCATGTTTGGCCCTTAGCCCTATTCTGCGTCTCATACTAACTCACGATCTCTCGCATTTCTCTGCTCCCTCCCCCTTCCGCTTCACTCGCCGAGCCTTAGCTGTTGCTGCTAGAGATGGTCTCTACGTAATCGGGAGGCCGATTAGGGGGGGGGCAAATAGATTGGATGTTGATGGGTAGAGAGAGAGAGAGAGAGAGAGAGAGAGAACGATTCGATCACGCAGGCGCTTCTTCGCAAAGGGCGCTCTTAGCATAGACCGGTTCGACTCGATGCTGATTGGGGCCCAGACCGTTGGCCCAGTCATAAGACAAATAGTCGCCGGCGGATTCATCACCCCATCAAAAGATAATTTAGCGCATGGTTTAAAGGGGTGGTGACACTAGAATTCCAGTAAAAATCACGTTAAAACTCCCCAATGTAAATTTGGGTGGAAAATGAGCTAGGCGCTTATAATTAGCCACTGACCATGACGATGGCGAGCCGGTGGAAACCGAGGTGGACACCTGGGTGAGGTTGGGTGAGCACGGTGAGATCTGGGCCTCGGCCGACGATTCCGAAGAAAGAGACCCTGCTCGCGGGGACTCACACCACCCACCGCCCCAAGCATTCCCCAGATCCCGCACATCCCTGAAATGTTGGCAATTCAAATAAGAATAGCTAATACAACGAATAGATCGTACATTGAAAGTAGAATAGGTTGCTGATTCAATTTAAGAACCTCTGCCTAAAGCTTTCCGACGAAGCTACAGGTATCGGCGCATTAATGAAAGGCGAGACCGTTGATCTCAAGGCGTAGATTGAAGTCAGATTCGGCGAAGGGCCTAACCCCGATACCTAAAGTCGGATCAAAAACGAAAATGATTGACGAAGGGTTTGATGGTGAATGGGGGGCGGGGCCCTAAGGGGGGACAAGCTGGGACCCACCAGCCTCTTTTATCGCATCGGAGAAGCCAAGCGAAGCGCGCGGGGAGACAACTCGGGGGCACGCCTCCCCCTTCTAGACAAACCGGATGGTTAGATGAATGGACGGGACAAAAAGACAAACTAGCACTTTGCAAACTCATTTCGTTGGTGCCAGGTGGGCCTGATCGAGTGATATCATGGATTAAAGGGACCGAGACGGGGATTGCAGTCAGGAAGAAGATACTGCTGATTGCTGATCTTGAAGAACGCGATATATTAGCATTAATGCTATAGGTAGAGATTGTAGTGTATTGCCACATTTAGCGATATTGAGGCTGGAGAGAAATCCGAAGTCTGTTATTGCGTTAGGCGAATGTCATTGCATCGTACTGTATCGTAATCTGGGTGAAATTGCCCATGAATCGCTTTAATTTTTACTTTCTAGAAACATAAGTTGCCATCTGAGTTCACGATCTCATCCCCGGCGATCCGAAGACCGTCCGTGTCCGCAGCTCCCCCCATCGAGGAGACGCGGAGGCGCCTCGGGCCTCGGGAATGCGGAAGGCCAAATACGGCCGTCCCGCGTGGCCCCGACCCATTTCGACATCTCAAGCATTTTGATGGTAGTGGGAATGCTGTGGCGCGGCCAAGTTTCCGGGAACGATCCGCAGACTCTGCGAATTGTACCTAGGGTTATTTTGGTGGTAGTGATGCTGAAGGTATAGGAAAATCGAACACATGAAATCCTGTAATTCTGAGAAAATTATTAAGCCTTCCCTTGCATGTCTCTGATACCATGACGTAAATTTACACACCGGCTGGAATTGAGCGGGATCTTGGTGATCCGAAGGTCCTGTTTTGCATGTGGTGCCGATTACTAGGATGTGATCGGCTTCTCGAGACCTTCTCAGACTATTTGCCTCGGCACACGAGACCCGCGGGGACCTGTCTAATATTTTGCGGGGTCGATGGGGGAGTGAGGGTGCACCCCATCCAGATAGAAGAAGCTGCAGTGAGGGTAGAAGAGGGCCATGAACCCTCTCCACCATCGCCACCCTCGCTCGGCTGAGGCAAGGGGTGGGGGGACACACCACGCGGAAGCGTCACGCCCGCCCCACACCATGCCCCCCCTTTCAAGACAACACAGCTGTATGATCGAGACATTAACGACGATTCGCGAAGCTGTAGCTCAACTTTTAGGCCGTGTGCAGGGCTCAGTTGAGAGATATCTGATGGATACTTACCATAGCCGTCAACAATAACAAGACAAAAACAAGCACTATGGGTCATCTTTAGCTGCCACTCCTGCAAAATAGAGAAAGCGGAAGGTGTGGGGAAATTTTGGAGAGCGGACTATCGGGAATGCTCTTTGAAAAGCTTCGCCTTTCTTGATCTGTCATCCCAAAACTTTTGTTTTCCTTCCATTAGTCACCCAGTCACCCTCGCAAAGGCGCAAAGCCAATTTTGAAACGGTGGCCTCAGGGAAAGCGTAAGGCAAACCTTGGAGGACGTGCTTTTCTTGAGTGGACAGATGACAGGTAAGAGGACAAACATACGGACAGACAACCCGGCTCTTGCCTAGCAAGATGGCTACTATGGGCGTCATCCGGGGCCAGGATATCTGTTAGTGAACAAATAGTCGGATTGAGATTCGTGTGTGGGAAAACGGCTCAATGGAATTCAGAATATGTGACCGGATCAGGGAGGTCTGAAAAAGATGCTGAGGGTTATCATAGGTCGGCTTCTGCTGTTAAGTTTCGCTTAGGCTTATGATTTTTGGGCTTGGGCATCGCGGTCTCCTTTAAGGCCTAGATTGGCTTAGGCTTAGGCTTAAGCTTAGATTGAGGCCTACCGCATCATAGCTATATGCCGTAATGGGCCAGTTGGGCGGCGATTGGGAGACTACTTTGTGTAAATCGTTAAATTCTCAATTCCAGAGTGTTGCCTGTGGGAAAACGGATCACTGAGATCACACAAGTTAAAGAGAACGCGACAAAGCTACAGTTCGAGAGCGAGACTACCCGGATGCCAAGGGAACTGTAGTTGGCATGGATGCTGTTGGAGGGGGGTTGAGGGGGGCTGTTGACCCAGTGGCTTCTCTCCCTCCCCGGGGCCCTTCTTCTTTACCCCTTTGTGTCCTCAGGGCCCATGCTTAAGGCAAGGAAGAGAGAGACGGGCAGTGAGTGAAAGATAGAGAGCCGACTCCTCCCGAACAGTCTCCAGTCAACGGGTCCTCGCCTTCTTCACATCCAGCTGGACAGTCCACTTGCGCCCGCAGGCCATGCAACTCGCCCCGAGTATCGATGAGGACGCCTGGAGTCACTGCGCCAAGGACACAGGCAAGTCCTCAGCTTCATTTGCTTAAATATTCTGGTAGATTTTTACCAGGAATTTTCGTTCCGAGTGCCAAAGCCATTGTTAAGTTCAGTAATTTGGGTTCGCCCCTAACCACAGTAAAGCTAGTTTTTAACTTCTGCCCTGCCCTAAGCCCTAATGCCCTATCGAAGGGCCATCCGGGCCACAGCTTGTCGTTTGCCCTGCCTGATCGCGCGGGGTGCTGACAGCCCCGCCGAAACGGGAAATGCCGACGCCAGAAACGGGGTCTGTATCTAGCATCTTCTGCCACTGTATCGCTGAACTAGTGATCTTATCCGACCAGTCCTTGAAAGCCGACTTCAAAGATCGCCTCAGCTTTCTAGTTACTCGCTTGAGGGTGTCCCGAAAAAACCCCTCCCCTCTAACGGCCCGCAGTGATCTTCGATTTTAACAATAATCCGAATTTTTATACCATTCCTGCAAGCCCGAAAGTAGCTTTTTGAAAGCCATTTGAGAAAACACAGGTTGCGCGAGGCTGAAGCCGATTGAAATGAGGTTTAAGGAAAACCTTGTAGCTTTTGCATGTAAAACCCGAAAGTCGAGCGAAGAATTGGGAGTTTCGCCAAGGCAAGAACATTTCGATTCAGCTCTTCGAGAGCTTTCGATAGAAACTAAATCGTAGGAATCGGACATGGCTGCTAACCGCTAGAGGGGGTGAGGTTTTTTTGGGACATCCTGTAATTATCAATATCATCTGAAATTTTCTGTGTTCGCTTCGTTCTTGCGCCTACGCCAATGCTTCTTAACCGAAAGTTAATTTATTGCGTACCTACCCCAAACCCGATCCCTTTAAAAGAAAATCCGAAACCAAGCGACTGGCTCGCGGGCCCTCTTCTCAATGTCCGGTCCCCCATCCCAAGGCGGCAAATCGAGTGCGCCAGGCGCGTGTCCGGAGAACACCCCCCAAAACAACGATTCTCGACATAACAGTCCCTATCTTTGCATTCACCTTCAATTACCGTGCGTTTCTCAAATGTTTTGATTGCCTAACCTAGCTGGGGTAGACACCGAACGCTCCCGAACCCAGTTGACCTCGCTGGACTTTTCCTAAAAAAAGGACCCTCCTTCTTTAAAGACAGTCTGGCTGATCGGTACGGGGCTGAGGTGGTGGTTGTGGTGTGCGTCGTTCTAATCTGTCTAATCCGTGCTATGGGTGGCCCCTGATCAAGCAATGGAGACGTCCCCTTTCCCACTGCTTGATGACGTCGCGGGGCCGCCCGCGTCCGCCCAATTCGAATCGTCCAAACTCTTTTTTCTTGCAGCCACGGCGCCTCGTTGGCTGACCTCCGTATTTGCCTCCTCGTGGCGAAGCCAGTGAATCGAGAGAGATCAGAGATAGATACAGAGACAAGCAGACTGTTGGGACCTTTTAATGAAGCGAGTGATCCGATTAGATGGGCCCCAACCTGCGGGGAAGGGGGGGTGCAGCCTTTTTCGTCGATTATAGGGCAAGAGGGATGTGCTTCAAAAAGACTGATGAGTAATAAACCAAAGCACATTTCACGTCTAGTATGTGAACTGTTATTGAAAAACCTGAAATTACACACTGAAAATTAGCTGTCATAAGGCTCTACACAACGCGACACTCCTATCGACCCAAAAATAGATGGGGTCAAAACTTTTAGGCCTTATAACTTTAAAACCGAAACTAATCTTAAAAAATGCTTGCTCAGGCTTTGTAGAATGGAACGCGGTGATTCTAGTGCTGCCTAGCACTAAGAAAAGACTGGCTCAAGAAAGTAGCAAAAGCAAGGCGGTTTTTGTTGGCGACTTTGTGAAAGTGGTATTTCGGAGAGCTCACTTGCCCTCTTTGGTATCATTCGAACCCGAAAATCCTACTCTCCAATAATCATTATTGGATTTTCAATATTAAGTCAGTTAGAAAAAATTATAGCGCGCGCTACGCTCGGCTACTATGCACGCTTTTGTGCCTCGGGCACACTGCCGTTTTTCCCCTGTTTGACTCGCGGTGGTTATGAAGTACGCTTACTGCAGCCCGAAATATAACGCAGTGGCTGACGGAAGCCAAAAAGAAAGGTCGTCTGCCCATGTCTGTATGTTCCCACAGGGCCGTGTATGCCTTCAGAATGGTTGTTGGGTGGGTCCGGTCCGGGGTAAGGGGTGGGGGGGGGGATAAGGAGGGCAGCTTGTGGTTGGGGATTTGGCCTAGGCCCCGGGTCGGGTCAGGACGAATTGAAGGGGGTTACGGGGGGACAGGACAGGTCCTCTCCAACACAAACCAACCCTCATTTCGACTGGCACCACCCTGGAGAGTAGACATGATCATTCTCCAACTATTCCCCACGACCTCCACTTTTTCTGAGGTGTTCGGGTTCGGAACATGGCATCTTAGCCGTTTCTAACTTTATCACTGTATAACCTAGAGCCACTAAACGAAAGCTACGGCGCGATACTTCACTTCTAATTTTGCACTTCAGAGTGTCTACTTGGGATGGCAGTCGTCCATCCAGCACTTCAAGATGGACTGCCTGGTACAGGACGAGATCCATCTTCAATTCCATCATACCGATGGTTTCCCTCTTTCCGTCTTGTTACCGCCTCGCTACTATGTCTCTGTTTCTCCAGGTGATTCATCTTGAAGACGTCAATTCTGCAGTCACCTCAAAATCAGAAGCATTTCTTACCGAATAATTCTAGTGTGCATATGATGAACAGCAATATGGGGATGGCTATCGTGTGCATGGTGAATTCTTCGGAATTTGACGACAATTCCACTGATCTTTCTCTGGAGGGCGGGGAGCCGAGGCTCAATTGGACGTCTGAGCAGATTGTAAGTGCCTAAACAGATCGGATTCGAGTGTAAATTTTTTTGCAGGGCTACATCTTCTCCGCTTTCAATTTGGGATTATTGCTAATGTTGGGCACCGGGTACCTGGCCGATCGTTTCAATGCCAAGTGGATGATCTTGGCTGCGGTGGCGGTGGCCTGTGTGGCAAACGTGATTATTCCTTTGCTGTCCCCATACAGGTTCGCTTCCTCCAAATTTATCGATTTCTATCGTTGCCTCGTATTTGCAGTGTTTATTATGCGGTGGCCGGTCGTTTCCTGGTAGGGCTTGCTGATGCGCTACTGCAGCCTGCTGTCAATTCGTTGATAACACGCTGGTTCCCGGCTTCTGAGCGAAGCTATGCACTTGGACTAGCTACCGGTGGTCGCCAGATTGGTTCGTTCTCACCGAATCTCTGCTTCATTTCGATCATTCAAGGCGCCCTGTTGATCGTACCAGCTTCCGGGGCACTCTGCTCGCAAACGGTGCTTTTCGGTGGTTGGCCATCAATCTTCTACATATCGGCAATCTCGGGTGCATTCTTCATCGTCGTCTACCTAATCTTTGGTTTGTAAGACTGCTATTACAAAATCAAAAGTTCAGGCGCGGATAAGCCCTCGAAACAGTCGTGTATTAGCGAGGCTGAACTGAAATTCATCACTGCAGCCAATCACATTGAGGACTGCGGCCAGAAGAGGAATGAACGTCAGGTATATTTCAGGCTAAAGGTATGCTGGAAATCAACCATTTGAAGATCCCATGGTCGGAAATAATACGGTCGGGACCTGTTTGGTCCGCTGTCGTCGCGGTTGTTTGCCACGAGTTCCCGTTGATGACGATGATCATGTTTTTGCCTAGGTACTTTTAATCGGCTAAAAATTTATGCCTACGACGTTCAAAGGGATTTTTAAAATACCATCGAGTCCACTTATAGCTACTTACACGATGTACACAAGTACACAGCCACCCAAAACGGTATCATGTCTGCCCTGCCGGCCCTCAGCCTGTGGATGGCCAAACTGGGGTCGAGCTGGTTGAACACGTGGCTGCAGGCAAACACGAATTGGCATAAGAGCAAGATATGCAAAGTGGGTCATCAAACAGACTGGCCATTAATTTTTGAAACCAGGTGCTGAACCTCGTCGGCTCGCTGGGATTGGGCATTTTCTTATACGGGACGACGTTGTTGGATAAGGATTTTGCTTGGCTTGCCGTACTTTTCCTCTGCTTGTCTATGGCTTCTGCCGGTAGGTTTAGCCCCCGAAGTTACCTACAAGAGTCGAATAATTTCAGGATTACACACGCCGGGTTGTATGGTGGCACTCGTGTCGGTGGCGCCAGCATATTCTGGCGCGATTACAGGCTTTGCTTTCTTCTGGGTGGCATGTGCCGGCATGTTCAACCCCATTCTGACGAAATGGATCACTCAGGTACGCTTTCTTGGAACAACTTTCCAAGCAACAACTGTCTAGCCAAACAACTTACAATTTCAGGAGGGCACGCACGCCCAATGGAACCTCGTGTTCTACATTTCCACGGTCATTGCCCTGTTGCCGTGCATCACATTCACGTTGTGGGGTTCAGCAAAGGTGGAATAAATGTAAAAATCGCAACATTATAGAATTTTTAGGTGCAACCATGGGCCACAATCCATAAGAGCTCGATCACGTCGTCGAAAAAGTCGCGCTGCGAGGTGAAGGCCGAGCTGAATGATGTCGACTAAATAACCGCTGCCTGTAAATCATTCCAGTAAAATTTTGCTTGCCAGCCGCGATGTATTGTATTTATTTTCGCCCTAAAACTAGTCATCTTGCAATTCATTATCCAAAGTCCATCCCGGGTCGAAACCCAATTATGAAACCTAGAAAGTCGTAAATTATTTATCGTTTTCCCTTCCTTGTCATTTATTTAATGAAACTTTTCGCCTTTCGCTACCCTTAATTTTATTAAATTGAATTTCGTTCTCATCACCCTTCATTTTTTTTGTCGGTGACGCGGGTCGAACTTTTGTTTGTCGAAGTTGAACGTTTCCGATCTTTTCGATTCGATAAACTTACTGACCAAGTGGCTCCAGCTATGAATACGGTACCATAACCTACACATATCAATGCAATGAATTTTCCCCAATATTTGCTGCAAGAGAAAATCTCTTGTTTTCGTAAAGCCTTGTTATCACTGGCTCCATGTAGTTCCTATGTACGCGGATGCCTGTGCACCCGCGTCATTTCGACGAAAATGGGCAGCAGCCCTCTCAATTCCTCTCTGTCCCTCATTCACCCTCTGCCGATTAGATATTGTATTCGCTTATTGCGTGTTCTTCAGCACATTTTCTTTCCTTCAAACTTCCGTTCCGCTTTTCTTCATCCTACTATATATAAAAAAATAGTGTCTGTGTGTGTGTTTGTGTGTGTGCCACTTTGCATCCACTTCCGTCTGTCTGTCCGGAGGATATATCAAGAAGGGACGGGTATTAGGCTACGCATGATACGTAATTAGGTGCGTAATGGTCTAGGGATGACTGCACACATATCAGATTTTTTAAAATTAGCCATTTTCGCCATTAAATTTAGATTTTTGTAAAGACCTCTTTGTTAGGAATAATTAGCATAGACCGGAAGTGGGCGGTCGTCTATATAAAGAGGCAGAAGAGGTTGTTTCTCATTTTTTTTTGTCTTCTGAATGAAGGACAAGTATGCAAAGGGAAGGATAGTATGGGGTCCGAGACGGGGCCAGGGTTGAAAAGTCGCGAAGCGGCTTTTCAACCCTGGTTTACTTGCTAAATTTATTAGTCACCGTTTCAATAGAATCATTTCAGGATGAGTCGTCATATTCGGGTCGACGCGCGCAACATCCGCTCGCGCAACCGTTTCGAGAGGCTCGCCCAAATCGACCCTGACATCCGTGGCCGGCAAGATGATGAAGATGTGCCTGGTAACGATTTACTTTCTTTTTTATATAAGTTTTTAGCGAATATTCGAAGACAACATGCGTTCAACGCCAATCGCGGCGTCTATGTCCCTCGCGGAGCCCGTGGCGCCCAGCAAGGGGGACGAGGAGGTGGTGGTGCACGCAATGAGGTGAGGTTTTTGCTTTGGCGGAAAAGGATAAGCCATCGTTTTATGAAAAGCATCAATTTCTTTTTTTCAGCAAATGATGCGTGGCGCGGCAGCTGGAATGCAAAGGGATGCGATTCTCGTCTGGCAGATTAAGGTTTTTGACCGTTGTTTACGTATATTTTGTATTCCAGATTCGCCAAGGGCATATCTACCCGATTGCCTGGGTATTCAAGCAGCTCGGCGCCAGAGTGAGCTCTTCCCTCATTTCAAATTTATTTTCTGTTTAGATCGAAGACTTCAAGCCGATCCTGCCCCAGATCGACAATCAAATGAACCTCTCGTTCTATGTGAAAGATGAGGAACAAGCCGATTCGATCAGCGTCCTTTCGGACCGTATCAGACATAAGGAATCCAGCACATCACTTCGCATTTGGAAGAATCAGGTTTTATCAGTGAAGATTCTTCTATATCTATATCGTTAGGTGGTGGCTCCTTGGAGACGACTTCGCCAAGAAGACGTCCAACTGATCAACCAAGCCCTGGATACCCGCTACAATGAAGAGGGCCGGGCGCTCGATCTTTCTGAATTCTCCAAAATTCCACGTGAGTTTTTTTGTTGTTGGCCCAGCAAATCATTTTTAGTTTTTATCCAAAATGACAAACTCTTCCGACTCACCAGCAACCAAATTATGTTGCATGTACTCGACCGGATTGACGAGAGATATGGCCATATCACCGCACTTAGTCTCAAGGTATCATTTTGCGGCATATTTACAGAAAAAAAAGAGAGATTTGTTTTCTAATTTCAGTTTGTTTATTTTCAGATGAACAACTTGGCGAGCCTCGACTGCGCCTCAATGCTTCTATGGGCCACGAAATACGTGAAAGTGTTAGATTTGTCGGCCAACGAGGTAAATGACCTCTTTCGTATGATTGCATTGGTTTCCAGATTTCTTCGATGGATCAAGTGGCCAAGCTGAAGGGATTGCCCGTCGAAATGATCTTCCTTGAGGGCAATAGACTGTGCGACGAATTCTCCCGGTCCACCGACTATCTCAGGTCCCTTTGTTCTTTAGGCACTCTGCGCGAATCTCGAGCTAGCTATCCAATTCGTATTATGATAACACTTTCGTCTATATTTTTCTATTTGTTGTTGGTTTTTCTAGCTCCGATAACTTCTTTCCTATTTATTCTGCTTTTAACCAGCTCGCCGCGTACCAATAAGCGTTTAGTGCCGTCCACAACATCTTCCCGCGGGTCAATCGATTGGTGGGTGTTTTATTGTTTCTTAGGCTTTGCTTTTTGAATAAGTGTTACAAAAATTTCAACAGCGTTTTTAGGACGGAATTGAAGTGGCGCCGCAACAAACTGGGACGGATCCGAACGAAGACGCCGGACTCGAGCCACCATACAAGGTATATTCGTCATGGCCTTTCGATCTATCTTGTTTTAGAACTCGTACTTCAGCGATTCCGATGTGGTCGTCGGCATCGTTCAGTCCTTCATTTCTGAATATTTCAAGGTAACCTATTTTAAGAACCTATGTTTACCTTTCTTTAGATTTACGATGCTGAGAATCCTCTGATGGATCGCCAGCAATTGACGATGGCCTACGATAAGGAAGAAGTAAGCTTTTCTTTGAATATTAATTATATTGATTTATCCTTGTTTCAGTCAATGTTCACGCTGACCGTCCAGAATATTGCCGACAGCACTGGGCGTTACAAAACATTCCAGAACCGGTTCGTTTCACTTCATTTCCGAATTTTGTTTGTTTAGTGAAGTGTACGAGACCTACCTGCGCCAATCGCACAACGTCAAGCAGCTCGGAAAGTGGGAAGCGAAGCGAGCGGAACGAGTTCACGTTGTAGGTGGCCTATTCATTTTAATTCTCCGAGAATTTGAATGATTCTTGATCGATTTCTTCTTTTCAGGGAGCAATGTCGATTGCCGTTGCATTGTCTCGCCTCCCGCGCACAAAACATCGCGAAGAAACGTTCACCATTGACATCTCTTTTGTATCGGTATGGTGCATTCATTATTTCATTTAATTCCTCTTTTTACAGGAACATCTGCTAGTCTTCTCAGTCTCTGGCTTATTCGAGGATGCTCCACTCGCTACCGGGGCCGCGTTGCCCGAGCTCAAATACTTCCAGCGTCAATTTGTCGTCATGCCAGTGCCCGAGAATAGGTAGACTTTAAAAGAACACTTTACATTTTGTTGAGTTTAGTTCTGTGAAAGTGATCTCGGACATGCTCTACATTTCTGCTATCCACACCGGGCGTCTCGAAAAGTTCAAGCAGTTGTTGGAACGGGCACAGAAGCAAGGATCGGTAAGAAAACTTTTTGATGCACAAACGTTTTCCTTTAGGCTCAGCCGAGCACCTCTAGAATCGCTGCACCGCCCACACAACCCGCCGCTTCCGAGGAGCCCACTGCCGAGGTAGGGTTTTTAACAAAAATTTATGGATGGACATTTTTTTTCAGATAAAACAAGCGATGATTGTCGAGTTTTCGCGTCAATCTGGGATGAAGCCGGAATGGTCGGAGAAGTGTCTCCTCGATTCGGGATGGAATTACGAGGTTCGAAGTTGTCTACTTTATTTAATTCCATCTATTTCAGCAAGCGGGCCAGCTGTTTCTCGAGAACCGGAGCAAGATCCCGAGCGAGGCCTTTGCAGCTGCGGTCTAGACGTCGTCTCATCGTCACCAACTTACGGGATTATTTCATTCTTTGTCGTTAATTGTTATATCTGGCTTCATTTTTGTGGTATCTCTTACTGATATTGAGCTGGCCGACACGTTCATTTTCGTTCTAAAATTGGGTGGTTGGTCGAGCGCTCTTTTCGCTGTTGCTCCTCTCAGTTTGACGGTCCAGGCGTATGGAGGTGCACGGCTGGCCTCCATAGTCCATATGGCATCTTTTGACGGTCTTCCTACCCGTCGGCCCGAGCTACTATAGCTATCATCGGCCAATCCACAGACAGACATCTTACACGCAACCCGTCTGACACCCTATCAAAAAAACACCAGTGCCTTTTTGGACTCCATTTCTGCCGCCTAACCGCCAATTCCTTTTGTCTTGGACCGTCACACTGAAAATCACAAATTCATACAGGCTCTAGACCGTATCCCCACCAATTAAAAATACATTCCGAACGTGTTCGGCTCGGCTCTATCCTCCTCCTACTCTCGCTAATGTATTGTCATTTTGCTGGCCCTGGGGCATATTTGAACGAATGGTCGGTGTTTCCTTTTCACGTATTGATATTACCCATCCTATTTGCCACTCCACGTTCCCAGATGTCTTCTTTCACCCCGGAAACTTGGTCTTTTTCGTGTCAAGTAAATCTATCTATGAACACTTGTGCTACCAACAAACCTCGAACGCGATTGACGGACAGACAAACAGTTTTATGAGAATTTGTGGACGATGGAAGGCTCTTGAAATTGTTGAATGGGAATGAAGCGTTCCTTCGTTTCGGCTTTTCCTTCGACAGACTTTTTCCCGGCCATGCTTGCAATTTCCAGAAGCGGTCTGCCCCCGTCAGAGGTTGATGAAGGATGGTGGAGGGTGAAAGAAGGAAAGAATGAGCCCCAGTCGACCACGAAATCTATTGCCGGAAATGAGGGACCGACGATGGAGAGGGGAGATGAAAGGAGAAGCAAGGAATCGAGAAGGAAAGCGGTACGTAGATTGTTCCTATTTTGGGGTATATTTTGCCGTCGCGTCAATTTTTTCATTAGGGGTATATGTCAAAATTTTGCGTGATTTGCCGGGTATACCAATTCGCCGCGGCTACAAAAATAGTCGCAATATTTACTGCAGCTAATTTCGACGTCTCTCCTACTAGAGAGCTTCTAAACGTTACCCTCTAGGCCGGTTGCTTCCCCCTTTGAACCTCTTCTCGTTGTTCTCATATATATGGTGCCCATCCCTCCCTTCCCTTTCCCCTAAAGCCAAAAGGAAGCGGGATCGATGGTGTTGAGGGCAAGTAGGGGGAGAGAGTGGGCCCTCTATGGGCCTTCCCTTCCGTCCCTTCCTTCCTCCATACCCTCTATACACCAATATAATCACCCCATGGGCCCTCTCCGGGTCCCCCACCCCACAGGGCCCACCCCATAGGGCCCACCATTGCTACACCCTAGCCCCCATCATCAAGCATATAGCCGCCCCATCTTTGGCGCGTTTTTCGCCAGATTTTTGTAGATTGGCATTGCTTTTTAATACGGCATCTTCTACCTTACTTTTTATACAAGACCTTCTTCTTTCTATTTTTTCTAAGGTTAGGAAATTCAGCTTTGGGGACATAGTTTACAGCTAGCAGCAGTTCCACTCTCATCCCTCCGTTCCGAATAATCCTTGCCATCCGCTCCCTCCGTTCCAAACATGGCATCCGCTGCTATGGGGGAATGGAATACTCTCGCTCTCTCTGTCTCTCTCTCTCTCACTCAATCGGCATATGGACCCTTCAATTAGATGGGCAAACGTATAGAATGACAGACATTCTGCAGATCACTTTCATCCATTAGCCTTCGGGGTCCCCTGCCGGATATGGCTTTTCCGGAACAGATTTTACGATTTATCGGGTTGCTCGATTTTCGGAATTTGTGGTTTTTAAAGATGAAGCGTTCTGCTGTCTTGTAAGTGCCTTTGGTCTTACGCTCGGCGTAATCCATTTCAGTTCCATTTATTCCATTAATCACAAGGCCGAACTGAACTAAAACGGAAGATTGCTGCGAAAATCGCTTGTTAATGTAGATATTCCGGCGACCGCTTTTGTCATCATTGCACTATTCCTTTCCGCTGTTCTCGGCGACCGCCAATCTAAAAGTGGAATATTATGGCAGGGCCTGTCTTTGTCTACAGTACTTTTGGCGTTTCTTCGCTGCAATATCCTGGCTGAGCGTTGACAGATATTTGTCCACCAATTTGTGCATATGCCATTCCACTTCATTCTCCGCGCTAACCTCCATCTCGTCGATCACCTGAAATTTGTCGTGTTCCCCTTTGGAAAGATTAATTTTTGCAAGATGACTTACGAAAAATATTTTATCAGAAAGTGAATTTCCGAAGCGTATTTTCGGAAGCTGTTTAGCGAACTCTCCACCCAATTACCGTCTTTTTCTTGGAGTCATTGGTGGCCGAGGTGTAGCAGGGCAAGATGATGACCACGAGAGACACGAGACCCATCATCACTCAAATTATTCAGCTGTGATTAGTCTGCTAACAATTATACTCACGCCAGCAACTCAATTCGCCCTCCGACATTTTGCGATATGAGCGTGATCTGCGCTTTTTGGGGAGTTTTGTATTGTTATGTAACAGAAGGTAGATTCGTACTACAAATTCAATATTCAGAATTCGGGATTTCCTAACATCAATCGGTTCTGGACCATTAGCGGGGGATCCGGGGTCTTTTTTCCACCTATGCCTGTCGATGTCATAATATATAGTTTTATAGCGTTTTTAGTAGTTTTTGATTGCTAGAAAGTTATAATATTTTTTACATTTATGAACATTTTTTTCGAAAAAGTCAATAACTTTCGAAAAGCTATAATTTTTTATACTGTTTCTATATCTAAATTAAAATAGTTTATATTTTGTTATAGGGCTGTAGAGGATCACAGGGAAAAATTTGGTCCCCCGCTAACCCCCCCACCGCTAACAGTCCAGTACCAATCGACAGAGAGTCCCGGTTTGCTAATTTTAGAGGTTCCGATTTTTGCTCGTTATGCCCGGATATATGTGTGTGAGTGCGTAGCGGCTGGGATCTCCCCCGGGCTGTCTGTTGAGTCATATGGCAAGTGTCCAACTCTAGTGGCCCACAAACAACATATCCCCCCCATGACTGCTCACACCGCGAAACTCGAGACATTTTGGGTTGAGGGATTGGCGAGGGTTGTTCGCCGGGAATCGAGCCGATTCTTAGGCAAAACAGCCGTTAGATAGCAAATCGGTTAGCTTGGCCCCCCGGTTGAAAAGAAGCTTTGGAATCCTCCGGAAGTCTCCGGAAAAGCTAAGCCAAATCTAAGCCTAGGTTTAGTTTCACTCAAAGGAGAGCTTAGCTTGAGACAAGCTAAGCTTAGCTCTAAGCTAAGCCCTAATTGACCCATTTCTACCTCGCAAGGCTAATTGTAAAGCTTAAAACAGGCTTAGTTTGGGCGTAAGCCTAAGCCCAACCCTAAGTTAAGCCGAGTTAAAGCTGGGTTTGAGTTCTCAAAACACCATCATCCTCGACGAACTAATCCTCGTTAGCAACTAACTGGCATTTGATGAGCTTTAGGCTCTATTAAAGGCTTCAACTGATCATTTTTGACTCCTGATCTAAATAAAAATCGATGCTTCCGATTTCTGACCCCGGGTGATGCAACTTGAGAATTCGATGGTGAGTGGCAGTGCCGGGGTGGATTGGACAGAAGAAAAGCTGCGCCGTTTCGAGGAATCAGCTGACGGCTTTTCCGTCCTCTATATCAGCACGTGACTGTCCAGCCGAGATAAGCCTTCGGGACTGACCCCTTGGTCCAGCAACGATTTTTGAATGAAATTCCGTTCTTTCGCGTTTCCGGGAGGGGACCAATTTTTTTTTCTTAGGATCTCATCTTCCATATACATCGTAGCAGTTTTCGTAAATGGTTTTTTATGCCTAAACGTATTAAATTGTATCCTAAATTTGTATAAGAAAATATCAAAAATATCGGATTTTCGACCAAAAGGTAGATTTTTTTACCAAAATTTCGGCTTTTTCAACATGTTTTAAAAGTTTTTAGTTAGTTTTTTTTAGTTTAAATATAGTTAGATATTACTATGAACACTATTAAGGCACCGTCTATTCAGTTACTAGGCATTTCTACAATTTAAAAAAGTTAATCCCCACTTTAAAAAAATTAATCCCCCCCCGATAATGTGAAAGAACCGGGTCGCGGCTGTCCGTAGGATCATGAAACAGCTGTTTTTTGCAGAGCTGCTTTTTTCTTGTAGTTCATGTTGTTTATTAATCATCCCGGATCTCATATACATATATTTTATGTTGAGGAATTGTTTATCTAAAGAAATGTTTGTCTAGATCCAGGTTGTTTCCCATGTATTCCCGATCCCCTCACAGTCAAAAGACCCCTATATTTTGAGTGTCACCGGCAAGCAAAAGGATCTTTTGAGGGGCGTGAGAGTGCTGAAATTGGAAGAATTGAAGAAGAAAAGTCATCTCCCTGTAGAAAGACCCGGACAGTGCCCTAATCTCCCTTGTTTCAACAGTCGTCCCCGTTCTTCTCCCTCATTGTTGACCACGTGTTTCATGGCAGTTCGTTGCGTCAGGCATCTCTCTCTCTCTCTCTCTCTCTCTCTCTCTCTCTCTCGCACGCTCTCTCTCACCCAGTGGCGATAAGCCCCCCATTTTGTCATCATAGATTTTTGAAATGTATCCACTTTAAAAATTTCCTGTTTTTAATCGTTTTGACCTTGTAAAATTAAAAAATTTTCATGAATAAACAGGTATTTTCGACTATCGTGTGACTAGTAGAGATCTTCTGCAGTATGGGCAATAAATCCAAAGTGTCCAATCTGGCTGCTGTCCCACCCGTTGTCCTCCTCAAAACGAAACGTATTCCCCCGGAATCTCGTGTAGGAAAAGCACCCGTCCCTCTGAGAGCCAGCTGTTCCTCCTCCCACTCTTTTCCCCGCTTCATTTTTCGGCATTTCCTGTGCGGACCTCGGTGGTCTTAGAGGCTAGAGTTCCCACCTCGCCCCCCTCCAAACTGCCCTTAGCAATATTCCGGGCCATTCTTTCCACCCGGCCAGCTACTCGATATTCTGTCCTTTGTCGCACCGCGTACTCGCTACGGTATTCTACCACTTTCTAAATTCCACCTTATATTTTCCTTTATTTACTATGGATGAACACCCGATTATGCCAAAATTAGAAAATGCTAGGGCATCGGGAGATCCGGTGGAAATTATGCCGATTGAACCGGAAAAGCCGGAAATTCAAAAAAATACGGCCTACAAGGTTCCGGTCGAAACCGACATCCCTGACCCTCTTGATGAACTTCGTGACGCTGACGAGGAACCGGGAATTCCGGAAAAAGAAGCTGGCATTCCGGCAGAGCCCAAAAGCCCCGAGGCTCTAGTTGCTGTAATTGAGGAGCAGCCCCCGATTAAGGTACAGATTTCGCATACAGAAAACCGGTCCGAACAGCCGGAAATTGAACCGGCGCAATCCGGAAAGCAGGCTGATATGACGCCTGAGAAGCCGAGCTCCATTCCGAAAGTTGATGACCAAAAACTGGGAACGAAAGACGAAAAAGAAGAAGCTGTACTCTCCCCAGACCATCCGCTTTCCTCTTCTCCGCTTATTGCTGATCCGGAACCGACGGAAATTGTCCCAACCACAATTCCAGTCGCTATAATAGAGCGCCTGACTGAAACCCCAACCCCAACGTCTCAATCGGCCAACCAAGCTCTTGCTGCCCTTGACGAGCTTCTTCGGCTACAAGGAGAAGCTCGGGCCTCGTTGCAGAATGCTTCGACTTTAGGCTATTTAACGTCCCCGTTGGCTGCTCGTTCTCATCTCTCCACGATATTCTCAGAATCGGAGGCTGATCCCGAATTGGAGGAAGAGGGGGATGATGTCGCAGAGTTGAGCGAACTCAAGAGCATAGGTTGTAGTAATAGAAATAATTGTAATAGGTATCTCGCCTCCAGCGTAGTATTTTAGCTAAAAAGGACGATTTTTAAGTATTTTTCTTAATTTTTAATGCGAAAGTATAAGCGTCTAGGCAGTGACATTTTTGGTATGGCCTCAACACTTTTCTGGCATTTCATTTTTTTCAAGCCACAATCCTAGTATGCTAGTCTTTTCTCTATAACGAACCCGAATTTCTCCTCCAATTCCACCGTCTAATCGCTATTTTTCAGCGGAACCGCTCGACTTCAAGAAGGCGTCGTTCTCATCGATTGCAAGTACCCAGGGTAGACAGGACTTTGTCGACGCCCTTCATAACATTCATCAGGCACTCGCACAGGTACCATTTATTTCTCGTGTTCCCACCCGTCTTTCTTTGAAAATGTCGAAAATCATAATGTCGACATTTACATAAGCTAGTTTCCCCGTAAAAACCTCCGATGCCATGCAAAACAGATTCTCGACATACTAAGTTTCGACATTATCAATTTCTACATCGTGAAATTTCGGCATTAAGAAATTTCGACATGATGGTTAGCGGCATTATGATAGCAACGCTCCCCAACCAGTTATTTTACAGCCTTCGCCCGAACGCCAGAAGACCCCTCTGGCCGACGAGCAACCACTCCAGGTCAACAGCACCCACATTCGGCTCACCGATCGCCCCGTCCAAAGGAAGGTTCGTGCTCCTTTTCGCTTATTTTTCTATGAAAATTTGGAATTGAATTTGTCGAAAATCGGAACATCGAATTTTTATATATCGAGAAGGCATCTCTAACTTTAAAAAATGCGATTTTGATCAACTCAAACAAAATCAATTTGAAAAAATGTATTGCGGCACTTTACTTTTCGACAACATCGAAGCAAGTCCGTTTTGCGCATTAATTCGGTTGATTTACAGATGGACTCTCCACAAGACTACTCGCCGAACGGGTCGCCCCGCCATGTGCCAATTCCCCCTCAACACGAGCACTCGAATCCCGAATCTGTCGACAGCACCGGGTTCGAGAAGGTCGGTTGAGACTCGAGAAATTCATGTATGTATTCGTTTAGCTGGAGCGTCCATCCGACGACGTGCTCGAGCAGTACAGCCAGAACTTTGCCCAGCAGATGCAGCAAAGCCTCTTCGGGCAGCTGCCCGACGATCCGGATGTGAGTTTATTAAGTTTGTCATGCTATGAAGGTTTTTCTCTCCCTTTCTTACTCGAGCGTCCTCAGCTCCATTTTTCGCCGAATATGGCGCCATCCTCCCGGCGGAAAGTCGAAATTCGATCCCCGCTTCTTTCGGCCATCAGATGGCATCCCCCCAAAGGGTCCCACCCCTGAATCTACATCTGCAAAACCCTCTTCTCGGATCGTTACTTCACACTCTCCCAAAAAGTGCCTATAACGCTAAGCTAACCATTTCACTGATGTTCGGCGCTTCAACGTCAGCTTTCTATGTGGGTCATTTTTGTCGCGCAGACTTTGCAGAAATTGAAGAAATCTCTCTCTCTCTCTCTCTCTCTCTCTCTCTCTCTCTCTCTTGCTCTCTTTCTCACCCCTTTTTTATTCTCAACTCCAGATGAGCCGAGCGCGATTCTGTTGGATAGATGACTGTCCCGTCTCTTATAGGCCATTTCCGTGCCTTCCAGTGTCCGGCTGAATTCCTTTTTTATGGGTGGATGACTGGCTTTATGTCCATCCAACCCTTCTTTTCCGCCTTTTCCTTTGCCCGTTACCCCATTCCGAACCATTTCTTTTGATAGACAAACATCACTCACACATTCCCACATATCTTTCTCGCTCTATCTTCACATTCATTCTTCCCACGCCTTCCCACAAGCCGCTTTAGGATCGTGCGTATTTTCTCGAGTATCGGCTTGAAATGCATGCTCGACCACCGCACCATTTCCATTTGAGTGCCTTTTAGTGGATTTGTGTAACGTGTTGTGCCTCGTAGTTTTGAGTGGCTTTCTAGGGAAATTGTAAAAATCTCGAATTTTAAGAATCTCGACATTTTCATAGGGTGGATGCAGAGCGTAAGCGTGCAATCCCTGCAGCTCTAAATTTTGATTCATACTATGGAAAATGCGGGATATTGAAATTCAGATTCTGATAGATAATCGCCTGAAGGCGATTGTGTAGCGGGGCGTCTCTCGTAGTTTTGAGTGGTTTCTAGGAACTTAAGACTAGTCAGCCATCGAGCTTAAAAATTATCGCCTGCCTTGCCCACGGTTCCTTTTTGGCGTAAAATGTTGTTGTATGGTGCAAGTGTTGTCACTTTCAGTTTGCACGCGACGCCGGCTTCGAACTCGTAGAAGCGGAAGACACGGAAGGCACGATGAGGCTCGGAGCTGGAAGCAGTCGAGGAGGAGGAGGAGGACAAGCTGAACCTCCGTTCCACAACGACGACAGTGATCAAGTGCACATCCTTCATCGAATCCCTGGTGATATCGACGGACCGGGTTCGGTACGTTTTGCATGGAATTGTTGGCGTGGAGTGTGTAGTACAAATTTTGGTTCTTTCGCTTTATCAGGGGTGCTATATATATTTTTTCCTATATTGCCAGCAACTCCTTTTGATGAAATTTAACTATATTTAAAGTGGAAAACTATCTAATAACTTGCAAAGTTTTGAAATTTTAATTTGGCATCAAGAAACCCCATATTTTTGTATTTTTTAATGTATTTTGTAAGTTTTTGCATCTAGGAATAGTGAAAAGCAATTTGAAACAGTCTCTTTATTTGTATTTCAAAATTTGGAACCAAAGAAAAATTTGTTTCCAGACCAAGAAACGCCTCCCCGCGTTAATGCAAAAGAGCCCAATCTCTCTGTCTCTCTCCTCTCTCTCTCTCTCTCTCTCTCTCTCTCTCTCTCTCTGGATAGTTAAGAAGCACATATCTCAGAATTGGCCATTTTCGATTTGATTTATTGACCACATGGGGCTCTTGAATCGATTGAGGATTCAATTTCTAAATCAACAAATGCCTGGGTATCCCTTGAGATGCTCTACGTGTTTGAATAGTTTCCTAGCTTTCCCCCTCTCTTCTAGCTTTCTACAAAATTTCCAACGTTTAGCAATCGGCGGCTTCGCTAAAAGAAAATTTCGATTTCATTGCCGCTTGGCCATGATGCGGAGTGAATTGCCGTCAACGACTCGTAACCGTGCCCTCGTTGCTTATTTGTTTCCCATAGTAACGGCTGTGGTGTGGGGGGCTAGAAAAGGTGCAATCAGGTTGCCAATTGGTGTCCCTCGTAGCCCATCCCATCCACAACCCACAACCCCTCAAAACAATTCCCCACCACTTGGGGCTGCTGGTCATATCGTGTCTCGATTTTTTCATCGCTGATTCACTTAATAGCTCTGATTTTTTAGTATTCTTTTTGATTTACTGTTGTTCTTAATATGAGTATATTTTTTTAGAACTTTTCGCAAGCAAAATTCAGTCGAAAAACCCTCCTTTGCTCGGTCGACTAGCAGACAAATAACCTTTTTGGGTTGCGGACGGGCAGTGATTCACAGCACGCTATTTTTGGGGGCGAGAGCTGTTTGTTCCGCGACTGTACTCTGTACGATCACTCACCTTCACATGTCATTTCAATTTAGCCAGATTTCCTGAGGGATCGATTACCCAAAAACAATAACCAGCGAATTGAAAACGAATTCCTTGATTTTTGGGTATCGTGAAGGATATCTTTTTGGCAAAATTAGATTTGGAATACTTTTCAAGTTGAAAGGGTTTTCTGCTAAAAAATTCCTGATTTTTGTGCTTCTCCCAAGAATTTCTTTGACTCTCCATACTGTGACCATCAAGGCGCCCCGGCGCAAATAAATTAATTAATTAGACCTCAAAGTATCGACTACCAGTCAAAAACATCATCCATCCATCCATCCACTTGGATGTAGAGAGAGAGAGAGAGAGAGAGAGAGAGTGGGTGAGTGAAAAAGAGGATGGGCCACTAGTTGCCGGATCAATTGGCCCCTGTTTGAGCAGTTGTGTGCCCAGTCAAAAAGGATGGGCCCTTATCCCTCCCTCCCCTTTTCCTCGCTGTACACCTCCTGTTTTGTTGAGTTTCAGCTCGGCTTTTTCTTGGTTTCTTGCCGCTTTGTTAAAGGGCGAGGTTGTTTACCGGGGATTTTAAGCTTATTTTAAGGCTTCATTTTAAAGGAATAAGAAAGTTATAACTTCCCTATATTTTTTCGTACGCGCGCACCCTGCGGCTATTGTTGAAACGCGGTAAATAGTGCTGGTTTTTAGTCCAAAGTCCGTGGACTTTTTAGTCCGAAATAGTCCACGGACTTTGGACTAAAAACCAACACTAGCGGTAAAGCTTCACACAATTGCCGCGAGGGTGTGCGCGTTGCGTTTGCGGTGCGGCGATTCTTTCTCTCCTTGCCCGTTCCTTTAATCGTGTTGCTTTGCCGGACGGCTTGCCAGTAGAGGGCTGTTTTCGATCTCCAACGGCTTCTGCCCCCTGCTAAATTTCGTTATGTTCCCCTTTAGATGCGGGCTTGTTGGGGGTTTCGATCGTCCGTTCTCTCTCTCTCTCTCTCTCTCTCTCTCTCTCTCTCTCTCTCTCTCCTCTCTCCCCCCCTCTCTCTCTCGCTCTCTCTCGCTGTCTACCATCCTGACTGGCGGGTCGAATTCCCATTCCATTCGAACCCTTTCTGCCGCTCCGACCCGCGGCTTTGCAACCGTAATTAGGCTTCGGGGTTTGGCCATCGTGCCCCACTCGGACAGCCTTCCGGGGTATCTTAAGCCCAAAACGGGCCTCCTCGCCGTCGTATTGACCAGTCGATGGCCAAACGGGGGCCCACCACTCCCTTTTATCCCTCGTACCCCTCTCTCTCTCTCTCTCTCTCTCTCCACTCCCTCCACAGACACCATTATCCGGAAAATTTAGCCCTGGCAACCACTTGACATACCACAGTCCCACGTAATTTGGGCCTCCTAAAGGGGTAGTGCTGCCCTGGAAAACGCTTGATATAGCATAGCAATGCGTACCGAAGGTCGCCCCGTTCGCCCGGATGCTCAATTTATACGTGGGAGTAGTCGCGGAGGGGTAGCACAGGCAAAACTAGCCTCCTCCTCCTCCTCCTCAGTGAACCCTCATGACCCATTTTCTGGCCCCGGAACTCATCCAAAGACCATCGAAATTCAAGTATTCCTTTCAAGGGACGGCATTTCCACTCTTCCTTTCATTATTACCTAGCTGCCGCCTCGATTTCCGCTCGCTTGCAACGAAATTTTTGGGGGCTGAGTGTTGCGAAACGGGCCGCCAGCGAGTAACATTCGTAAACAACTCAGGTGCACTGACCAGCCTCGAATCGCTGCAATGCCTCTCTCTCCCACTCTCTCTCTCTCTCTCTCTCTCTCTCGCTCGCTCGCTCTCTTCCTTTTTCTGCCCTTCCCGCTTCCTCTATTTCTGTTTGTTGTCGGTCCGTCTGTCGCCGAAAATATCTGCCCGAAAAATAACGACTCACGCACACAAGAATCCGGCGTGTACCTTGGATTTCGCTGCACCTTTTGCAAATTTCTCAAAAACTTGACGTCTCCTGTTATTAGTAATTGCCTATAAAATTCATTTTATTTTATTTCCTGAAAATTCCGGATTCCGGATGCCGATTCATATATGTGCACACGATTAGTCACTGCATTTCGACAATGCAACGTGTTCCCCGCGTTTTTTGTTGCGTCATTTAGTCCAGAAAATTCGCACAAAACGTCGGGGAGTTGCAATGAAATGGGATATTCCAGGAATAGTGACTCTTCTTTTTATGCTGTTTCTATTCTCAAAAAGCGCTAATGACTTTTATGTTGATATCTCACCTCCCTCACTTATATAGTTAATATCTCTTTATTTCAGTCGCCAATGGAACGAACACCCCGTGACGATATTCTGGAGAAGAGCTACGGTGGACACGATGATGATCTCGTCGACATTCCGCACAACAACGTCCCACACCACGGTACGTTTGCTCCTTTTTTGTGGCTAGCATTACGAGGGCACATTCTTTGGTTCTTTAGCATTGTCGGGGGGACCAACTTTTTTTTTCTTAGAGCTTAGAAGATCAAATAATCCAATGTTACAGACCTTTTGGGCGACGTTCACGAGGCGGAACCACGACACCCGTCACCACCACGCGGTTAGGAATTCAGCATTGAATTGTTTATCATTGTTTTGTAGATGATCTCGACGACTTGCTGGCCCCGGTGCACGACATCGCCCATCACGATCAACCCCATCGGCAGGTAGCGTTGCAGCTTTCATTTTGCGATACTGGGGGGGATGGGAATCTATCAAAATCTCCAAAATCAGAATTTGGAAGTTCAGAATGTCGAAATTTGCATAGACTGAATTACACTAGACTCGGAATAGGCGATTCATACTATCGAAATGTCGATATTCTGAAACCTCAAGAATTTGAAAATTCGAGATTTTGATAGGGAATCCAAATGTATTACAAATGAATTTAAAGGTATCCGAAATGAAAATCATTTCTAGGAAGACGATCTGAGTTTCCTGGAGGTTTGTGTAGCTGTAGTCTTGTCTATTTCGTCAATGATTCTACCTTCAATTGCTGAAAATTTTGCCTTTGTTTTTCAGCAGCCAGCTCCTCCATCGCCACCAGCTATCCACCATCAAGAAGATCCCATCCACCATGACGATCTCTATCGCGATAGGTACCTCCTTACTCAGCGTTATTTGTTGCTTTGCGTACGAAAGTGCAGGGCACTTATCGATATTTATCGAGGTCCCGCCTTCAGGAGTTGTTTTCGGCTCGTCGCGCCTTTTTGATATGGCTGAGGGCTTTTCCCCCCCACCGTTCCATCCCCCCAAATATTATATTTCTTTTGTCTTGTACGAGAACATGTTCGGATCTCCACAAATTGTCCCTAGCAGGTACCTGAAATTATTGCCCATTTTGGGAGCTAGATCGGGTTTTTTAAAAGGCTAAAACTTTTCAAGAATAGCTTTTAATTTCAGGCCGATCCATGATGAGCCGATCCGGGAGCACGTCGAGGATCTTCACGATGATGTCGACGCGTTGATGGCCGGATTGAAGGGAAATGAAGAGACGTGGGCCCCTGCCGCCCCACAACAAGATGAACATCCCGCATCTCCCAGCGGTGATTCTGGTATGTTTTTGAGCCGGAGGAGACTAGCGTAGATTATTTGCCAAGCGGGTTTCTTTCATAAAGTCGAAATTTACATAAGCTAATTCTCCCGGAAAACCCTCCAATCCTTCAAAAGCTTTCGTGGTTCTGAAATGTCGATATTATGAAATTTCGACAATTTGAAATTTCGATATTATCAAATTTCGACATGCAAAAATCTGGGATTATCAGCAAATCTATAGCACCTTGAAATCCAACGATTTACCTTACAATTAGTTTAATGTATCGCTCTAGGCCGCGACACTGTGGGCAAACTGCTCGGCGAGACGGATGGGCCCCACTTTGGCCGTCAGACCCCAGAAGAGCAGATGATGGAACGTTCGGGCCCGCTCACCATTCCCGAACTGCCCGAGGTTGGTCTTTTTATCTTCATTTTTATTTGTTTTCAGGCCGTCCCGCAACTCAACGACGATGAACTGGACGCATTTGTTCGACCCGCCTCTGGACAGTAGGTTTTCCGCTTGTCTAGTGCTGTTTAACTGCGTACAATGGAATTCATTGAATTGCGAGAAGAATGCCGAAATTCAAGTATTTATTTTTACGGAATTTCGAGGTTGACATTTTCTCGAAATGCAATATGCCGAAAACAGCACCGAAAATGCATCGTTAACGGCACTGAAAGACAGTGACGTCGTTATTCTAATTCCGGCAGATTTAAAACCTAATCGGATTTTGACAAAGCGAATTTCGATAAAATGAAAATAACCCGAATTCAATGCCGTTTTGCAGTGGATTCGAGACGGAGCCTCGTCCACCAACCCCACCAAAGGACCTCTCGGATGAGGACGTCAAGCCGTCCGTCGTCAACCTCGGCCCAGCCCCACCACATCATCATCACGGTTCGTTTTTCACCTTCAGAAATCTGCTTCACAAATTGGGTTCTGGACTGTTAGCTGGGGGGGGGGGGATTTAGCTGGGGGAAAATTGGTCCCCCCGCTAACAGTCCAGAACCGAAAACTGCGCGCAAACAGCTGCACCGGGCCTCAAAAAAAGGCGTTTCCTGTTCATTCCGGTTCTGTGAATTTCCCCCTCGATGCCAGCGCTTTTTTTTGGGGGTCAAACCGGGGATTTGTTTGCCCCCGTTTACCCTCAACCTCCACCCATACGTGCAAAGGATTCGAGCGGAATCGTGCAACAATTACCTGCGACGAGGCCCTCGACGAGTCCGACTCACGGCCTTTTCATCGCTGTACCACGGAACATTTCGCAACGCGTCCGCCTCTCCTTTGGGTATTTTTGTCATTTTGTGGAGAAGATTCTTCTGGAGAATGCCGTGGCCAGTTCTTTCGCATTATCGGGGGGTGGGACAGAAATTTTTTTTGTGTAATTCTAGAAATGCCTAGTAACGTAATAGAAAGTGTGTAGTATGACCGAAAATTTGGTCAAAAATGGTCCAATTTTCCGTCGAAAAAATCGATATTTTTGGTATTTTCTAATAGAAATTTGTAAAGTTTTCACGTTTAGGAATCGCAAAAACCCAGTTAGAAACACTTGCACTATTTATATTTTCAAAATTAAATCCTAAGAAAGAAAGTTGTTCCCCCCCGATAATGCGAAAGAACCCCGTGGCCAATTCTCGATTCTTTTCGCTATTTTCTCGTCCATTTTTCCATCCATCATCCATGGCCCTCCTCTTTTCATGAATGCCTTATTTGGGTGCATTTCAGCCTTTTACTTGGCCTCCTTCTCTTCACTGGGTCCCTTCTATTCGGGCCCTCTTCCATTGATTTTCGACCGGAGAGCCCTCTCAAAAAACAATCCGCCAAACACAGCTGGGCCTCACTCTGTCCCTTGCCCTATAAAAGACACTTTCTCGCCTTTTTGGAACTGATATTTCATTTTTTGTGTCCTTTTTGGCCTATTAACTCGAAGCATTTGCCTATCCCATTAAAGATGCCGATTATCTACCATGCAATTTTAAGATTTTGAAATGTCAATATTATGAACTTCGAGATCCTAATTTTCGAGATTCTGAAACTTCAAGATTCTTTTTTCGAAATTCTGAAATTCGAGATTGATAGATTCCCAAAGATGCCGACCAGTCCAGTTCACTCCCATCATGCCACCTATTTTGCGGATGGTTGTCTCCGAAACCAAGTGCTCGATCGCGAGTATAAACTGCTACGGCCGCTACGCTCCAGTCTACCAATTATCCCCTCATCATCCTCATCCTTCTCCTCCTCGCACGACGAAAACAGATGGCCCTCCAGCGAGCATATTCTTCACTTCACATCTGCACAACATCTACCAACATCTACTGAAACAACCTCTATTGCATGGCCATACGAGTTGGAGAGGCAGACGACGCTTGTAGCGATGAGAGACGCTTCGACGTCTACGGAAGCACTGTGGAGGCCATGGAATGAGCAGAGGGATACGGTAGCCACGCAGACAACACCGACGATGATACGATTGCCACCCAGCACATCCGATACAAATAGTAGTAATAATCATTGTGGCTGCCCGCCCGATCCATCAACACCACCACCATCTCCTATACCTTCAAGGGAATATATTGAATCGCTACTACGAGACCCGGGTGTTCGCTGTTTGTTGCGACAAGGTACCGTAGCAATACCAGGCGGAGTTCTGGCTCGTTAGCGGGGGGGAGGGATTTTAGCAGGAGGGAACCACTTTCTGTTTTTCCACCTGTACCGACCTGTTGATGATATATTATCTATTTTTATGGTGTTTTAGTAGTTTTTGATTGCTAGAAAGTAATAAAAATTAAAATCATCATTTTCAGACATTTTTGGAAATCTTTAGTATTTTTTTATATTGTTTTTATATCTAAAAACGATGCAAAATGCTAAAAAATAGTTTATATCAACTATAATAAAAAAGTAGTGGTGTCTGTCCGTCCGTCCGTCCGTCATGTCCCGGATTCAACTCGAAGGGGAAAGGAGCTAGAGCTTAGCTCTCTTCGGATTCGGATAGAGCGCCGTCAGAAACCCCCAAACTGATAAAAAAATTATGAAAAAGTTTTAGTTTAAATTATTAAAATTAACTTTGAAAGTGGCGCCTTAATAAAACGAGTGGGGGCCCCTTTCCCGGGAGGCCACGCCCCTTCCTTTCGCCCCTCTTCCCTCTTCCCCAGGCCCCTTCGCGCGCCCAAATAGCTTTCTTCAGTTACTTTAATACTTTTTAATACGTTTTAATTGTGTTAATTCGTTATTTAAATCATTTAAAGTGTCTAAAGCCATCAGGAAGGTATTGAGGTAGTTTTTGAAGGGGATTTCAGCCATGGGGGGTATCTGAAGCCATCAGGAAGGTATTTAGGTAGTTTTTGAAGGGGATTTCAGCTATGGGGGGTATTGATGGAGGTGGGAAAGGATGTGGTGAAGTGGGACATGTAGGGTAGCCCGAAGGCCAGATGGTTGCAGTCGCGAAGCGACTGTAACCATCTGGTTTTGTTATAGAGCCGTAGAAAATCACAGGGGAAAAATTTGTTCACCCGCCAAAATCCCCCTCCCCCGCTAACAGTCCAGAATCGCACTAACAGGCGCGCAAACTTGCATTAAGATTGAAATCATTTTAATTTATTTTTATTTCCAGGCCACAAGCACTCGATCCTGAAGCACGGCTCCTCATCGCCATGGTTCGACTTCAAATCGGTCGACCCGAGAGGTGAGGGCATTTTTAGACGAGGGGCTACGGTATAATGGGGGACACGGGGGCAACGGAATGCAAATGACTCAAATTGGGCGCTTCGGGGGGAAATTGGGGAACAAGAGGGTGTATCGGTGAATTGGTATCCGGGTAGCGTTGAGGCGTTTTACTTTCCCCCTACCATTACTCCCCTTCTGGACGGGAAAACGCCAAAATACCGACAGCCAAATGTGAGGATTCCGGTCGTTTTACTTATAAATGGTTTTAAAATCTGGGGTGGGATTTTGGATGTCGGGATTACGGCTGGAATTCTTCTGGCCTTTAATTCCGCGTTAATCCGCTCTGCCACCTGGACACGACTGTCCCCTTGCTAGAAAGAGAAGGGTATGGGTGTAGAAGCAGTGGTAGGGAACTCGGGAGCAATTATCGAGATGAGCTTCTGCCTGCCCCAATGGTGGCCAGCCAGATGTGGCAATTACCGAGGTCCTTCCCGCGTGGTCTCTGCTCGCCCACCCCCATCCCCTCCCCCCCGCCTCTCCGCCACGGCTTTGCATAAGCCCTGTCCGTCATTAGTTGCAATGTGTAGTGTTGACGACCCAGGTGCCAGTGGCCAGGCACGATAGGATAGTATAGTTTGTGGCCAGGGAGTTGTGAAAGTGGTAGATTACGTTATTATTGATCGGTTTGACGTTAGGGTATAATTGGTGGTGCTTTCCCATTATCCGGGGGGGAGGAACCAACTTTTTGCCTTATTATTAGCCCAATTTTTCTAATCTAGGTAAAGATGGGAAGTGTTTCTAAACGTTTTTTACGATCCCAAGGGGTAAACACTTTGCAAATATTTAGTGAAAAGACGAAAAATGTTACTTTTAAAAACTTTTCGATGGTTTTTTACTTGGAATATAGTTAAAATCTTACCAAAGACCCGATTAAAACACGCACTATCCGTTTTTAGACTCAGGTAAAAAATAGGTTTCCCGATAGAGACCCCCCGATCATGCATAAGAACCAAATCAATGGTTTTTCTTACATGCTATGCAACTTTCGGAAAAAGTCCTTTCCTAGGTCTCGCCGAATTGGCTGGCTGCCATGGCCAGGGTCTCTCTCGGCTAGTGCATCCATTTCGTAACGTTGGCCCCTGGAAGGCAGTTGAGGTCTTCTTCTCCTCCTTCTTCATGCTGTCTTTCTCTGTGTCTCCCTATTCCCTCTGTTTCTGTCATTGTTTCCAATTTAGCGTATCCCTTTTGTGGGCACATGCCCGGGGGTCATCTCGGGGTATCGACCAGGGCCCTCCCCCCTTCCCTCACTAGGGCCCCCCAATACTCTGGAATGCACCATTGGACAGAGGGTAGAGAGGGGGGAGGGCCCACCATAGTCGAATGCCCTGCTATGGGGTGGGCATGTGACTACCCACCCTCCCTCTTCTACCCCTATAGGCCATCGATCTCCGCCCCTCATGGCCACTCACTAGGGCCCACCCCACTCCCCTTCACAACCCACCATAACACCATAACAACCAACGTTCCGTCGGGAGTGCATGCTACCTCCGCAATAATCTCTGCTAGCTTGCCTGCTAGTGTCCCATATTTCCTTAAGAATTTTGAGCTAGCCTACCCTTTTCCGGATCTGGTTCGTTAGCGAGGGAGGGGACGATGAGTTTGATGCCACAATTTTTCAATATTTTATCATCTTTTTGGGGACAACATCATCTCTTAACGCTATTCGATAGAGCATCGAAAAATACACTAAGAGTTTTACATGCAGCTCAAAATAATGTGGTTTCAGAGAGACAAGAGAAGCCTTTGACAAAAAAAATGTGTGCCCGTCAGAAACTCCCCCCCTCCCCGGCTAACGAACCAGCCCCCCCGTTTCCTAAGGAATCGCTGTAGCATTATCTCAGCCCCAGTGTTCGTTAAAATTCGCTATTCCCCTCGGAGTCTTCTGTTTTCACCCCAACCTCTTCGGTAGGAGCCCTGTTGATAAAATCGAACATTTCCGTGCCCTACCCCCCAGCAGCGCCCCAAATCTGGCGTCGGGCCAACCCCCACCCCCGTCCGCGTTTTTCTGCGGCCTTCCCATTTTTCACCGGGAGCTGTACATAGGAAAGAAGGGGGCGAATAGCCAGTATGGGGCCCTCCAGGGGCCTTCATCGTCCCTTTTCCAGCCCTCCCGGTTGCAAATTGCCCCATATTCATGGGGTGGTGGCGGCCCGGGTGGCAGTGCTTCCCACTAACCCCCCGGTCGGCCCTTTTTTGGCCTTGTTTAAGGGACTTCTAGTCGCGTCGTTCTACTTTTTCGGGGTTCGGGCCCAGGAACCGCTTACCACAGGTAATCCACGCTCGTCAAATTTGGGAAAACGGGAAAATAACCTTTTTTTGTTGGGTTATTTCGGATCGATTTCTCAGGGCTGCTGTTGCGCCCAGTTCTCCAAGAAGCTGCTCTAAAATTTCTACCCTTACTGCACCCGAACCGATCCTTGGCCGCTCCACTAAATTCAAATTGCCAGCCGGCCTCCCCCTTGGGGGGTGTTGACCCTTGTCCGCGCGCGATTTGGCGCCTTTTTTTTGAATGGACAACCCCTTGGGTGGGTACCGCTGTACGCATTTCCGGTCTTTCCTCCGTCACCTTATTGCGTATTGAATTTTCCGATGCTAATTCAGTAGCCGAAAATTGGCAGTAAGGCGTTACTAGGCGCTCCGCTTAAGCTACATGGTTTTCAGTTTCAGCCTAGGCTTAACTTAGCTATGCCTAGTTTAGGTTTCAGTATCGCCTAGCTAAGCTGATCTTGAGTTTGAAATTGCCTTACGAGGTCAAAATTGAGCCATTTAGGGCTTAGCTTAGAGATAAGTTTAGCTTCGCTCAAACTGAGCTCAGGCCTCGTCTGTATGAAGTTTGGTTTAGACTTCGGTTTAGCTTAGCTTTTCCAAAGGCTTCGAATTTAAAAAACGGCATTTGGAGCGTCTTGTAGTCAAAATCCGGGCAGCCCCCCCGCAAGTGCATTAGCACCGCTGTTGTACCTCTGGCCTTTTTCTAGCTGCATTTTTTGGCAAACTCTATGCTACGTGAATTGACGGGTGATGGAGGATGAGGGTCCCCCCACTTGGCGCCCATCCAACCGACACGCCATACACACGGGGCCGAACTCGATGCCGGGCAATTTTGAGGAGGACCCCTTTGCGTTGCTTCGACTAGCCCTAGCTATTCCCCGCAATTCCTCCTTACGCTCTTCTCTTCGCCCAGTCTCTCTCTCTCTCTCTCTCTCTCTCTCTCTCTTTCTCTCTCTCTCTTTCTCTCTCTCATCCTCTGTCTGAGGGAATGGCCTTGTAGGGCCCTCTCTAGTCACGAGGGCCCCAACAGCATTGCCTTTCAAAGAAAAAGAAGTAAACAACCCCCAGCGGCAAGTGGGAGAGCATCTTCTCCCTCCATCGGCCGCCTTTAATCGTCAAATCTGGGCCTTATCTTGTCGCCAGCCACCCTTTTTATTTGCTTGCTCAACAAAAAAATGACGCGGCACAAATCGGCATCCACATTTCATGGTCTAAACTCATGCGTTTTATAGAGATTTATCGATTTGAAGGCCGGGTTGTAGGCTTAGGCCTTTTTAGGCTTCGGCTTAGGGTGGGCTGTGGGGATTGGGGCTAACTTATTCTTGGGCCTTGAGTTTGGCTTACATTAGCCCCTGTTACCCAATTTTCGCTCTAAAGTGTCTCTAGGAGTAGTTTCTCTGAGTTGCGCTACCCCACATTTCCTAATCATCTGCCTACGCAAAGTTGCGCAAGCCGTCGAAATGACAGGCTAGCGTTGCTCGCTTTTCTTTGAGCTTTCACCCTAGAAGCCGTCTCTGGAATTCCCTTGAGAGCCCCAGTAGCATGGCGAGGAGCCCATTTCGATCAGATGTTTCGCTCTCCCAAGTCTGGTTGTAACTCAACCAGCTAAAAACGGAGAGCATCTGAGCTATAAACTGCCTCTGATTTCCTCTTTTTCTTACCTTTCTCATTCTATGCGTATGCCTTCTCTACATGTCCAATCCCACCCATTATAGATACCACTCTCAAATGTCGAAAGTTGGAGCCCTTGGTCGTGGGCTATGGGCCCTTATTGCCTTTCTATTAAATACAACAATTCGTGTCGGTCTAAATGTGTCATTAGTTGTCTCGGTTGCAATGACCGTCTATACCGTCGCCCATTTCTCAAAGCAAGCACTTGAGAAGCGGAAAGAAGGCAAGTTTCGCTTCTGGGAATTTGAGGGGGATTCAATCGGAGTTTTCCAAATCATATCTCGAGAATCAAAATTTTAGAGAGTTTTTATTCCGGTTTCTTACCCCTTATCGACCTGTCCTAGCGGTACCGGTCTCAAAGAGTCGAAGTTTTCGAGATTTTCGGTTTCCAAAAGTTATTTTCGAAATGCTGATTTTTGAAAAGCTGTATAGAAATGTGAATTCCATATTTTCGAAAGTCAAAGGGGGTGCGAAAACGCAGTTTTTTTGATAATGTGATTTTCAGAAAATGATCGGCGGATTTTGGAAGGAAAATCTAACCCAAAAGGTGTCATTTTGGGAGGGGTAGAGACCTTGACCCCCGGGGAAGTAGTTGTATCTAGAGAAGGGAAGGGCAGGGCTACGAGGGAATACCTTGGACAGACGGCGAAATGCCCAGAATTGTTTTGCATCAATAATTCATGACATGACAGGATGTGGCTGTCTGGGAGGTATCGATTCCCCCAGCATCGAACTGCAATACGAGTTTTTTTATGGAATTCGTAGACTGCCACTTGGATTAGATGAGACTGACAGAGAGACAGACATACAGACAGAGACTAGGTGTTATCTGAAGAGTTGTTGGATTGACGGGCGCTTCATCCCGGGCAGAATATGGGCCTTTTCCCGGACTGCAATGGACAGAAAGGATGATAGTCATCGTTTTGAGAGAGAGAGAGAGAGAGAGAGAGAGAGAGAGAGAGAGAGAGAGGGGGGGGGCGGGGAACTGTAGAGGAGACAACAAGGGGGGACAGCCCCCTCCACGTCGCCCCCTAGGCCATTCCACGACACTTCTCTCTAGCTCCATTCCGTTCTAATCCTTTCTCCACTCCCTTCCTTCCTTCCTTCCTCTTCTATTCCGCAGCAATGGCCCAGCAGAAATTCAAGAAATTCGCCAATCGTCAGGCGTACGAACCGGCCAAGGATTTCCCCGGAAAAGGTTCGACAGTTTTTTTGAGTATCGCGTAGCGAGGTGATTGCTCTGAGATTACGTTGGAAAGGGCATATTTATGTTCAAATGGAGCGTTATTCGGCGCGCGCCGGATTCTAAATTTCTTTGCAAAAACTTACCTTGTATCTTTATTTGTGCTGATGTTTATTTCTCGGATACGGGCGAATATTCCTGTCGGTTCTTATTGACAATTTTTCAGTGATTTTAGGGACCAGTAGCAGATTTCGCGCTTTTTGCAATGTTTTCATAAAACTGGTACCCTTACGGGGAGCTTATCAATAGGACTAGCCACGGCTTTTTAGTGCCCTTTATCCGTATCTCTTTATCCTTTTCTCTCTCTCTCTCCCTCTTCTCTCTTTCTCCTCCCCCCCCCCCCCCCCCCCCCCCCCCCCCCCCCCCCCCCCCCCCGTCTAAAATAGCCGAGAAAGTAGGACAACATGATGCCTGTGAGCACAATCGATAGACCATCTAGCCCTGAGGGGAGAGATGGTAGAAAAGAGCACAGCAAATATTGACGAGAGACTCGAGACCCGTCCTTCAATATCGATCCCCATCTAGTGGAACGGGGGGCTCTTCTGAAATGGTATTAGCTAGTATGCCCTGACATTCGGATGGTAGCTCTTAGAAGATGGTGGCGAGCAAATTTCCCGGCGACCGGAAAGAAACAGATCTTGTTTGCATTTGGTGGCGACTTCCTTTCGGTGAAGCTTTACACACCCAGAGGGGGAAAGAGAAAAGAAAGGGGATGGACACTCAAAATAAGGGAGGGACGCAACGGCATATACAACAGCTAGCAGCTGACTGGAAAAGACAGCGCTACGCCACATTCACAACAACCGCTAGTCCCCCGACTACTTATTAGATCTAATGATGGGTGAGAGGTTTGGAGCTTGATATTGACAATCTGGGTTTCCTTTGAGATGTCGCCAGGGGGGAGGGGTATTTTCTCTTTCTACAGGGTGGTAGAGGGGCAAAAACCAAAAAAAAAAAAAAAATTACCATAATGTCGAGATTTAATTATGCTAAATTAACTATGAAGTTAGTTACCCCCTTGAAAGGGGGTGGGGGAGGGGTGGGTTTTGAACCCCGCCCCCGGGGGGGGGGGGGGGGGGTTCCCCGCGGCGGAAGCTTCCTTTTCCGGAAAACTCGGAATCCTACGCAAAAGATTTAGACATTATGAAATGTCGGCATTATGAGTTTCGACATTATGATATCTGACCATCCCTATCTAACAATCTAATCTCATTTCTTACAATGCTTTGGGGGGGGGGTACCGGGAGACTTTCGAGTGTCCGCCCAAACAGAAAACTCTACGCCCGCGGCTCAACGAGTCTTTTGGTGGGAATCGAATAATTGGTGGTTCGAAGAAATGAGAATTCTCTGCTCGAATCAGATGATTTCCCCCATGGCAAAGAATACTATGGAAGGTTGAATTAAATCGATATCCATAGCCGCTGCCTCGCTTCATTGTCCCTTTAGTAACCGCCGTATTTTCAGTGCTCGATCTGATCTACTGGCGCGATCCGAAGAAGTCAGGAGTGGCCCTGTCGTTGACGCTGATCGCCCTCTTCGTCTTCGCCAAGTAAGTAATTTCCCTCTTGGGTTGGAGATTTCCATTTAGATATCCGATCCTATCTGTGGTTGTCTACACATCATTGGCTGTCCTTGCCGGTACCGTTGGCTTCCGATTGTTCAAGGCCGTCGAGGCGCAGATCAAGAAGACTGAGCAACAGAATCCATTCCAGTACGTTTATTTTTGTGACGGCGCAGTAATGCAAACATTTCAAAATATCGCATTATGTCATCAACGAATATACCTCGAATTTCGAAAACATTAGGCCAAGGATTTCGACAACTTTTGCAATCACTACGGGGTGTCCCAATAAACCCCCCCCCTCCCCCGTAACTCGACGCAGAATTATCGGATCTGCATAAAATGTAGTCGAATGTCGAAAGGCCTTGTTACGGCGAGTTTGCAACAATCTCCAAAATCATGTTTTTATTTGAACGCGCCATTTTACAGAGCATTTAAGAACATAAAGGAACGGCGTCTGAATCGAATTAACGGCTGTATCCGGTCATTTTGATTGGAGAAATTGAGGCAAAATTGGCCGTATCCAACCCCGAAAGCGGTAACAATTTACAAAGTGCCTTGTAACACTGCGCATTTAAATCCAAAAACATGGTTTTGAAGGTTGTTGCAAACTCGACTTGCTTTCGAATGGTGTAATCATCGTTCCGATCCGAAACTTCTGCGTCTAGTTAGAGGGGATCCTTTTATTGGGCACCCTATAGGCAAAAAATTTCCGCAATATAAAATGTCGAAGACTTTCGGAAGCTCTAAAGTCAGAATTTAGGAATATTTCCCCCTTCCGAAATTCCCCAAAACATAAGCCCTTTTTAATAGCTATTTGTCGTACTTTACATTGTAAACTCAACTCCTTTTACAGACCTCTTCTGGACCATGAATTGACGGTTCCCCAAGAGAAGGTACATGAACAGGTTGATGTTCTCGTGGAGCATGGACAAGTACTGGCCAATCAGACCCGTCGTCTATTCCTCGTTGAATCGATTGTCGATTCTGTCAAGGTTTGTGACTACACCATATCCTCAATTAATGCTATCGTTTTTCAGTTCGGACTTCTTCTGTGGGCATTGACCTATGTGACGTCGTGGTTCTCTGGATTCGGCCTGTTGATTCTCTGTAAGTATTCGGGCTGGTTTTCCATTGATTGATCTTTTAGTTGTGCTCGGCATCTTCTCCATCCCCAAATTCTACGAGGTTTACCAAGAGCCGATCGATCAGAATCTCGGACTTATCAAGGGACATATTGACAACATTACCAATACGTAAGTTATTTCGTTTTTTTTTAGATTTGCCGTCCACGGGCGTTCAGAGCGTGCGTGGGGGAGGGGAGGGCGTGGCCGAGTGGTCTAAGGCGCCGGTATGAGCCACAGTCTGAGGGTGCGGGTTCGATTCCCCACCCTCAAGGGAGCGCTTTAACCTTTTTGCTTTTTTGCGCCAAAAAGCCTGGAAAAGTCCCAATAGATCATTTATGGAGCATAGTATGCGAAAAATTAATAAATTAAAAGCTTGCCGGAATTGCAACAACAAATTTTAGCCTCCCAGGACCAAAAAAGTGGCTGATTTAACATTGGCAATGCTTTCCCAAGCAAGTTCAGTGAAAAAACCACAAAGAATGAGCCTAAATTCAAAGAAAAACGCTTCGCACAAAGGACGGAATTTGACACTTTCTGAGCTAAAAAGCTATAGAAGTCCTTATTTCTGCTGTAGATCGGCCTGAGACCTGTTCAGGCCCGTAAGAGGGGGGGAGGGGCGAGCCGCCCCCCCCCGAAATCGGCCGAAGGCCGAAAAGTACATAAGGGGGGACCCTTATGATTTAATTTTTCCAAAAAATTTTTTGCCTGCGGCGCTGTTTTTGTCTATTTTTAACACTAGTTTTAGTGTTATAAACCCTATGTTTTCAAAAATTTTGCCTGCGGCGCTGTAGTTTTAGTCATATTAGTGAAAAAATTTTGGGGTCGCCCCCCGAAATCTGGGTTTGTTACGGCCCTGGACCTGTTCCATAACATAGCCCAGACTCTTCTCTACATTCCTAGAGCAGCGCTCCCGATTCACATGGCCTTTTCAAAGTTATAGCGATTTGAAGTTCAAAATTTTTGACCATTTTTCGGCCCTTTCTATGGGGAGATCATGGATCGCGGAGCGTGCACAGTACGCGCGGCCATTGGAGTGCCCTGGAGCCGCCCCTCCTCTCACAGGCGCTTTCCCTGTCCTCTGAATGCCCGTGCGTCAGAATCTCGAAAATTAATAATGGGGTCATCGTCCGGCCGCTTCCTAGAATTTTTATGGCAAACATGCAACATTTTCGAGATTCTGATACTTTCCCCTACTTTTTCTTTTGATATCCATTTGCTTTTAGCCTCGAAGAGAAGCTGCCATTCCTGAAGAAGAAGGTGGAGACGGAGAAGAAAGAGCAGTAAAGCGATCCGACGACAAAAACAATACAAACGACGACCAAGTATTTCCACTCAAAATGTCTCTTTCGCTGTGGCCGCCTCCTTCTCTTGTGTTTATCTGTTTGTTTGTGTGTGCGCGTGTGGTCTAAGTCAATCGCTTAGCGGAGTATCCAATCCCCCTCATCTTCTGCCCAATTTATATTTTGAATTTGCTAATTGATCCCCCGAAAGCCTCTTGCCCCCCGCGACTTCACTTTACAAGAGCGCGCTAAAATGAGCTGCCCAAGCCTTAAATTATTTTTTTAAGGGGCTGGGTTATATATTTTACGTGATATTTCGCCTTCGTACTAACAGTTAACCCAGCCCTTTAAACACTCTAAATTAAGCGCCATACCCTTAATATAGACGTGCCCCATCATCGTCACGCCCTCCGTCGATTCAATTGCGCGGTGCCCACAACTAAAACGCTTCCTTTTTGAAAAATTCAATTTACCACCTTTCCCCCCTAAGCGACGCTTCAAACGATTCTCAGAATCGTTTACGTCGATTTCTTCCATTGCCATGAGAACACACCGCAACTTTTTATGATCCATCTTGCATTCATCGCTACAAATACATTTGGCCAATCTGCAATCTACAAAACACAAACTACAAGCTGCTGTCTACAAAGCACAAACTACAGCCCACCTTTAGACGATAGCAAGCAAAAAGATACGATAACACCCAATTTAGGTGGATTCTCCTACTCCCCAATAGTTAGGAAGCTAAAAACCAGATCGAAGAGCATCAAACAATCGAAAAACTGCCTAAAAACCATTTAAAAGTTCAGAGATTTTGTGTGTTTCAGACATTGTTTTCACCTCTGCCAGTTGTCGACGGGAAAATGTGAAAACTGCCGAAAAAACGGCTTAAAACCCCCCAAAAATCGAGCCATTTTGCCTGGGATTGGAGTCACGCTGGTTGTTTCTTTTGCGCGGTCCCACTCGCCCCCCGTCTGGCCCACTGTCTGGGCATAAGGTCCAACCATTTTCGCTGCTAGTCGGGTGGCTCTCGCGCTGCCCCTATGCCCCCAGGGCACACTCTGGCGGATCAATCGTTGATTCGATTGATCACAGAGTGGGGAAAAAGAGGTTGGGGCTTCAGCTTTGAAGCTCCATCCCTTGAAGTCAAGCATGAGGTGAGAAGCAACCATTGCTTCCGCTTCTCCGAGGCGAAGCTCTGCTTGTCGTTTTCTCATATCTCTCTCTCTGGCCCCTCTACCGCCCAATTTTGTTAAAGCCCCGAAAATGGGGAGGATCATCAGAAAATCAACTTTTCTTTAATTCAGAAGTCCATTTTTAATCTTTTAGGGCGAGTGTTCTTTGAATGCTCGCTGATATTCTTCTTCTCGCCACCCGTCTGGACCACTTCGAAACTATAGGTGCTTTTTGGGGATGGTGGACGGTAGTATGTCACTGTATTTCAGAATGTATCAATTAGATATGTTTCTTTATAGAGAGAAGATACTATTAGTGTGTCTTTATAGAGGAGCATTAATAGAGCGTGTTTTTATAGAAGATCCTCAATGATTCCTTATAGAGTAGAGAGAGAAGTGCATTTAATAATAGAGCGCTTTATGAAATTAGAATTCACAAAATCCTAAGCCTTAGGAAGTTTCACGCCCCTACACTAGAGGATTGGGCTAGGCCCATTTCGCCCCTCCCAGCCGGGGGTTATGCTGTTGGGGCGGGCCAGATGAGTGGCGAGTGGGAGAGTGATCAGAAAGCATCCAAAGAACGAAATGTGTCTCACCAATGTTTCTTTTTAGAAGGTACTATCTATTGAATGGAGTGTCTTCAGGAAAAACATTAATAGATGCTGTTATTTCGAGAAGCTATCTACTTTCACAAATAGTACGTAGCGCCCTCTACTGCATAGCCAAATAAGATATTTTGAGTCTGCTCAAAATGGAAGAGTACTGGAAAAAGGAACTGCATAAATAAGGGGGAGGGGAAAACGGGTATGCAAAATGCAAATGCAAAATACAACAGAAAAAAAGAAAAAAGAATATAAAGCATTCGGTTGCTGCTCGAGTAGAGATCAGAACGGGAACCGAGCAGCCACGCGATCCGCATACGTCAAGAAGTCGACTCCATACGCCATGGCTACCTAGAATTAAACATACGAATAAAGTCAGCCTTAATAAACGGATACCTGAGCCAATGCTTGACAGTCTGCCTCTGCCGTATGTGCATTGTAGTGTCCTCCAATGTTTCGTTTGTAGAGACCTTCTAATCCGTATGTGCCCGGGGTTCGTAGCGCAGCTGCTGCTCGATGCCGATCGAACGTCCATTTGGCCCACTGGTTTTGCCTGGAAAAGGTAGGTAAGGTACGGTAGAAAACAACAAGTAGGAAAATAATAATTTTAGAGGAAAACCCGAGAAAAATGCTTAAACAAAAGCATATTAAATATAGGGCTTACATGAAATCCTGCTGACGAACACAGTTGTGCTTTGCCGGCGGCCATTTGACAGAGCAGAGAAAGTTGAGTGGATGATCAGAACGGAGCGGCGGGACATCTCCTCGATGATGGCGTTCTTTTTGCGGTGAGAAGAGGGCACGGCGCGCCGCACTAAAAACATATATAAATCACGAAATGGCCAGTTCGACAAAATAGAGCCAAAATAAAACGGACACGCTGGGCGACTGATGGACATCGGTACTACGCGAATCGGGGCGTTTCACTGGCGTCTTCTTCGTCTCAGCCACTGGATGTATTATCAACACTAAAAAAAGAAAATATACGCGAAGAGAATGGTAGACACTGACCATCGTCTTGATCTATGGGTACACTCTCGAAAATGTCCGCATTATCGCCAGGTCGCGTCTAAAAAGGGATAAAAATAATCATATAGCGTACCCGTTGCGGGTTCACGATGACGGCTTCTGCTGATCGGCTCGCGGCAGCAACGGAAAGGAGATTGTTTTTCTAGAAGAAGGTAAACCCACTGCCCGCCATATCAACCTCCGCTAATACATGCTCAACATCAGCTAAGCTTTGCTGATCAAGGTCCTTGAAGGTGTGCCATGAGTCGAGGAAATACACCTAGGAAATTTTGAAAAATTGTTCAAGCAGCACGTACCTCATCGGGGAATGCGTCGTGCAACACATTATGACGCCTCAATTCGCCATATAGCAGCCGAAAATCGAACCTAAAGCAACATCAAGTAAAGGTAAACATCATCTAAATTTTTATATCATAGTAAAGGCCATGGGATGATTGATAAGCAGAAAACCGACCAGATTCCGTTGTGGGCAATGATGCACAGCGGCTTGGGTAAGTTTTCGAGGAAAAGCCGAATGCCGATCCACTCTTGAAGTAGGGTACGCTGCCGCTCCAAATCATCCTTTGTCAGCACCACTAAAGGAAATGAATAAAAGTTAAAACATAACTGGATACTTTTCGAATTCCTGCTTTGCCTTTTCGTGTACAGTTCCCATTCGGCTGACGTCAGGCCCGGATTGATCTGATAATATGACATGGCAGGGGAGACAAAAAAACGTACCAATCTGGAATGCACATTGGCAGGGGTATAGACGAAACGAGTCGCGTCCTCATCGTTGGTTCGAAGCTTAATCAATTGTAATAAATGAAATTTATCAAGACCCTAACCTCAATTTCTATATCATGCATTTTGCGAAGCGATTTTGTCAGCGTCTCGCGATCGATGGCCACCATAGCAAATTCGGTAATACGCGGATAGTCATTTTCTTTCGCTAAAGACACATCAAAAAAAAAATAATCAGCAAGAAACCCACTTTCGTGAATGAGATTGTTGAGTCTGGCAGTCGCGTGTTCGGAAGTCGTGATGAGAACTTCTTGCTAAACAGAAATTATATGAAAAGGGATATGAAAATGTACCCCCGATGAAGAAGGGAAGATTCCGGTTGTCTCGAGGTCAAAGAAGACGAACGTCTGGATCTTTCTCTTGCCATTTGTTAGATGAGTGGGACGATGTTGAACAGGCTCGGGCTCAGGGTCGAGGGCTTGTGTATGCCGAAGCGCTTCCATACTTGTTGGGCTGAACCGTTGCGTCCCGTCTAGCTCCAGCGCGGTCGTTGTTGCCTAAAAAGTACATATGCGAGGCAAGATGTAAAATTGTGACGACCCAGTAAGGGGAAAATCCAACAACACCACCCAAAGTCTTGCGCTAGGAGAATCCTTACCAATGGCGCGTCTCGTCTCGTGCTAGAAGATGGTTGTTCATCTTCTTCATCAAACGAGTCGAACGCCGCTTCATCGACCCTGGCCCGCTTGGAGCAGCTTGCCATCAAAACGAGAAGTTGCACTGGAAGAAAGAATAATTACAAAAACAAGTAGACAGCGAAGAGCTGAAGGCTACAAAAATACTTGATACATAGGCTCCCTATGTATCGGTCATATATCGCAGAATTCAGCAAATGCAATGTTGGCGTATGTCAAATGGTTTAGTGAATATTTCATCATAATTTGAATTCAGGTCGCAACTTGAAAGAGATTGCCGAGACACAAGGACATACTCTGCAAGTGGTAACGGCGTCGAAAATTGTGTGCGTTGCTCTGCGCTGTTTCCGAACGGCAAAACAAAAAAAATGAAAAGGCATTTATTGTGGCGGTGCTCGCGAAATGGGGGTGATCGACAACGACAAAAAGAGCAATGTTTACCGGAGCTGGCTAGAGATAGACCTTTCGACAACGAAGCTTTGATAGCAAAAGTATAGAAAAGCCATCTAGGGAATTGTTGCACATTACGATCGCACAGGATTTTGATGAATATATAGGGGGGCGAGAGAGGGCACCGATAACCTGCCGACAGGCCAACAAAGAATACAAACATAATTACGAGTTTCACGTTACAATTCTGACGCGGAAAGTGGGCTATAAAAAAACACATTAAAAGTTCTATCTAACTAATATGAATTTTTTGACTAGATTGGTGGTGGTGGCGTCGTTTACAGATTCATCAAAATCGTGCGCGGGTCCTCGACGGCGTTCTTGATCTTCCTGAAAATATGGACATGTAAAAATGGAAGATAAGGAAACTGTACCTGAGGAAAGTGACTCCCTCCCTGCCATCAATCAGTCGATGATCGTAGGTGAGGGCAATCTTCATGATAGGGCGAATCTCCACCTAGAAACAAAGGAAAAATTGTTGAAGAAGCGAAAAATCGCACCTTTCCATTGATAGCAACCGGTTTATCGAAGACACCATGCATGCCGAGAATGGCAGATTGCGGCGGGTTGATGATTGGTGTGCCGAAGACGGAGCTGAATAAGGTAGGATTTGAAAAAGTCGATTTGAGCCCCTAGTCGACGCTCGATAATAACCTTACCCGAAGACACCGCCATTCGAGATAGTGAACGTGCCGCCCTCCATATCCTCGACAGCCAGCTTATTGTTCTTCGCCTAAAAATGAAAAGTAAAAAGCTGTTATGAGGCCATGGCATTATGTTCATTTTTCCTAAAAGTGCTCATCTAAAATAGGGAGCGTAAAAATATCAAGAAAGGTCAAAAAGAAAGGTGCTGTCATTTTTGGTTATCAAAGCGTTTATGAAACTTTTTCTGATTTTCGTTGGTATTTTTCACTTCAAATATAGCTAACTCTAGCAGAACCGCACCACTAAAATACTTTCCATGACAATTTTATGCATCGAAAGATGTTTGTCAGAAAAAAATGTAGCTTTCGACATGCATAATACTAAAGAACTGAGGACTTTTCGATATTAAGCCGGTTTTAAAAAAAATGACGGTACTATTGAAGTTGGGGGCAAAATTTTTTTAGGTCATTTTTAGGCTACTTGATCAGTTTTCGTGGCTAATCCAGCGCAATACTCAACTCCTAAGCTAAGCTAAGCCGAAGCACAGTTAAATTGAGCTTGAACAAAGCTAAGTCGCAGCCAAAAGCAGTGATGCTGTGACGAAGCCAAGCTTAGGGCCAGGTACCAAGGTTTAGGCTAAGCATAGGCCTAAGCCTAGGTTAAACTAGTTCTAAGCCTAGCCTAAGTTAAGCTTAAGCCTAAGCTAAAGCCTAAGCCAAGCCAATACTAAGCTAAGCTAAGCCTAAGCCAGAGAAAAGCTGACCAATTAGCCCAAAAATGACCCGAAAAAAATTTTGCCCCCCCAACTTCAATAGTACCAAAATGACAGTAATTCGAGATCGTATACCTTCTCTCCCAAGGCCGCCAGCTCGAGCTCGACTTGGGCATAATCCATGCTCTCGACATTGCGCAGGACTGGCACCAGCAAGCCCTGGAACATAGCAACAATTAAAAGAAATTAAATAAATTGTATACCTTCGGCGTAGCGACGGCCACCGAGATGTCCACGAAATGACGGTAGACAATCTCGTCCTGGTCAATCACTGAAAAATTAAATTGGTCTGATAAAGAAATGAATAGAGACATACCAGCATTGACCACCGGCATCTCCTGAAGGGCATATGCCGCAGCGCGCAGGAACGGCGACATCAGACCCAGCTAAACGCAAAATGTATAAATCAAAAAAAGGCCGCCGGCACAGCCAAAAAGCTCACCTTGACATTGTGCTTCTTCTGGAAGTCCTTTTGATAACGCGTGCGCATCTCAATAATGTTGCTAAAGCGAATTTATTGTGATGCTTGAAGACCCGAATAGGGTAAACGGTACCTCATGTCGACCTCATTGAACGTGGTGAGCATGGCGTAGGTGTTCTGCGCATCCTTCAGACGCTGGGCAATACGTTGGCGCATCCTGTTCATCTTGACGCGCACCTGGAAGCAACAATTTAGAATGTTATACAATTCAATGGGAATACCTCATCACGGGATCCGGTAATCGCGTGGTCGGGCTGCACTCCGTCAGGAACCCTTCAAGTATGTGTTAAAATAAATTTTCTACACAAAAAATTTACCGAACGCGCTGTACAGGGATGGAGGAGACTGGGGTGGAAGACATCGGGGCAGAAGGGGAGGAGCAGTTTTTGGCAGCGATGATGGGATGGATCCTGAACAATACACTCGTGATTCTGAGGCAACTTCGTACCCTTGTTTTGAGCAGGTGGAGCAGACGGTGCCGCAGCTTTTGGGGCTTCTTGCTTAGGGGCAGCGGGCTTCGGTGCCTCGGATGAAGCATTCTTCGCCTCAGCCTAAACAAAAAATAAAGCGCAGAATGCATTAAAATACCTTAGGAGCAGCCGGGGCCGCCGAGCCACCACCCTCGCCGGGCTGCAGCTTGTACAGCTTCTGCTTGGCCGTCACCTGAAGAAAAACAATTCAAAAGCACGCAATTATAAAAGAAACCTTTGAGCCATCAGCAACAAGCAATTCGACGATGGTGCCGGATTGAGGAGCAGGGCATTCGACGGACGTCTAAAAACTATCCATTGAAATACAAAGAAATGGGCTACCTTGTCGGTCTCAATCTCTGCCACCACCTCGTCCTCCTTCACGAAATCGCCCACCTCTAAACGACAGTGAAAGCCGAAATATGGGAAACAAACGCTTATTCCAACGGATATCTCCCTCGGAGATAGACTCGGCAAACGCTGGGCCTTCAACGACGACCACTTCAGATTCTAAAGGAACAAATCAACAAGAGATGTCAAACTCACTGCAAACGGAAGAGATTTGCAGGTAGCGCTCGGGGACCACGCTGACTCCCTGGATTTGCTTCGGGAAGACAAGCTTTTGGCTGCCTAAAAAAAAGAAAATAAAAGCAGTTCGCTGACGATCGCGGCAAGCAACAGCAATATAATGAACAAATATAACTCACAAGACAGCGGAACCGCTGCACGAGAGGCGACGCCCTAAATTGGAAACTTTTACGTACAACAAGGTTTTGACAATTACCCTTCGCAACGAGACGGAAGCCGTTCGAGAGAGAGACGTTCGCGTCAGAGAGGCCGCCCGGGGACCAAGCATTTTTACCCTCAAAAATGAAATTTAGCCTGAAAGGACAAAAAAAGAAAACCATATTAAAAACCGGCAATATGTCCAAGGAAACTGAGCTAAAACGGAGAAGAAGAAGCAAAACCAGAAAATCCATTTCCGGGGCGAGATCAAAGCGTAAAAATCAACTTGCGTCTCGCTGAGAAATAAGATCGAGCGGAGCTGGGGCATGATGGGCCAATGGATCGAGGATTTTGGGCCTTTTTCAGAGCGGGAAGAAGCTGGAGAGAAACAGGGCCAGAGCGGAGACAGACGCGAGAAACGAGAGAAAGCGATAGACGAAGTGCGAGACATCACTGCCCCAAGCACCGCCCGATCCTCTCACCAAACACAGTACTTTTTACACGTCATTACGCCGTCGAATACAGCCTCAAAATGTACCAATTCTCAGACCAAAAATATGTTTATAAGGTTTTTAGAGATATATAGGATAGCTCAGACAGCAAATATAAGAAAGACGACTACAGAAAATGGAACCAAAAAAGCAAAAGAACTTTTCTAAATCGTCTAAATGATTATTATGTGAATGTGGTTCCGCCGCGATACTGATAACATTGTTGCTTGCAAACATCGTTTTCAGCACTAAAATAAGTTGCAGAAACGTTCTATAATGCATTCTATTGTGTTTTTGACACTCTAAAAGTTCTAAAAACCTATTTTCTAGGGTTTATGGCCTATCATAATCGATTTAACTTTGATGACCCCCAAGACAGCTACTGGAATGAAAATGGATCCGCGGCTTCATCGATTTTTGATGATATTCGTTCAAAGCAGGTGCGCCTTAGTTCTTTGCTTAAAACTTTGACTCGTTCTATTCTTCAGCTTTCACAGTCATGCTTCCGGTCCGTTTATTGTTTGAGATTTAGGAATCTGCGCGCGTGGCCCTCGACGATCTCTTTGCAGAAACACCAAGACCAGCCCAAGTGAACACACCAAAGCCTACGACAAGTACCGCTCGACCTCAACAACCACCCGATCCGAATAGGTAACGTATTTGAGGCACGCTTGGATAATTTTGTTTAGATACCAGCATGGTTCCGGCTATCAAGGTCGAGGGGAACGGCCCACTCCAAAATTTATGCTCAACGAGGTATGAAATAGGACTTAGATTGAGCTTCCTCTTTAGCCTGAGCTTCGAAAAGACGTTTCCAATGTGTCGATAGCGCCCTCTGAATGCAGCTTTTCATCCCTTCCTTCCGAATCCCAACAACTCGATCTCGACTTTTCGAGGCTACGCGCTGAACACCGGAAATTACAGCGACATTGTGAGGTAAATTGTTAGACTTGGTTATTTCAAGGTTTTGGAAGGCAGAAAAAGGTTCCTCACTCTCTGCATTTTAGGCCCTACGCGCTGACCGTTTTCGGCCGCCCGATATTAGCGAGACGATTGGGCGTTTATTCAAAAACGAGCCTGTATCGCTGGATCTTTATAAGTAAGTCAGTTAATTTGATCAAAATCCTTTTCGCTAGATCGAAGAAGGACAAGCTCGCCCTACTCGACGCGGCAATCAGTTTTGTCGATGGCAACGTAATATTGGCGGTAATATACATCTTTTTTGGGATAACCGATTCTTAGGTCGTGATCTACATCCAGCGAACGGTCTCTGAAGCCATATTTCGAGAAGTCCTATTGGAACGACCAGAAGCGGCGGAAGAATATGTGCAGTATTTGAAAGATTGGGGAACAACGGAGGAACTGACTAATGTTTTCAAGTATGTTCGCTTAATCAGTTATCAATGCCTTCTCCAGTGTAATGGGCCGTACTACCGACGCAGCAATGTACGACTTCAAATTGGCAATGGGGGCTAAGACGGTACATCAAAGGATGGCCCAGCTGAAGAAGGCGTTGGTTGCCTCGTTTCTCGATCCAAGGCTGAGCGCAGAACAGACGCAGATTCACCGATACATCAATATTGTCGATCGGCAACAGCAGATTGAGGTAAACATTGATTTGGCCAATGCTACACTTGCGAGGGGCTAGATAACATAAAACAAAACAATCCGTGCGGTTCTACTTGGCCATTTTTATTAATCCGGGCCGAAATTGAAACTAGCAGTTTTCTAATTTTTGGACGCTCTAGCGAATGGCGTCTTCAAAATATCGAAAAATAGCATCTCAATCCCATTTTCGGTCGATTTTTTGTCGTTGTTCTGTTAAAATAGCGAAAATAGAGCAAAATCCCTCTACTGTTTTGCCTCCGGCCAAATAGAATCGTACCAAAAAATCTTCTCATCCTCAGGTGGCCGACTCGACAGATCGTTCCAAGAAATTCACGGATTTCCCGAGGCATGCTCCTCTGCTCGGTCAGCCAGCCATTCATACGCTCTACTACGCATGCTTGTATCACTATGATTCGCCGCCGGTTTGCACATTTACATATTCACCTCTTCTCTTTAGACATCCCCTGATTCCCCTCAACAAATCCAAGATCTATGTGGTCTCAACGAGAAGCAATTAGTCTGGGTATCCGTTGGCGCGTTGGTAAAGCAGAACAGATGGCCTGACGTTGGTGAGTCTTTTCTAGCCACATAGGAAACGTGGTATTTGGGGGAGTTTTTGCTTGCGCTAATCTACATTTTTTAGAACGATCGCTGAGCCCCCGGGGTTTGATTGGCGCCATCACGCGCTCAACAGGGGCGAATCTCAAGTCGAATTACATCCCGATGGATCAGCTGATGCGACTAATTCACGCCGAGAGCGGTCAGCCGCCAAAAGATGTGAGTATCTGTTACCGAACTAACAATACGGGTTATCTTAGTTGATCTGTCGTCTCCTCCGCTCGTTGCCCACCCCCGAAGAGCGTCTAATGTTAGCCGAAAAATATATGGCCACCGAGGTACGTTGCTTTACTTTCTAAGAGACCCCTTCCGCTAGGTGGTAATCGAGTGTACGCAACAAATGAAGGAACGTCAACGTTTGGAGGTCTATACGAATAAGCTTCCCCCGCATTCTTCTGACCACTACAAAGCTCTCGCCGCACTTAACAATTCGGTAACAATTTCTAGCAACTACCTTAATCGGTAATTTAGGGAGCTAAATGGAAATGAGGGCCGCGGTACGATCAAGCGAAGGACGGAAATCAACGTGATAACACGACTGTGATAATGTTCATAATAAAAGCCGATGTTATATGTGAAAAATGAAACAGATCGCATCCGAACTGGTTTTTGCAACAAGGCCCTCGGAATGATTACCACGTTCAAGAAATCATCGTTTGTCAGCACCAGCAAACCTTTATTATCATGCCAAAAGAAACAGTATAAACGAACGACATATCACAATCACTAGCTGCAAGTCAAATGCATTGGGCTATGAAACAAAAGAAAGAGTACCAGTTTCTGTTTATGATTCTAGAGGGGAATGTTTCCGTGCTTTCGCTTCGGATTCTTGACTTTCTTCGACTCGAGCAGATTCAAGTCTTCGCAGATACGGCGACGCGTCGTTGATGGGACGATGATGTCGTCGACGAAGCCCCTGCAACAAGGTTTATATACGCTACATACCAGAAAACGACTAAAAAGTGGGTTAAAATTGCTACCTAACTGCCGCTGGGAAGGGGTTGCCGAACAGCTCAATATATTCGGCCTCGTGTTTCGCGTGATTGGCCTTGTCCTTGCGGAACAGGATCTGGACGGCACCCTGGAAATGAACATTTTTTGAAACAACGTATTGTCGAGCATACCTTTGCCCCCATGACCGCCACCTCAGCAGATGGCCACGCATAGTTCCTGTCTCCCCTGCAAATATTCAATTGTCATAATCGGCAAATATTTTACCTCAAATGCTTGCTCGACATCACGTCATAGGCTCCACCATAAGCTTTGCGTGTGATAATCTAAAAAGCATTATACTAAAAACGTTAATTTTTTTAAGTAACATCCCACTTTCGAGACGGGACGGAGCCTATCCTGTGCAGAATCATGCGCTGATTGCGAATATGGTCACCGAACCGCGATCTTATGACGACCAAAGCTGTGTCGAAGCTAAGACCGAGAAACGCGCAAAATGCGACTTTCTGCAGTTTTCCTGACGTTCGGCAGATGGCAATTCCGCAAACCCGGAGCCAGCGCAAAATTCTGCACAAGCTAGGCTCGGTCACGATTCGAAACCCCGACGACAGTAAAACGGTCGCCTTGTAAAACAAACCGTAATCTTGGGCACGGTGGCCTCGGCGAAAGCATAGAGCAGCTTGGCGCCATGACGAATGATGCCGCCGTATTCCTGGGCTGTGCCTAAAACGGGCCATTAGTAAGGAAATTCTGGGTTGCCTGGCAGGAAGCCGGGCACGTCGACCAGGGTGATCAATGGAATGTTGAATGCATCACAGAAACGGACGAAGCGCGCACCCTGAAATGAAAAAGTTGAGATATCTCGAACATCTCGAAAGTTCAGTATCACGACCTTCTTAGCAGTTTTCCTGACGAAATTTATCATTTCTGGCTGCAATCTAATACAGCGCATTTTCCAGATACTAAACTTTCGCGATGTTTGATTTTCCAAAAAATGATAGGAAATCGAGATAGATGCTCAGCCACACATGAAAGCGATACGGCCCAGGCAAAATTTTCAATAAAAATGAGACATACCTTGACAGAAGAATTTATATCCAGACAACCAGCGGCGAATTTTGGGTTGTTTCCCACGATTCCCACGGTCCGGCCATTCATCCGGGCGAATCCGATGACCAGGTTCTTGGCATATTCGGGCATGATCTCGAAGAAGTCGCCCTCATCCACCTAAAACTCCGGACAGTAGAGAGGGCAGGGGAATTCAACTCACCAAAGCAGTTACAACGTCTTTCATGTTGTATGCAGCCGTGCTTTCCAACGGGACAACGGTGTCGAGCGATTTGACTTCTCTAAAAATGAGGTTTTCGGTTGATCGCAAAAAAAGAAAATCAGGAAACGACAAGGCTGCACTTTCAGTTTGAAAATCAGTTTTTCGAGAGTCAGTCAACCGGGCAGACGAAGCCTAAGCCTAAGCGAGTGCACAGACCTATCCCATTGATCATCAACGGCTCGGATAGGAGAGGCGTCCTTGTTCGATAGCGGAAGATAGTTGAACAACTCGCGAAGCGACATCAGAGCATCCACGTCATTTTCGAAGGCCCCGTGGGCGACACCTAAAAACGGCAATTTCCTAGAGAGGAGAGTGAATACATCATCGAAATGCAACGGCCTATAAGACTAAAGTACAACAAAACGTACCGGAGGTTGTCGTGTGCGTCTTTGCTCCACCGAGTTCTTCTTGCGTCACCTCTTCATTCGTTACGGCCTTGACGACTTCGGGCCCAGTGATGAAGAGGTAAGAAGAGTCCCTAACCTAAAAAATTGGTGAAGCGAAGTCACTGATATATAGGAGAGCATTTAGCTACAAAACACAGTCCTGGTAACACGGAAATTAGCTTACCATAAACGTGAAGTCGGTGAGCGCGGGGGGAATAGACAGCCCCACCAGCACATGGACCCATAATCATCGAAATCTGAGGGACGACGCCAGAAGCGAGCACGTTGCGCTAAAAAAATTTGAAAGGAAACGACGAGAACTAAACCTGGAAAATATCGGCATATCCTGCGAGAGATTCGACGCCCTCTTGGATGCGGGCACCGCCAGAATCATTGAGCCCGATCACTGGCGCGCCGACACGCATCGCCTCATCCATAATCTTGCAGACCTTGCGCGCATGCACCGATGAAAGGGATCCGCCGAACACGGTAAAATCCCTAGAAATTAGGGTTTAATGCATTACGTCCTAGTTAGCCGCGTCTCACCGCAAAACATCAGAAATAAACAAAATACCTGAGAAAAGACAAACACTGTGCGCCCGGAAATCTCTCCACGGCCCGTCACCACAGAATCACCGGCATACTGAGCCATAAAGTTCATCAAATCCAGAAATGAGGCGTACCTTCTCTTTTTCCATGCCAAACTCTGTGCATGTATGCTCGGCAAACATGTCATACTCGCGAAACGTCCCTGAAGGAAACAATTAAATCGAGGTGAATAAAATTTACCTTTATCCAGCAGCAAATTGACCCGCTCGCGGGCAGTCAGCTTTCCACGCTTGTGTTGAGCGTCGATTCGGGCTTGACCGCCACCGAGCAACGCCTGGAATGGGAGAAGATCAACATCTCAAGGGCCCGCCCCGTACAATAAGGGAAAATACTAACCGCCGCTCGTTTCTTCTCGATTTGTTCAGCCACGCGTAGGGTGTGCTGGATGGACGAGTTGGCTGCCGCCGAGCATAGCCGTTTATGCTGAAAAACAAACATAATTTAGGCAGTGTAAAATTCGAAACAAGTCATTGGGTGGTCGTAAATACGAGAATACAAACCAAGTTTGAACAGCCGCTGATGATCGGTCTTGTTAGACGTGTTATCATCGCGGACCTGAAAAAATTTGCATCCGAGGAGCAAATCAAAGGAAGCGAGAACAGAAATACAGGAAAATCAAAGCATTTTCTCGTCGTCATCGTCTACTCTTTCCTTTCGTCTATTCTCTAGCTGTATTCGAGCCAGATGAGCAATACAAAATGTAGGCGCCAAAAAGGGTTCTGAAAATGGTTTTTTCAGCAGTGACAAGTTCTCAGAGCACGACTTCGCAAAGCGAGCCACCACAGCCATCGCCACTGACAGTGGACCCGGCCAAGTAATAAAGAGAATAAAACGGTGAACATCGACTGGTTTCAGCCCGCAGGAGCAGACGCTTGGGTTCAGGATCACCCCGCCGGTAGAATCAGTGCAAGAGAATGTACCATTCAATACGCTTTTAGCTGGAAGACGACGACACGATGCGCAACGTGAAATCGTTGGAAAACGAGGATAGTGGCCGCGAGTCGGGCATCGTCATCGATATCAAGGTACCCTCCGGCGCCTTTTTTATTCGCCCATTTAGTGCTCGACGACCCAGGTGACGAAGCCGTCGCCTAAGTGAAAGCCCTCGGAAGTGAAAGAAGCCCTCAAACGTTAAAATCAATTTAATTTAGTGATTGGGAATAAACATTATTGCTGTGAAATGCTTTACAAAGTGCGAAACAGGAAATTGCCGACAAGGAAAACAAAGAAGCAGCGAAGTGGCAGAATACAGACGGTCAATGGAAAAAACGGAATCAGCTCGGTTGGGCTCGATTACTCGGTGCCACCAATGCAATTGATATAGCGCGCATTGAGCAACTTTATTTTATAAAACAATGCTTAAATTTAGACGGCAAATTGCTCCACCCTGCTCTTCTAAAGACCCTCCTTTCCCCCTCCCCGAATGCATATAACCAAAATGTCGGAACTCAAAGCTTCTCACTATTGTGCTGCGGTGAATCGCTTCCGTTTTCTCTTTTGGCTTCACAATTGTTTCACCTTAACAATTTACAGCATCTAAATTCATATGGAAGAGCGCCGAGCCGTGCGCCCAAATTTTGCGGAAGATGGTATGTTGAACATTTTTTTCTACATGTATGCTTCTTTTTTAGTTTATGGATCCGGAGCTGGAGAGAGGAGCGCGGCAGCTGTTGCGGAAATGTCCGAATCGTCATTGGCGCAACGACGGTATCTTTCTTTTTTCTGGTTCAAAAACTGCATTTATCTAGATCGGCCGTCCTCCCAAAGCTCAACAATTTGAAAAATGACGATGGGCCCTCGAAAAATGAGAAGGAAAACGAAATGCCGGTCAGCGAATTGAGAGAGTTTGTATACCATGTCATTTTGAGGCGGAACTAGGCGATCTCGGCTTTTCCTACGCCGATGCAGACGACTACGAGAATGAGCTGGCTGAGCTCTACTCTTACTCTGAAATGGAGGATTTTGCCTCAAACGCTGTGGCATATCGAACGTTTCTGGAGAACACCGAGGTTATTTTGAGAGTCTTTCCTTACTTTTTTTTGCCAGGGCTTGAACGTACTGTCCAGCTTATCGTTTTGTGACCTCGGCCGCCAAAAAACAAATCAATTTGCTGACAGCACTCATGGCCCAAATGGAAAGTGCTGTCCCCGAGGAGCGCTTTCTGGCTCTTCGTGCCGTTCTCTACGTCTTACAGGTAGCTGTCTTTAGAATTGTTTGATGTTGAGTTTTCAGGGCGCTTATATGGACTTTGACGATGATGATGGCGAACAAGTGAATAACACTACTTCGAATCCTGGTAGGCTGTATCACAATTTCAACCTTTTTTTCTAGCTCCCCTGAACGAGAAGGAGTGCTTAATGCAAGCAGCACGGAATTCGTATTTGGCAGCCGAGACGGGGCTTTTCGGACCATTAGTGTCAATGCTGCTCTTTGAATTGGAAGTTCCATACGAACCTGTCGGATGCAATGATGGCCGCGAAAGCAAGGTTTGACAAGTTTTAACATCGCGGTTTTTTAAATGAGAGTGGCTTCCAAACAACTTTTGCGATGGCTGACCGTATCAAGACGCAAACTGAACTCGATTTTAGGCGAGCTTCTCCTCGAATCATCGAGCCTCAACGTCGGATTTGAGCGAGAGCGGTAGTTTCGATCGTTTGCACCGATATCTTTTTATAGGCAAGAAGAAGAGAAGCGCCAACCTGGCCGACAACGAATCGTTACGTGCCATTCTTGCGGGCTTGTATCATTTGGTAGAAACCATCAGGTGAGCTCTGACTTTTTTTTTGTCTGGTTAAACGGCTATTTGTAGACGCGAAGAACTGGTAGACGTGATAAGTGAGACTGCCGAGACAAGAGCATATCTGCGCCGCGTCAGGATCAACTTCTTAGATGAATTAGGTATTTTGCGGGCATGGTTTCGGATGTCGCTTTCTTAGATCACCCGATTCCGTCATCGGACCGTTCCCTGCTGATTATAATGTGCGATATGATGACTCCATTTTATAACGGCACGTCTCCGCATATTCCGGTTAAAAAGGTATTCATTTCGGTGATCAGGCCCGGCTCAAACCACACTAGCTAGGGTGAGAAATGGGACATCATTGTTGCCGATATCTAAAATGATGCTTACAGGCCTTCCTGCTCACCTGGAAAATTCTGCTGGCCACGTTTGGTGATTCTGCGTTTCTCCACAAAAAAAAGAGCGAAGTCCGTGCAAAACATGGGTTGTATGCGACGGAAGACACCCTTGAAATAGCCCACTTCATGCGGACTTGTGTCATTAATGATGGAGATACTGGCTTTAATGGTGAGATAAACATGCAATTTGTTGTAATTAATTTATTTCCAGGTGGATCCCGACCACGGCGAAGTGTGCCCGGGCGTCTCGGTCGACAAATGGCCTATACGGGGCTCGAGGGCGATGAATCCGCCGAGTCTGACATCCTTGGGCTATCGTGTATGATAATCTCTTTCCTCGATAACTATTTTCGTTTAGCAACGACCCCAATTGAGGATGAAACCCCTTCGCCGGCCTTGTCCGGTACGAATGCGAATTGATTTCCATTTTTTTTTTCAATTTAGAAAGAACTGGTGGCCTGCCGAAGGATGATTCGGGTGAACGGACGCCGATCGCTTCCTCACCTGTACACATTCCCATGCGAAGGGTATATTTTTGTTGATAAACGTGGTCGATGGTTTCTTTCTTAGTTGCCGTGGAGGAGTAAGGCGCGCAAGGAAGATATCGATTGCTTTTTGCAGACGGCTCGCAATAAATATCTACGGTAACCTTTGTTTTACTTGTCCACCTATTGTTAGGTATGAGCTTGCTGGGGATTTGGAGACACATGTCGGTCTTCCGGCCCATATCGTGCGCGGGCTCAAGGTCTTGCAAGATCATCTCTATACGTCGATCAGTGATATTCAGGTGCGAGATTGGTGCTTTTTTTAAAGGCTAGTTGGTTTTCTAGCTCGAGCGCGAGGACGTCTACCATCGTTACAAGCTAACCGTGAAAGAAGAGGTCGAGTTGAGCAAGGTTGGTTTACAATCTGAAAACTATCTGTATTTGAAATTCTAGGTGGAGATGTTCTACCGTGCCCTTCTGCCAAACATGGTCAACTATGTGGTTGCCCTGCTGAAAGTTCTGCTGGCTGCCGCGCCAAACTCGAAGGTATTCTGGTGCATTGTAGCGTTGGAGCTATTGAAGTTGGGGGGGAGTTTTTTAGCCTCTTACCGGCCTAAGCTGCTCTGAAAGATACGCTAACCAACCCCAGCGTGGCCTAAGCCTAGCCTAAACAAAGCCGAAGTTAGGACTAAGCTAGGTCTAGACTAAGCCTAAGTTACAGGCTGGGCTAACCACATGCAAAGCGAAGCTAAGCTTAAATAAATTGAAGCCTAGTCCAAAAATAATTTTGTCCCCCCCCAACTTGAATAGCTACATATATTTCTACAAAATAAACTATCCTAGGTGCTGCAAGCGAAGAATGAAGCTGTGAATATAATGTGTATGTGTTGACGCCAGAAACGGATACGGCTGATGTTCTATCCTCATCAATGTCACTTGATCGTAGCGGCACGAATCCATTGGAGGAGAGTGTCCGGTTGGCCATTGATATCCATCGTCACAAAGAGGTATTGTTTTTCGCAACGAGAAAACTTTCCGTTCCCGCCGTGGTTTTTAAGTTTTTTCGTTATTTCTCGCCTGCCATCATTTTTCTTTGCAGATCATTGTGAAAGCCGCGTCCGGGATCATCATTTTGATGTTGAAGCATTTCCGCCTCAACCATGTCTACCAATTTGAAGCATTCGCCCAGCAATTAGTATCCTTGATTTCAACCGATAATTTTTGTTTCTCCTAGATTTACGGCAATGGGATCCCGTTGATGCTACGTTTTCTCGACCAAAATATGATCCGATATGTGCAGTCAAGACACGAACTCCGTCCCTATAACTATCCATACTGTGCCCTCTACTGGGCGCGCAATTCGGGTAATTTATTTTGTTGGATTCGCGTAGAATTCCTTACTGGCTTCCCCTTTCAAAGACGCCGATTTTAGAGACGTTTCCTACGCTCGGCGTTGACAATATCGAGGCTGAAGTGCCAGCGCACGGCTATTTCCTTTGGCGGAACATTTTCAGGTATCCCCTCTGCTGACAGAATCTTTCTCAAGCATTGTTTCAGCGCCGTCAACATGGTGCGAATATTGAATAAATTGACGAAGGGCAAACACGCGAGGAATATGATGCTCGTCGTGTTCAAAAGTGCCCCAATTCTGAAGCGATGTCTGAAGATACGAGTGGTTTGTTGTGGCCTTGCCGACCGTTATCTTCTCGATTTCAGCCAATCCTGCAGCTATATACGCTGAAATTGCTGAAGATGCAGGCCCGATTTCTGGGAAGGCAATGGCGACGAACGAATATGGACATTATCTCGGCCATCTATTGTTCCGTCCGCCATCGGTACGTCGTCTCATCTTTCCCTATCATGTTCATTATCTAGGCTCATCGATGATTGGGCGTTTGCCAACGATTCTCGGTCCAAGTCTTGGGATTTCCAGGTTGGTCATCCCCGCTTGAAGTCAATTACGTTTTTTTTTCAGGCCGATGAGCAATCGTTGAAGGTGTTGATAGAACGCTTCAACTCCAGACGCTATTCCAAGCTCTACCCGGCATTTGCCGTCGGTTTGTTTAACCATTTGTTGCAAGCACGTGGGATTATAGAACAAGGCGAGGACCAAGCTTACGGCGACGATTATTTGGACCGCTGGGACCCGCTTGAATACGTGGCCAATGATTACTGCATACACTCTGTGCTGGCTGCGGAAAAATTCGAACCGGAATCCAGGTAAGCTGCTTTTTGATCCTTTATAAAAAAGTGAGGTATTGTTCCATTTGGCCGGGCGCAAAGCAGCAGGAGGTTTTTGGATATTTTCGCTATTTTTGGGAGGTGTTCTCAATGCGATTTCAGGCCCGATTTGAGGCCCTTCCGGTGCATAAAATGCCCTGATTCTTTGTCACTTGGCGGAATCGGCCCTTATGTTACCGATGGCGTTTTCAGAATTTTGATAACAAATTTTATATAAAATATAAGTTAAAGCCTCTTTGATTGATTTTTGGGCAATTTTAAATTTGCATAAAGTGAAGAAGAAATAAATGTAAAATAAAAGAGGCATGCAAAAATTTTCTGAATTTGCATAGGGGATAGATTTTGCCCCCGGCCAAACAGAACAGTACCAAAAGCGAAGACTGCCTGGCGCAATTGAATAATCTTTTTTTTTAGTTGGATGGACAACTACGAGGCATGGCTGGAAAAGGAAGTATTTTCGGGACCGATTGACTGGGATCAGCTGCTCTTATCCTCGAATTGATTCATTCTGTTTTCACAAACGCTGTAGAATATGATGTTGTGGGCATTGGTGTATCTATTTGCGATCTCTATTTTTGTTGGCAATCAATTGATCTTGGCCAAAAAGTTGACATTTTCCGAATAAATCGTCATCGCTTCATGAAGAACATTCGAACGAGCTGCGATCATAAACCAGAGCTGCATAATTCTACAGGCCCTTTCCAACACCGTTTTCAGGAAAGTATAAAAAGGGTTTGGAAAAGTTTTCCCTAAAAATGCCGTGAATTTTTATTTTAACTGGTGAGCCCGTCTGCGTCCGAGCAATGTTGGTGAATGAGCAGAATCAGCGACACTGGCTGCTTTTGTCAGGGTACCTGCATCTATGATTCCGGTTCTCCATTGCATCGGCCAAAAATCAGAGTTTCCCCACCACGCGTTACGCACAATTTTCGGTCGTAACCAGCGCCAATAGTACAGTTCCGTACTAAAAAAAAATCGAAAAAATCAAGTTGGCCTAAATCTACTCCGAGGCCGAGAAAATGGTTTTCAGCCATCAACGCACCATGGATTCGTTACCGTTCTCGAGCTAATTGGGCCCAAGCCTCTCTTTTTTTTTGGCCCACCCTGTATGATTCCGGTTAGTGTGCCTTTAATGCATCAATGACTGGGATCGAAAGATACAGCAGCCAGGCTTAGGCTTAGGCTTAGGCTTAGGCTTAGGCTTAGGCTTAGGCTTAGGCTTAGGCTTAGGCTTAGGCTTAGGCTTAGGCTTAGGCTTAGGCTTAGGCTTAGGCTTAGGCTTAGGCTTAGGCTTAGGCTTAGGCTTAGGCTTAGGCTTAGGCTTAGGCTTAGGCTTAGGCTTAGCTTAGGCTTAGGCTTAGGCTTAGGCTTAGGCTTAGGCTTAGGCTTAGGCTTAGGCTTAGGCTTAGGCTTAGGCTTAGGCTTAGGCTTAGGCTTAGGCTTAGGCTTAGGCTTAGGCTTAGGCTTAGGCTTAGGCTTAGGCTTAGGCTTAGGCTTAGGCTTAGGCTTAGGCTTAGGCTTAGGCTTAGGCTTAGGCTTAGGCTTAGGCTTAGGCTTAGGCTTAGGCTTAGGCTTAGGCTTAGGCTTAGGCTTAGGCTTGAGCTTAGGCTTAGGCTTAGGCTTAGGCTTAGGCTTAGGCTTAGGCTTGGGCTTAGGCTTAGGCTTAGGCTTAGGCTTAGGCTTAGGCTTAGGCTTAGGCTTAGGCTTAGGCTTAGGCTTGGGCTTAGCTTAGGCTTAGGCTTAGGCTTAGGCTTAGGCTTAGGCTTAGGCTTAGGCTTAGGCTTAGGCTTAGGCTTAGGCTTAGGCTTAGGCTTAGGCTTAGGCTTAGGCTTAGGCTTAGGCTTAGGCTTAGGCTTAGGCTTAGGCTTAGGCTTAGGCTTAGGCTTAGGCTTAGGCTTAGCTTAGGCTTAGGCTTAGGCTTAGGCTTAGGCTTAGGCTTAGGCTTAGGCTTAGGCTTAGGCTTAGGCTTAGGCTTAGGCTTAGGCTTAGGCTTAGGCTTAGGCTTAGGCTTAGGCTTGTAGCTTAGGCTTAGGCTTAGGCTTAGGCTTAGGCTTAGGCTTAGCTTAGGCTTAGGCTTAGGCTTAGGCTTAGGCTTAGGCTTAGGCTTAGGCTTAGGCTTAGGCTTAGGCTTAGGCTTAGGCTTGGATTAGGCTTAGGCTTAGGCTTAGGCTTAGGCTTAGGCTTAGGCTTAGGCTTAGGCTTGAGGCTTAGGCTTAGGCTTAGGCTTAGGCTTAGGCTTAGGCTTGGCTTAGGCTTAGGCTTAGGCTTAGGCTTAGGCTTAGGCTTAGGCTTAGGCTTAGGCTTAGGCTTAGGCTTAGGCTTAGGCTTGAGGCTTAGGCTTAGGCTTAGGCTTAGGCTTAGGCTTAGGCTTAGGCTTAGGCTTAGGCTTAGGCTTAGGCTTAGGCTTAGGCTTAGGCTTAGGCTTAGGCTTAGGCTTAGGCTTAGGCTTAGGCTTAGGCTTAGGCTTAGGCTTAGGCTTAGGCTTAGGCTTAGGCTTAGCTTAGGCTTAGGCTTAGGCTTAGGCTTAGGCTTAGGCTTAGGCTTAGGCTTAGGCTTAGGCTTAAGCTTAGGCTTAGGCTTAGGCTTAGGCTTAGGCTTAGGCTTAGGCTTAGGCTTAGGCTTAGGCTTAGGCTTAGGCTTAGGCTTAGGCTTAGGCTTAGGCTTAGGCTTAGGCTTAGGCTTAGGCTTAGGCTTAGGCTTAGGCTTAGGCTTAGGCTTAGGCTTAGGCTTAGGCTTAGGCTTGGGCTAAGGCTTAGGCTTAGGCTTAGGCTTAGGCTTAGGCTTAGGCTTAGGCTTAGGCTTAGGCTTAGGCTTAGGCTTAGGCTTGGAGCTTAGGCTTAGGCTTAGGCTTAGGCTTAGGCTTAGGCTTAGGCTTAGGCTTAGGCTTAGGCTTAGGCTTAGGCTTAGGCTTAGGCTTAGGCTTAGGCTTAGGCTTAGGCTTAGGCTTGTAGCTTAGGCTTAGGCTTAGGCTTAGGCTTAGGCTTAGGCTTAGGCTTAGGCTTAGGCTTAGCTTAGGCTTAGGCTTAGGCTTAGGCTTAGGCTTAGGCTTAGGCTTAGGCTTAGGCTTAGGCTTAGGCTTAGGCTTAGCTTAGGCTTAGGCTTAGGCTTAGGCTTAGGCTTAGGCTTAGGCTTAGGCTTAGGCTTAGGCTTAGGCTTAGGCTTAGGCTTGGTAGGCTTAGGCTTAGGCTTAGGCTTAGGCTTAGGCTTAGGCTTAGGCTTAGGCTTAGGCTTAGGCTTAGGCTTAGGCTTAGGCTTAGGCTTAGGCTTAGGCTTAGGCTTGGGCTTAGGCTTAGGCTTAGGCTTAGCTTAGGCTTAGGCTTAGGCTTGAGGCTTGGGCTTAGGCTTAGGCTTAGGCTTAGGCTTAGGCTTAGGCTTGAGCTTAGGCTTAGGCTTAGGCTTAGGCTTAGGCTTAGGCTTAGGCTTAGGCTTAGGCTTAGGCTTAGGCTTGGCTTAGGCTTAGGCTTAGGCTTAGGCTTAGGCTTAGGCTTAGGCTTAGGCTTAGGCTTAGGCTTAGGCTTAGGCTTAGGCTTAGGCTTAGGCTTAGGCTTAGGCTTAGGCTTAGCTTGGGCTTAGGCTTAGGCTTAGCTTAGGCTTAGGCTTAGGCTTAGGCTTAGGCTTGAGGCTTAGGCTTAGGCTTAGGCTTAGGCTTAGGCTTAGGCTTAGGCTTAGGCTTAGGCTTAGGCTTAGGCTTAGGCTTAGGCTTAGGCTTGGGCTTAGGCTTAGGCTTAGGCTTAGGCTTAGGCTTAGGCTTAGGCTTAGGCTTAGGCTTAGGCTTAGGCTTAGGCTTAGGCTTAGGCTTAGGCTTAGGCTTAGGCTTAGGCTTGGCTTAGGCTTGAGCTTAGGCTTAGGCTTAGGCTTAGGCTTAGGCTTGGGCTTAGGCTTAGGCTTAGGCTTAGGCTTAGGCTTAGGCTTAGGCTTAGGCTTAGGGCTTAGGCTTAGGCTTAGGCTTAGGCTTGGGCTTAGCTTAGGCTTAGGCTTAGGCTTAGGCTTAGGCTTAGGCTTAGGCTTAGGCTTAGGCTAAGCTTAGGCTTAGGCTTAGGCTTAGGCTTAGGCTTAGGCTTAGCTTAGGCTTAGGCTTAGGCTTAGGCTTAGGCTTAGGCTTAGGCTTAGGCTTAGGCTTAGGCCAGGCTTAGGCTTAGGCTTAGGCTTAGGCTTAGGCTTAGCTTAGGCTTAGGCTGAGGCTTAGGCTTAGGCTTAGGCTTAGGCTTAGGCTTAGGCTTAGGCTTAGGCTTAGGCTTAGGCTTAGGCTTAGGCTTAGGCTTAGGCTTGGGCTTAGGCTTAGGCTTAGGCTTAGGCTTAGGCTTAGGCTTAGGCTTAGGCTTAGGCTTGGGCTTAGGCTTAGGCTTAGGCTTAGGCTTAGGCTTAGGCTTAGCTTAGGCTTAGGCTTGGAGCTTAGGCTTAGGCTTAGGCTTAGGCTTAGGCTTAGGCTTAGGCTTAGGCTTTAGGCTTAGGCTTAGGCTTGGGCTTAGGCTTAGGCTTAGGCTTAGGCTTAGGCTTAGGCTTAGGCTTAGCTTAGGCTTAGGCTTAGGCTTAGCTTAGGCTTAGGCTTAGGCTTAGGCTTAGCTTAGGCTTGGGGCTTAGGCTTAAGGCTTAGGCTTCAGGCTTAGGCTTAGCTTAGGCTTAGCTTAGGCTTAGGCTTAGGCTCTAGGTCATAGGCTTAGGCCACACTTAGCTTAGGCTTAGGTCGGGGCTTAGCTTAGGCTTAGGCTTAGGCTTAGGCTTAGGCTTAGGCTTAGGCTTAGGCTTAGGCTTAGGCTTAGGCTTAGGCTTAGCTTAGGCTAGGGCTTAGGCTTAGAAGCTTAGCTTAGGCTTAGGCTTAGGCGTGGGCTTAGGCATAGGCTTAGGCTTGGGGCTTAGGCTTAGGCTTAGGCTTAGGCTTGGCCTAGGCTTAGGCTTAGCCGGCTAAGGCTAGGCTTAGGCTTAGGCTTAGGCTTAGGCTTAGGCTTAGGGGCTTAGGCTTAGCTTAGGCTTAGGCTTAGGCTTAGGCCTAGGCGAAGGCTTAGGCTAGCTTAGGCTGTATGGGCTTAGGCTTAGGCTTAGCTTAGCTTAGCTGTAGCTTATTTAGCTTAGGCTTGTGGGCTTAGGCTTAGCTGTGGCTTAGAAGTAGCTTAGGCTTAGGCTTTTTGTGCTTAGCTTAGGCTTAGGCTTGTGCTTAGGCTTAGGCTTAGGCTTAGGCTTAGGCTTAGGCTTAGCTTAGTTTAGGTAGCTTAGGCTTAGGCTTAGGCTTAGGCTTAGCTTAGGCTTAGGCTTAGGCTTAGGCTTTAGGCTTAGGCTTAGGCTTAGGCTTAGGCTAGGCTTAGGCTTAGGCTTAGGCTTAGGCTTAGGCTTAGGCTTAGGCTTAGGCTTAGGCTTAGCCAGGCTTAGGCTAGGCTTAGGCTTAGGCTAGCTTAGCTTAGGCTTAGGCTTAGGCTTAGGCTTTTAGGCTTAGGTTTAGGCTTAGGCTTAGGCTTAGGCTTAGCTTAGGCTTGGTTGGCTTGTGCTTCTCTAGGCTTGTAGCTT